ATGGCCCCAGTGTGCCAGGAAACCTAGTTGGATTTTCTTACCTGGACTAGGTTAGCCATTTCTTTGCTCTTCTGATGGACTGTGTTGTCCTCTTCTTGGTTACACACCCCACCCCATGTTAGCAATGCCCCCACTGTCCCAAGCTGTTCAGAAATCCACGGGTCCTGAAATCGGTTGCGTGGCTGCCTGGTTGAAGGCCACACACAGTTGGAAGGCAGCGGCAGGGCTACCCGGAAATTTCACAATCCGCCTGAGCAGGCAGTGAGCAAATGTGCCTGGGTTATAACCCTGCAAACTGCATGCTCTGTGCACACACGGAAATGTGGCGAGGAGGGCCATGGCCTGTGGATAGATGTGACGGGAACTGGAGTTCAGACAGTGAAGACGAAACAGCTTTGGAATGTCAGCAAATGACAGTCTCGGATCAAGGCCGGGGAACGTCTGCACGGTTCAAGCATGGTTGCCCCAGTGGGGTGGGGTGGGGTGGCAACCGAGCATCCCATGGGAATGGAGAGACAGCCCAGCAGGATGGGAGCGGGGAGCCGGGGTGGGAGATGACGGGAGCGCCGAGCTGCCAGTGGGAGGCGGGTTCAGGGCCTGCCCAGGGTGTGCCCCAGAGCTGAGCAGTCTGGCGGAGGTGTTGCCGGTCGCTAGGAGGCACCCCAGGCGGTGTGGAGGCTGCGGGAGGGGCAGAGACGAATGCGGGAGGGCACCCCCGCCCTCGAGCTGCCCACGGGGGATCTCTCTTCAACAGGAGGAAGATTAAGGGGCTGGGGGGCTCAGGGAGGGTTCAGCACTTTACTCTGGGAGAACTCAGAGATGCTCGATAATAAGGATGTGTAGCAATAAAGCATCGAGAAAGCGACGCTGGAGCAGCGAGAAGGACGACACCTCACAGCATGGAGCTGGGAGAGGGCATGTTTAGATGGCCCCGTATGAGCAAATTCCATACCTGCTGAACTAGGCCAATAATTTCCAGGGCTGGGGACTTGAGTTGAGTGACTTGCATAAGCGATTCAACTCGGACTCGATTTGGGAGCACCGAGCAAGTGACTCGACTCAACTGACTTGACTTAAAGTACTGAAAGCCACCTAAGAAGGCCTTGGCAGTTATAGGCAGCCTATAAATACATGTATGTCTAAACTAACTAACGAACGAACGAACTAACTTGAATTTTTACAACTGAGCCGCAGTCTACATTTTTTATGACCGAGGGCTTACTGTGCAGCTTGGCTCTTCTGCTTGGCACGGGGAGGGTGTGGGAGGGAGGGACGAGGGTGGGGGCAGGGGAGGGGGCTGTGATGGGGGAAGGGAAGGTGGGGCTTCGGCTCTTCTTTTTGGCACAGGGGTGATTTACAACTCCCCCACACCCCCCCCCATGACCCCCCATCACCTCCCTTTCTGTTAAAGTTGGTTCTTGAGACTGGAGGAGAGACTTGAGACTTGACTCAAAGATGTTTTGCAACGACTTGAGACTTGATTTGGACTTGAAAGTAGAGACTTGAGACTTGACTCGACACTTGGCGTAAAAGCCTTGAACGCATCACTGATGATTCCCTCTGTTTCCATGGGACCATTTTTCTCTTGGGGAAAAGGGGATTGTTGGCGTGCGCTTGCAGGTAGAACAGGGGAAAGAGAGATTTCCCCGTGTTTGCAGGGGCGTTGGCTGCTCTTACCTAGAGCAGACAAGGTGATGGGGTGGGAGGAACATGGCTCCCAATCTGCAAAAAGTGCAGTGTAGCCACTCTCTGCATTTCCCCACTTGCGTTTCCTAAAGCAGAATGTCATAGGAATGAAGCCGCTGACCATCCCTCTCGTCGAATTCCGGTCTGGAGGGAGCAGCCAGACTACAAACAACTGCAGGACTTTCCCCGCCATTTTTAAGTGCAAGAAAATGAGAGGGAGGGAGAAAAACAGCGGATTAGCCCCCTTGTTGGTTGTGAAGCTAACATGAGCCCCACACGCACAACTTTATGGAAGTTGGCCTTTTCCCAATATTGCAGGCCTTTCCTCTCGGTTCTAGCAGTTCTAGTGTGCCCAGCCCAGCCCTCCTTCCCGTGGTGCCATGCTGCACAGTACACAACTGTGCCTGCGTGCCTATAAAAGAAAAAGCAAGCTGCTTAGGAAGGAGGGGATTTAGTGGGAAAAGATGGTAGCAGGGGTTAAGCTGCTTCATCTTCTATTTGCCCGCAGTTTTCCACTGAGATACCCACCATGGTCCTCCCCAAAGAGTTTCTGAACCACACATGAAGCAAACAGGGGCAGATACATTTGCCACGAATTTTGCTTTCGGTGAGATCAGGGGGCGGTCCGGGCCCCCAGAAGGTCACTGAGGGCTTCAGGTGTGCTGTTCCACTGTGCAGACGTACTTTGCGTCTTGCATTCTTAGAGTTCCGCCAAAGCGTCGATTTTGTTCCGGAAAAGGTGCCAAGGGGCAGAGGCCTGGGGCTGCCAGAGGCAAAGGGGCCAAGAGGGTAGCAGGAAATCCCGCTGCGCGTGTGCATGTCCTGACCAGAAAGAAGGGTGCTCCTCCCACGGGACCCACGGTGGTGGCTGGTGCCCACTGAGGCTGCTGGGGCGGCCGGCAGAGCAGGGCAGATGCCCCAGGTCCCACTGGGATGGTCGGAGGAGGGCATGAGATGCTGTGTGCCGCGTGGGGACTGCCTGCTGTGCAAAAGTGCCTGGCTGTGGGGGATTTCTCTGCCCCGGGGTTAGGGGAGAGGCCAGGGCTGCCCCAAATATAGAGCTGCACCTATGAATATCTGGGAAGACCTTGGTGCCACCAGGGAGTCTGGCAGCGCCTCCATCAGTGGGACCCTTCATCCCTTGCAGTCCTTCATTTCGGCTCCATCCCCAGATAGGTGCGCCTCCATGAGGCACCCAGGATGGCTTCCGTAGGGCTGAAGAGGAAGGCTTTCCCAGACGAGGGGCCCCACTAGCTTGGTGGCCACAAAGGTCCCTGTGAATACGGTTGCCCCCGAATAATCAGTTCCAGTTGAGGAGCCACCTGAGCACTCCTTGTGGTACCTCTTGCTCTGTACCTGCTTCATGGAGTGTGGAAGCTCAATCCAATTGCAAGGAGCTTCTCCGGGGATTCCTTTCATCCTCGAGATCAAACTGCAGGTCCCTCTCTTCCCCCACATCCCGAGTCCAGGCCCAGCCACTGAGTCCGCTGTTCTCTTTCTTCTGAAGTCTATAGCTGCCCTTGAGCTTGGCTATCCAGCGTGTTCTTTTGGCCACCATTCTTTCGGTGCCCTTATTTTGGCAAACAAAAACTCATGGTCTCAGTTTGATTTATGCAGCACTTTCCCTTTAAAAATCATCTGCTGGAACTGTTTATAAGAAACTGTAAAGCACTCAGTCATCATGCCAACATGCCATAGTAGTTAGAATTTTATTTGTTTGCTTGTTTGTTTAAAGTTTTTATAGACTGTCCCATTACTAATGTCTCAGGACAGTTTACAACAAGCACAAAGGTTTACAATGAGCAAGCAATGTTGGGCTGGGACTTGGAAGAGCTGGTTCTGGTCCCTATAACTCACTGGATACTTTGGGCCAGGCATTGACGCTCAGCTTAAACTACCTTACGGGGTTGGTTTAAGGATAAAATGGGGGGAAAGGGAGGGGGAGGAGGGAGAGAATGTTTACGTAAGCCAGCTTGTGATTCTTGCAGGGGGAAAAAGGCAGAACTGAAATATAATGAAGAAAGCCTTTCTTTGGGGTCTTTCCATAGCACTCTCTCCTTCCACCCATTTTCAGGATGAGAGGCCAGTATCCAACCATGACTGACTTCACCTGGCTGGTCCCACCAATTCTGTGGTCCAAGCACCTCCACTGCTGGTGTGGTGTTGATTGAGTCCTTGTGAGGGCAACCCCAGTGAGTGGAAATGCTCATTTCTGGAATGAGACAGGTCAGCAGAACTCAGGTAAGGAATTCCAGCAACCTGCACACCGACCTGCACCAAGCTTGTCTCCAGAAGTGCTAGATCACCAGGGCACAAGCAGTGAGGACACTTGTCCAAGCGAACTGATGGGTCTAACTGCACGTGAAATGAAAACAGCAGTGGGCTTCATCTTCCCTTCTCTCCAGCCACCTTGCTGCTTCCATGCCCGAAGAGATCCATGTTGCTCGGTCCAGAGCCTCATTCCATGCTGGATAGGGCTTAGCCGGTGGGCCCTCGGATGCTGCTCTGATGCCTTCTAGCGGCCACATGAGCTGCTTGCTCCAAGTTCAGCGGTGGTGCTCAAGCCACCAGCAGGACCTTCCCTCCACCTTAAAGGTGCTGCAAAAGGTAGGAACTACCATGGATCCCTGATCCTCCGGGTTGGGATAATTCCCACCACAGACACCCCAGTTTCTCTGTTTTCAGGGCTAGGAAAACAACGCCTACAGTACAGTGAAAAGCATGTTCTTTGGGTGCAAGCATGACTTGTGAAGGTGATGGCCCAGGCTGATACAGAAGGTAGGACCTGGGTTCTGTGGTTTTTGAGGGGCTGGCCGTGCAGTTGGAATTTTTCTCCATAGGCACAAGTTTAGGAGAAGGACTGTCTCATCTGACAGCTCAGCGGTGCAGATACTTCCGTTTTTTGAAGGTGCAGTGTAACCGTGATTCAGGGGTGCCCTCCTGTGCCCAGAGGAGACAGCGCAGCCTTCAGGCTTTCCGTGGCATTTCCACCCACCTCTTTGTTGTTAAGGGGGAGGGTGGCCAAAGTTGACTTTGGCTACAAAGCCAAGAAGCACCTGCACTTTCAGTGACTGAACTGTAGGGAGAAAAGGACCCCTTTGTTGTCTATTCCTGATTATAAGGTGGGATGGGATGGTACTAAAGCAGCGTGGTTAAAAGAGGAGGCCAAAACACAGGATTTATTATCATAATTATTATAATGATTATTAACTAATTTGTTTCATTTCTATGCCACCTGTAGTCAGAGCTCTCTGGGCAGTTTACCACTTAATATAGAAGCAATAAAATACGATGGATAAAAGCATTAAGAATTAAAAAATAATAATTTAAAATAACATAAAAGAACTTGAAAAGACAATAAAAAGACAATTTAAAAAGACCAGACCAAGAGTAAGAGAACAGCACCTGGCTAATTGTAGCAGGCCCCAGAAGTACCAGGGAGGTCTTTAAAGGCATCTGCAAAAGAGAGCTGTCTTAACCTGGCACCAAAAAGATGACAAATTTGACATCAGGGAGGCCACAACAAGAAGGTTGTTCCAAGGATGGGGGCTACCACTAAAAAGGCCCTGCCCCTAGTTGCCAGCCTCTTGAGGGGTTGGCACCCAGAGGAAGGGCATAGTGTGGTTAATATTACATTCCATTTATAGCCAAGTCAGCTTACAAGATTCTCCTCCTCTCCATTTTATTCTCACAACAACAACCCAGTGAGGTAGATCAGACTGAGAATCTGTGACTGGCCCAAAATCCCCCACTTGGCTCCATGGCCAAGAGCAGACTAGAAGCTGGGTCTCCCAGGCACACTAAGCACAATGCTACTCTGGCTCAGTATGCTGCAAGTTGCATTTTTTAAAACTTTTCCTACTGAGATGTCAGTGGGTGAATTCTTCAGTGTCAGGCAGCAAAAGCTCTTGTCACACTGTTAAGTGCCAAGGTAGATGTGATGGTGGAGATGCCTCAGTTTAAAAACACACTGAGGATTGTGCTTGTTCCCCTGCACCAGTTTTTTTTAAAGCCAACGAGGCTGGTGGGTGAGAGATTCAGAACTTGGGATGTACCGGAATTTCTCTCCGGTGTGCAAAGTCTCAGAAGTGCCCTTCCACACTCACAAAGGTGAACATGAATGGAAATGCACATCCTCCAAAAGTGAAGGAGGAACTTGCATTCAACAAACTATATATTTAGAAATGTACCGCTTCCTCCATTTGGGCAACTTCCTCAAAATTTGCAGTTTTGGAAAATACACAACTTGTCCCACTCAAAGCAATGGAGAAACTAGCCAAAAGCTCGTATTTAACTAGAAAGCAAGTTTGCTTGCTTTCCCCTAGATCATGGGTCCTCAAATTACGGCCCGGGGGCCAGATCCGGCCCGCCATGCCCATCTGGACCCGCTGCGCACGCATCCATGCACACACCTGCCGCCACCCACCTCGCCCCATGCACAAGAGGCAGCGGTTTGCTCACTTGGAAGAAACAGTCTCCAAGCGAGAAAGCCGCTGCCTTGTGTGCTCGCCTCACGGCACACGCCCGCCCCCACCTTGCCTCCCCTCACCCCATGCGCCTGCTCGTGCCTCGCCGCCCCCCCCCGCCTCAGCGCACCCACACGCACCACCCCTGCCCCCTTGCCGGCCCACACCCACGACCAGGCACCACCTTTCTGGCCCACACCCAGCACTGGCAGCATTCAACTGGCCCCCTGGTCAAAAGGTCTGAGGACCCCTGCCCTAGATGATCCCCTTGCTCTCTGTGCTTCCGTGTGGACACTCGGCAGGACCACAAAGGCTGCAAGGACACCGCAGTGCCGACCCGAGACATCCCCATCTCGCTCTTGCGGCGGGTGAGCTGGATCTCTTGCAGCAGCAAGCAGCTCGGCTGTCCAGGTTGGAAATAGGAAGCACGACACGGAGGTGGTTCTGGTCCTACCTGCCTGGCTGTTTTCAGAAAGTGGTGCTGGACGATTACCATTCAGCACCTTCACAGGGACAATTCGGGGCTTTGCAGGGTTCTAGTCTTTCTTCCACGCGGCTGAAGATATGAAACAGCTGGACGAAATCATCCAGAGGTTTGGCCTGAGGCGTCACCACTAGGAGGTGACACCCCAATTCAGCAGAGTGTTTGTGCACTGATGGTTCCTTGGCCTGCTTGAGACCCAATTCAGACAAGCCAGAGGTATGATTAGTCCAGCCTGGTCTTGATGGATTTCCACTCCTAAAGGATCTGGTTGCTCCTTCTTTGCCATTAGATGGTTGGTTTAACATTGTCATTAGAGGCTCAGGTGAAGAAAGTGTCAAGAAAGGCTCAGAAACTGCCCTTGGTCCAGAACGGGACCACAAGACAACAAACTGGGAGTTGTCCATTTGACCATATTACAACTGTGCTTTTCCAGCAGTCCTGGCTTCTAGTATATCTCTGGGTCAACTTAAAAGTGTGGTTTGAAAACGTTAAAGCTGTAAGATGCGTGTCTAGACAGAAAAACACCATGAACCCCAGCACTTGCGGGACCCCACCAGCTTGACGTTTCCTTGCGATGGGATCCTGCTGGAGCTTGTGCCAGGTCTGGTGAGGTTTGGTCGTAATGGCAGGCTCTTCTACAAAACCGAGGAATCTTCCTGGGGAGCCTACTTCGTGCATGTAACAGGTTGGAGCAGGTCCATTGCCTGCTGTTCCACCCAGGAGATCACCTGATTTTTGCTTCTCTACTGATTGCACTTTTCCCAAGATAATGACCTTGCTATCGTCGCCAGCAGCACCTTCGATGGAGCCTGAGGCCTCAAAGGGTCATGGAGCATTTCAATAGCAATGCTCTTGATGGATGGCCAGCCTGACCAGGTTTTGCAAGAGGGAAGAGGAAGCCAGAGAGGCATGATTTCAGAATACCGGAGGCTTCCCAACAATCAATAGAATCATTTTCCCTCCTCCCTCCCCTCTCCTTTTTCCTTGAGTGCCATGCACTGGGACAACATGAGCAAAAGCTCTGCCATAATATGTAAGCGCGACTTTAGATTTAAGGTGGGATTCCCTGATCCGATCAAGAAACCACACTGCATGTCTCAGAGTCTCTTTACTAATGGCGAGAATGGATTACCAGGATCCACGGGGAAGACTGAATTGCCTTGAACCCCAGCAGTTTATTAGTGAGATCACCCAGGCCCCCTGCAGTTGCTTAAGACAGCATGCTGCTGGGTAGTGGTCTCCACCACCAACTACAAGCCTTTAGAACATACACAGAGTATTTTGTAGATTCTGAGTCACATGGGCCCAGCAGCTGGGCAGTTGATGATGAAATAAGGGGAACACAGTCAGAAGGTGAGAGGCCTGCAGAGGGGGCTCAATACAATGGCATTGGATTGCAGGAGATTAACACAATGATCACGGGATTATTGTGAGTCTTGCAAACTAGGGTGGTTGCAATGCTGTTAACCTGGCAGCCTGACCAGTTCTTACCGATCAGCAAAACAAGAGCCCTGGCAGCTTCTTGGGGAAGCCACCAAGTCCCACTTCTTAAAGTAACAGCCAATGCCAAACAGTAACCTGGCTTGGATTTTTTTTTGGGTGCTTCCTGAGAAAGGGGTGCAGGCATTTTATAACACAAAGACACATAAGCAACCCTTTTCTGCCATAATTGATCTGACACAACACATGTCTTGCTCCCCATCTACACCTTAGATATACTAATCTTTTCCTGAAGTTTCCTCTTTTGTATTGTGTTCAACCTTATTGATTTACTCTAGTGTGCCTCTATCAACTGCTTAGGTGCTCCCCCACCCTCCCCCCAAAATCTGTATGTAACTGATCAGCTCTAAAAGTGTCTTGTACAAAATCCACCTTGGTAGTCCCACTGGGGGCTACCTACATGCTGTAGGGATTTCCTGTAGGGGGCAAATAAACTGTAAATGTTCTTTTGATTGTACACCCCCAGCAAACTCTCTCTGGTTTTTCTTGTCACGTGTCTTTTTCAATTTGAAGCCTACAGGCAGGTTCAATGTTCTTATATCAATTACATCTAAGTTGCTGTTGGGGAAATCTAAATAAATTTTTATAGAGAAAGGTTGCGTAGAGGTACCTTTGTGTTATACAATCTAACCAGCAGTATCCCTGCTCCTCTTGCCCAGAAAGAACCAGAATTCCAAGCCAGGCTCCCTTTTTGTTCCCTGAGCTTCCATATAACCTGAGCTGCCTGATCCCGCCTAACCTTGAAAGCTAAGCAGGGTTGGGCTGGGTTGAAATCTGGATGGGTGACTTGAGTCCTGCATTGAACAGGTGGTTGGACCTGATGGCCTAACAGGCCCCTTCCAACTGTAAGATTCTGTGATTCTATGATTCAGGGATTGCACTGCCATTAGTCATCCGTTCCTTTAAGAGACTGGGACTCTCTGCTCCCCTGAGTGGCCCCCAAGGAAACCTACTTGATGGCCATTCTTCTGCTAGCAGCCAAAGCTGATCTGACCAGTTTTTCTGCCATGCTGTAATCAGAATGGTTTACATGCTCAAACCCACACCCAAGACCTGCAACGGTCCATGCGTCTTCCTGATTGTCGTGTCAATATCCTGTAATCATCGACAGTTGCTGTACTATTGTCTCATGCCCCTTTGCAGACCTCTCACTTTGTCTATGAATGCATTAAGGTAAAGGTAAAGGTTTCCCCATGACATTAAAGTCCAGTCATGCCTGACTCAAGGGGGCGGCGCTCATCTCCATTTCCTAGCCGAGGGAGCCAGCGTTGTCCGCAGACAGTCTCCGTGGTCATGTGGCCAGCGTGACTAAACACCAAAGTGCACAGAACGCTGTTATTATGTACTCATTATTTTCTCATCATCTGCCCTGTTCCTGTGTACATGACTAGAAGCCTATAAAACACTCTGTATATGTTGTAAAAGCTTGTAGCTGGTTTGCACTCATCTACCCAACCGTGCTGTTGTAGGTTTGTCTCTGCAGAGAGGGTTTTCCTGGATGTTCTCACCAATAAAACTGCTGAGGTTCCTAACACAGAGGTCTCCCTATGAATCTGGGTGTACATTCTCATGGGCTGCTGATCTGGGACGTCCTGACATTGCTCCAGGAGCCTATTTGTCTAAGGAATGGAATAAAAATAATCCAAAAGTAAATGGATTGCAGTTGGCTGGGGATGCTGGCAGTTGTAGGCTTTTTTTCTGTCTCAACTTGCATTGCACTTCAAATAAATAACTCAAGCAGAGTTTCCACATGCATTTGAATGAATGAGAATTTTACAAAGAATTTGAATGTACGTCTTCAGTCAAACTGTCTGAGAAATTTCAGGAGACTCCCAAAGAATTTTAACAACCTGCTGCTGATACGGTGTGCCTTTCTTGAGATTCTATCCTGGGTAGAATTCCGAAAGAAGACAAGCAGCCCAGAAATGTTGTTTGCATAATCTGTTTATTGGGAATGGTAGCAACCCATATTATCATTATCATCATTTTTAAAGGCTTCTAATTCATAGGAGTTTTAACTGGTTCTGTGATTAATCAATCTGCACAAAACCATATATGGTGAATAAAGCAACAGTTTGGAAGCAAACAGGCACAATGCTTTTGCTTTTGGACAGCAAATGTTCTAGCAGTCGCAGTATCTCACAGATACAATAGCCATATACCCATATGACCCCTTCCACAAAGGTCAGCCATTTGTCTGACGGGTTGCTAGAGGGCAATCCTTTATTTGAAGAGCCACCCAGTCAAATTCTGGTTTAAAAATACAGAGCCCTAAAACTAGTTTCCTTCCAACTACTAGCATCTGGCTAGCAGGACCTCGGATCACTTGGTTATGGGCACCCACATTATACTGACATTACTGCTGCCTGCACGTCTTATATTGAAAATAACGAACATTTGCAGTAAAATTGTACTGTTTGATAAATCAGAGGTGATTTGGGTCTGGCTAGTCCGGGTTTAGGGAAGGCAGGGAAAGTATTTAAAGATCAAAGGCTTTACTTGAACCAGAATAATTCATAATACACTTCAGCAGGCATTTTTATCAAGGCTTTGCTTAGGAGTTGTTACTATGATAGGGCAATCGGTATGCATTTATTAAGAGATGCTGGTAGATCTGAATGCTGTGAAAATGGTACTGACTGGGGCATGCTGGAGGCTATAGGCTTTTTTCTTTCTAATCATTCATAGTTTTCTATCTAAACATTCACCTATACATTCTAGTATTTAGTAGAAGACTAGTAAGTACATTTAGTACCTAAAATGCACCTCTTCTTAAGAGTGGAATGATACATATTATAGTCAATTATTATATCATAATTAAATGTTATTCTTTTAATATTTCTGTTTCCCACTTTGTTGGTAAGATATAAAAGGTAAAGGTAAAGGTTTCCCCTTGACGTTAAGTCCAGACATGCCTGACTCTAGGGGGCGGTGCTCATCTTCGTTTCCTAGCCGAGGGAGCCAGCATTTGTCTGCAGACAGTCTCCGGCATGACTAAACACCAAGGTGCACGGAAAGCTGTTACCTTCCCACCAAAGTGGTACCTTTTTATCTACTTGCATGTGCATGCTCTCAAACTGCAAGGTAAGATAACAGTGTAAAGCTAAAAGTTCAGCACCTGCAGAATTAAATAGCAATATAATCCTATGAAAGCCATCACTGGTATTTGAAGCTTGGGATGATAGGATGGTCTTGAGCACAGCACCTATAAGAGGGTAATGATGGGGACTGGGAAGGGAGTCCCAAAGCCACCTCAACATCGCCAATTCCCACCCTCTTTGGAGGATTCTGGGAAGGCTCTCTTATTAACTGATGAGCAGATGGATACGGGACAAGATGGTTCTTTAGGTTGTTTTTCATTGAGAATTAAAACACAGGCCAGTCATATTTTATCATGTTGCAGGGAGGGCACCCAGGTGAAGTGTGAAGGCATGCCTATGATTACCTGGTTAGCTCGTGGCTGAGGTATGATCTGGATGAGGGCTTTCTCAACCTTTTGCCAGGACATGGCACCAGCTTCCAGGTCTATCAGGCCCAGTGCTAGTGGGATTGTCAAAGCTGTTCCCTCTCCCCACATGCTATTTGGTGGTACTTTTGTTGTAGGTGCTGGTTCCTCTATTTCTGCTTTCTTATGGGGCAACACCCAACCCTCTTAGAGGTGGTTAGTTGCTTCTTTCTTCTGCAGTACCCTGGCTGCTACCTCCCACCACCCTCGCTCTGACAACTTGTACACAATCTTTCCATATTTACATGTTACCGTAATTAGATTCTCCCCTTTCCCAGAGATCAGCAGGATGTTCTTATTGCCACTGAAAACCAGCATCTTGGCATTGTTCTGAACACACTGAGGTTCCTGCCAGAATCTATCGATAGCCACATCCAGGCAATCCCTTATCAGTCTCCATTCTGGTGCATCCAGCATGTCCCTCACCTTCCACAAATTCTCCAAATTCAACGGTTCTGTTCCAGTTCTCAGGCGCTCCATGGCTACATCCAAGTTGTTTATCTGGAGAAGGTACTCAGGCTCACCTTGTCTGAAGAAGACAGAAATCTTGCAGTTTCCCTGGCCAGAGACGAACTTCACCACCTTCCCAGCACACTCGACAAGCATCTCAGCATCTCGTTTGATGATTTCCGGTTCCATGGAAAATCGTTCTGCTGCTCGGTCAAAGCAGGCCAAAGAAGAGAACCCTGGCCTAGACGAACCCCAGCTATGAAGATGGCTCCGTATGCTGAGGATATTCCCAAGGCTGAGGGGCTGTGAGCCAGAGCAAAGGCGAGAAAGGTACATCTCCCAGGTGGGCACAAAGACGTCATACTGGATTTTCCCTTGATTGTGGAAGATGGTGATTGTACACTCTCCATCACCAGAGGTGAACTCCTTCAGAGTGTGTCCATCAGAAATGCTAAGGCGAGCATTGCTTCTCACACACGGAGGCTCCTTCTGGAGCATCTCTAGAGCACAGCTTAAACAGTGGTACATTTTGCTGTCCTTTTCTTCCTTATTCATAGCCACCAGTAAGTTTGCGAAAATGAGCTCCTTTGAGGAATACTGTGTCATTTCACAGGTAATGCCTTCTTATTCCAGTCCCTGGGACAGTTAAAAAATAAGCCCAAGCTTTTCTAAACATGAAAGACATATAATTTCTCCTCATAAGAAAGTAAGAAAAGGAGTTCTGGATCAACCAGGGCCTATCTAGTTTGCAACTTAGGAGTGCTCCTCCACCCAGAGCTGACTCTGGAGGCCCAGGTGACAGCGGTGGCAAGGAGCGCTTCAGCTGATCCACCAGCTGTGCCCTTATCTGAACCAGCACTGCCTGGCAACAGTGACACAAGCTCTGGTAACTTCCCGATTAGACTTCTGTAACACGCTCTACGTGGGGCTGCCCTTGAAGGTGGTCCAGATACTTCAATTGGTTCAAAACAGAGCTGCCAGGTTGCTGTTGGGGGCTGGTTGTTCTTCTCATATAACACTGGTCCTCTATCAACTACACTGGCTGCTGACTGAAGTCTGGACCCAATTTAAAGTTCTGGTCTTGATCTGTAAAGCCCTAAATGGCTTGGGACCAGAATACCTAAAGGAATGTCTTCTTCCTTATACACCCTCCCACCCTTAAGATTTGAAGCAGAGGCCCTGCTCCGGGAACCCTCCTTGAAGGAGGTTAGGAGGGTGAATACCCAGAGGAGGGCCTTCTCTGTGGTGGCGCCCTGACGGTGGAATGAGCTCCCCAGAGAGGTTCGTCTGGCACCAATGTTATATTCTTTTCACTGCCAGGCAAAAACATTTTTATTTGCCCATTATTTTAATATTTAATTATTTTAATGAGGTTTTAACATTGTCATGCTCAGTACTGTACTTTATTTGTGATTTATTGTTGTAAGTCGTCCTGAGATGTCTCGTAAAGGACAGGGTATAAATATTGTTAATAAATAAAATATTGTTTTAAGCCGAGATGCACCGGGTTTTAATATTTTTATTGTATAATGTTTATATGCTTTTGTTTTTGTTGTGAGCCGCCCCAAGGCTTTGTTGCGATGCGGGCGGCATAGAAATGTTTTAAATAAAATAAATAAATAAATAAATAAATATCTAGCCCAACAGTCTTTTCACATGGTGGCCAACCAGATCCTTCAGTAGGAAGCCTATAACTAGACATGGGTGCAAGAGCACCAACTGCCAGCAGCTGCTATATAGGGGCATATTGCCTCTGAACCTGAAGGGACTATATAGCCATGACGACTAGCTTTATCCTCCATGCATTGGCCCAATCCTCTTTTAAATCATCAAAACTGAAAGAACCCCATAGATTAACTAAGCACTGTATTAAGAAGTAACGTCTTAAATGCAGCTTCCTGGGATGACCCCACTGGGTTCTAGGCATGTTCCAAAACCAGCACAGAAATAGAAAGCTACCTCATCTCCTCTGGAAGGCCATGCCAGGCAACAAGTAACCAAGTATGCACACAAGAGCGATCACCACTTTCCCCCCTCCAGCAAGTTTTTGAAAGATTTAAACATGAGCAGCAGGTGGACCAGCTTTGATATATCTTGGTAGGCTCATCTCCAGCACATTTAGATCTTCACCTTGATGACTCTGAGAAATGCTACCAATTCAACGTTTGGAGCTTTTAATGCTGCCATGTGAGGATATGGAGCATTTCTGAAGGAAAATCAAAACATCCCAAGCTCTAGAATTGACAGCTGGATAGCAGCTCCTGCTTTGTTGTAGCACAGAGAGAAAGGGGCATCCCTTCCCAAGGAGACTGGACCATGCCGTGTGCATTTAGAGGCCAGGCTAAGACCAATTCTCTAGAATCTCATTATGTTAACTTGCTAGCTCTTTAGAATTGTAAATATTTAAATATCTTGATTTAAATATCTTGTTTCAATTGTTAGATCATCGTTCAAGAAAAGCATCGTTCTTTGCTTTTCATGATTCCAAACTGCCCAAAAGGCACTACCCACTTGGCTGCCATAATTTAATGAAATCAAAAAGAATCACAAATAAATCTCCGCCTGATTTTCAGGGGTCCCCTCTCTTCTCCTGCCGCCTGCTCACCTGACCTGCCATTTCCACAGGGCGGGGGGGGGGGCGCTGATGATGTGGAATCCTGCTCCAATCAGCCCAGCTGCTCACACCCAGAACTGGGCCCAACCCCATAAGCAACAATGTAGGATTTCCCCCAAGTGTCCTAAAGGGACTTCAGAAAAAAAAGGAGTACAGATTCTCACATCTTTCAGTCCTTTGTATTTTCTCCGGGAGCGGGGCCATGCAGGTGGCTAAGCGAGTCCATGACACAGGCAGGATTAGAAGAAATGGTTCATGGCTCACAGCTCCTGTTCAAAGCCACTGCACCAGCGTCCCCACCTCAGGTCTGTATTATTCTCAAGCCACCTGGAGAAGTCAGCCTAGTACTGATCGCACTTTTAAAAGGACAAAGAAACCCTTCCTTTCCCTTCCTCCCTATATGCCATGGGCCCTCAAACTACGGCCCGCGGAACGGATCCGGCCCCCCATGGCCATCCAGCCGGCCCGCACGTGCTTGCTGCACAGGCGGGGAGGTGGTGGCTTGCTCGCTCGGAGATGGTTTTGGACTCGCTGGGAGATCTCAGCACTCCCCAGAGTGGAATGCGCTCCTCAGAGAGGTCCACCTGGCGCCGTCATTATTTGTTTTTTGGCACCAGGCTAAGTTCTTTTTATTTAAAAAATATTTTAATAATGTTTAATATCTATAGGTTTGAATTGTGCAGCCAGGGTGTTTCTGGATTTTAATTGTATTTTGTACCATGTTTATTTATTTATGTGAGCCGTCCCGAGGTTATAAGTGATGGGACGGCATACTAAAACTCTAAATAAATAAACAAATCTCTGAGCAAGCGAGCCACCGCCACGTGCGCCCGATGCCTCCGAGGGCACCTCACCGGCCCCCACCCCAGGCACCCCCACCTCACTGGCCCGCGACGGTCACCGCAGCCTTTCAACTGGTCCCCTATTCAAAAAGTTTGAGGACCCCTGCTGTATGTGATTCCCTTCCTCCCTATATGCAATTCAGGTAACATGTCATTTTTGTCAAGGCCTGCCACCCAAACTTCCCAACCTTTTTATTTTAACCAGTTCCTGTCCAGCGCCATTAACAGCAGCATAATGTGGACACCTTTACAGGTGATAATTTTTCTTAACAAAGCTTCACCAACTGTTCCTGCATCCAATATACTGGCAGAAGCCAGGCAAGTTACACACCCACAACTCTAGTTGGAGGTCCGATAGCATCTCACCTTGACCACCACGTATTTAGTCTCAGGGTCTTCTGTCTTGTCATCCTTCTCTCCACAGCCTATTTATTTATTTAAGGCTTTTCTATACCGTCATTTATTCTGGAGCATCTCCAGATTATTAGATTTGTATCCCGCAGCTCGTCCTCCGATCCCCTTCACGGAAAGCGGGCCTGGGAAGGGCTCCTGCGAAGTCCCATCCTCCCGTCCCCTCCAGCTCTCTCGCTCCCTCCCTTCTCTCACCATGCCCGTAAAACGCCTCCTCCTATCTGGTGCGCTCCAGAGCTGTGGCACTACGGGTCCCATCACCCCGTCCCCCAGCAAGCGTCCTCTGCTGCTCACAGGCGTGCTTACCACGGCTCGCAACGCTGCAGGAGACGCTTTGCCTTGCGCCTTGTCCCTTCGTACCTTGTGCGAAGTTGGTTCGAGCCTCGCTGCTTACGTGGAAGTCAGTTCCACCTGCATCCGGCCGGGGAAAAGCCCTTCCCTTCGCGTCTTGTCTCGCTTTCCATTCTCCCCTCCCCAAGACTAAGTCAGTTTCGATTTCCCCAAAGCATGTTCTTTGCTGGAAACGGACTTTCATCAGCCTGCCACCGGGGTGGCGCAAGAGAGCAAGGCCCGTTTAAGCAAGAAATCAACAGGCTCACGGGCCTTTTCTGAAATTCGGAGTTCTGGACCTCCCTCATCCTTCTCGTGGCCTGAAACACGTGTGAACAGTGTTTACAATGTTCCCAGCGTAGTACAAAGAATGCTAAAGGCAGACTCGGACCTTAGGAGCAGGATTTAATACCGACAACAGAAAAGGAAATAGGTAAGGGGAGGGAGGGAAGAGATAAGCAAAGATTGGGACCAGGGATGGGAACATGTGGGTTCTCATCCGTGCCATCACGCTCGGCTGCAGAGGAGAGAGCCAGGGGTCCTTGGTCTGGTGAGTGGAGCCAGTCTCACGGAAAGCATCCACCGGGGCCACAAAAGCTCGTTTACCACATGGCCAGAATGTAATAACCAGGTGCTAAAAGAGGGAAGAATGAATAAAACAACAGGGGTTGGATCCAGTATCTGCCTTCTATGAGAGGAAAGGACTGTGGTGGAAGGTTTTTTGCCCCACCGTGTAAGCTGCTTTGAGTTCGTTGAAAAAAAAGGGGGGGGTGGTATATAAATCAAATAAACCATTCAGCAGGGTCTCTTGACTCTCTGCAGGGTTTTCAGGGGGCTGGAAGGGCTGTAATATGGAGGGAGTAAAGTCCTCTTTCACCAACACATTTGATCCAAATTAAATCTGAATCCAAGCTTATATGTTTAGTCTTGTAATTATTTCACTATTTAATATGATGCCTTAAAAAAGATGATGTATCTTCTGGGGGATGGTACTTTGCACATGTTCATGGGTATTCTACCCATGTAAAAAAGCTGTTTGCTGTCAAAGGGAAAAGGAATTCTGCATGTGGTCTTGCTTGAAAAGATAGTTTCTTAGTATCATTTTTGTCCAAAATAGAAACCAGTTTCCCTAGAAACCAGTTCCACCAATGTGCCTCGAACATGCTCAATAGCACTCTGCCCATGTACAGTGGTACCTATCCTGTGTTGCTTGGATGAGGAGGTGTCACTGCACAAAAGTCCTGCTTGTGGGATCCTGTGGGCAGCTGGATGGCCACTGAGTGAACAGGATGCTGGACTAGATGGGTGCTTGGCCAGATCCAGCACAGCACAAGCTTTTATTCTGCATGCGTCTCCCCATGACGCAAATATGCACGCCTATCATCTGTCCAGAATTTCATTGCCAAGAAAAAAATAAAACAATCCCCCACCACATTTAGTCTTTTCTTCATTGTATCCCCCTGTATTCTGTATGCAGCATTAAAGAAGAAAAAAGATGGGATCTGATCAGTGAGATGGCACATTGTTACACATGCTCGTAGGTGGAATACTGAATTTATTTCCCAGATCCTTATTTTTAAAATAAAATGAGCAAAAGATGTACCTTTCCTGGAGGAAGTCACTCTTACCATGCTCACTGGTACTCTGCATTTCCAAGTCTTGATATATTTTTATTTATTTATTTAAAAAATGTGTAGGCCATCCATTACTGTCGTCTCTGAACGGCTCACAACATTATTTCAGACTTCAATAAAATAAAATAAAATAAAATAAAATAAAATAAAATAAAATAACTATTCCACACTGAGCATCATTTAAAATAATTTAAAATAAATAAGTCATTTCACAATTAAAATTACTATGTGTTAAAATATTGGCCAAATAAAAAGGTCTTTAGAAGAAAAACATGTAATGATGGCGCCAGGCGGACCTCTCTAGGGAGTGCATTCCATAGTCGCTTCTGCTTCCCCTCACAGGGAAAACTAGAATTGCTCAGAAGTTCCAGGTACCGTAGTCTGATTTGGTGAAAGAGATGCTGGATCTCTTTTCCATCTTTCTGAAGAAAATGCACTCTGCACCTGCTTGCTAGCATTCAGCCTATGGTCTTGTAGTTTTTTTAAATCGAATTTTGGTGATATTTTAAGAACGCCTAGAATTTGATAGACGGCATGCATGGTTAGAAGTCACAGACATGCATTTATTTGTGTGCCACGGGAACGTTTCCTTTGGCACACTGACCTGCAGTCTAGTGCTGCATGTGGGCACTGCAGCAAAATATTGCAGCGTATCTTAGGTGCAATATTTAAAGGTGTGCTTTACTTCAGGGCTCCTGCCAGCAGTGGTGCCCTTAGATAATGTTGAGTGTTGATTTACTCGTCTCATACAGCCCACCCTTAGCCAGCTCTAGGTATGAAGTCTTCAACTGAGAAGCACTCATTTACTTGAGAATACGTATCATTTTCTTGTAGAATGGGTTCTTCTGATAGTAAAAATAATAAAACGAGCACTGGTAACCTGATGCATGCTTTGCCAACAACCCCAGCCGGAATGGTTTGTAAAAGAAGTGTGGCAGCAGAGTCAGCCCACAGTCGGTGATGCTGGGTGGCCACTTAGGGGGCCTGGAAGTCCAGCCCTGGGCCCCCCACAACCCTCCCGGGAGTTATCAGCTGAGTAAGGACGGGTGGGAGATACAGAGCAAGTAGAACGACTCACGGGCCTATCTATTTTTAAGTGCAAATACGTTGCTTCTAAAACAAAGCACAGCACAGGTTTAATGTTTTTATTACTCTTAACGTTTTTAATTCTGCTTCTGAGCATATCCTTTCTTAGAAATGAGGGGAAAAATCAAATTGCTACAAAGAAGGAACAGAAAAATTAAACTTAGCACAACTGGACTTCCTTAACACCTGTATTGTGCTGCTGATGTGTGAAAAGCCCGGGGGAATAGAAAGCCCCCTAAAATAGGCAGCTGTTGGTGCAGATCTAGGAAGAACATTCCTTGGACACGGATGGAGCCACAGGCTTAACATCCTCCAAAACTGTGATGGCAGAGGCACTCACCTGGATCTGAATTTGCAGGTGGCAAACTGGGGCAGATTTTTTAAAATCAGTTTTAGGAGCCTGCAGAAACCTTGAGAGATTGAAGTGAAAGTTTACCATGCTGGCTTGCTTTTCCGCTCCTTTCCCCCTACACCAACTGAAGAACTGAGATGGCAGTTTCAAACAAGTCATAAAAGAAAATGGATTTATTTATTTGATATTTATTACATACAGATACTGTCTAGTACAGGTTCTCCAGGTGGTTCATAAGAGTTACATACATAAAATGCAACATGATGGACCATGATATAAAACTTGTACAGATTTAAAAGTATCTACAAGATTTTAAAATACTGTAACAAAGCTGAATTGAAAACAAAGCAAAGCACTTAAGGACTGCAGTGCCTGGAAAAGGCGAAGTAGCACAGCAAGCACCCTTTTAATGAGATCCCAAACTCTCTTGCGCTTGCCTCCCCCTTTCAGAGTATGGTTTGAAAGAAGCAAGGTCCAGGTACTTCAGTTCAGAGTGTGCGTATGTATTGTGACCTGTCAGCGATGCAACAGCTCTCCCCATTGCCTTTCTGGACCTGAGCTGCCATTTGTGCTGCAATGAACCCATGGATGCCCTGGATCCTAGAGAAGTAACAATATGGGGGCTTCCAGATGAGCCTTTTCAGAAGCGTACCATCTTTGTCTCTCATCCATGGAATTTTGCAGGGGGGTGTCTAGGCTACATTGATTTCTGGCCATAATGTTCCCGTTTCCAGCTTTTTTCTTGCTGCAGAAATTTCTTGTGGGGAGAAAAAGCAGAGGAATTGCATGATGGCCAGGTTCAGACGACACCATAAGGCAAGGTAGTTTTTCAACACTGTTGGTCTGTTGTGCTGCCTGAAGCTAGTCGTGGTATTTCAGCAGGATAAATTTGGTCTTTAGGAACAATGATAAAAAAACAAGCTTGTTCTATGGCTTCTGCATGCCGCCATGGCTTGTTGCATTGTCTGAACCTTCCATCATGGTTTCCATGGCCCTGGTATGCTACTACCACTGAGTCCTCTGGAAAGAGTGGCAACTGCTGGAGCCACTCCAGCCATTCGTGCATGGGCCAATGATAAAGAGGCGGGCAACTAAGGCAGGGCGTGATGCACCTTGGGATTGAATTTCAGGCTCAATGGGTGATCACATATGGGAGAACTGAGTGGGGAGGATGGAAACCATGATACTTGCCAGTCTGTCAGGTAAAAACGCTCAAACCATGGTAATCGCGCAGAGCTGCTTGTTGTGTTGTACGAATGCAAATGATATCTTGTGATTGGTAGCACCAGTTATGGCAGCTGCTTTATCTTGCATTTATTGGATGGGCTTTTAAATTGCCTTTCATGATAAATCTCAGATGCCTTCTGTCCACCCAGTGGATTGTGCATGTATTAGCAAAGCTTGGTTACCAAACACTGGGAGTGAGAGCCCTCACAAACTCATCCCAAAGTGTAGAAAGCACAATATTATATTTGATATTTTTATCTTTTGTCCTATAGATTTTCATGAGGTTGTCCCCCGCACCAGAAATTAACTGCAGCTGTCTTCCATCGCTCGCTATCTCCATCCAGCAATTGTTCTGCACACGGACAGGCTCTCGGCAAAACTGATCGAAGGCATATTCCAAGCAAGCCTTGAGGCCTTTGGTAGTTTCCCTCCAGGAGAGGATTTCCTGCTGTATCTTCTGTAGGTTCTCCTCGCTTAACAACAAAACACCATCTGGTGACTTCTCTACTGCTGCACTGAATGTGGGGAGCTTGACCGTGTAGTCAGTGTAGGCATCTGCATAGCGCACATGAATGCTGATCTCTCCCTTGCCAGAGACAAACGCCAGCTTCTTCTCCTCGCCTTTGATCACCAGGCAGGCGTTCTCCTGCACGCAGCTTTCTTCGCGGCTGAATTTTAGCAGTGTTTCATCCAGGCATTTTTCCAGGGCTGGGGAAAGGGCACCCAGGGATTCCAGGCGATTGCGCACCTTTGCAATGTTCTCCACGCTGAGTTCCTCCGGCCGGGTTGACATTAGGATTGCGCCCTTATCCATCCCTGCCAGGGACCGTGCATTGTAGGAGAAAGAGAAATGGCATGACGATGCACTCATGGCAGTGGGGGCTTTTAAAAATGAGTGCGAAAAAGGAGTCGCAACCACTTTCCATTCCAGCAATGCCACCCATTCACACACGTTTTCAGAACGCTTACACCCATTCCCTCCCATTCCTTAATTTGCAGACAAAATAAGTTTTGCTTGTTTTATATTAAATTACATACAGGCATCACTCTAACTCAGTCCTACATATGAATATTTCCTCTGTCTTTGCTGAAGCTTATAAATAATGGATACACCTGGATAAGATGTGGTTATATTGATATTTATATTTAAGCAATTACTAATTTTATTATTTTTCAATTTATATCCTGCCTTTTTCCTACAAAGGGCTCAAGGCAGCTTACATCATTCTCCTCCTCCATCTTATCCCCACAACAACAACCCTGTGAGGGAGGTTGGGCTGAGAGTGTGTGACTGGCCCAAAGTCACCCAGTTGGCTCCATGGCTGAGCGGGGACTAGAACCCAGATCGTCTGAGTCCCAGTCCCATGCTCTTAACCACTACACCACACTGGCTCTCAGAGTTTTCTTTCTAATTAGATTCTGTTTTGATGAGATTCATAATATAATTAAATTGAAAAATGGTTATAAGGCCTTAGAGTGGGAAACTGAGGAAGCTAAGTGAGCGAATTGCTTCCAAGAGGTCTAATATAATGCACAGCCAAATGGGTTTTGAAATATGAACTTCAGCTTTACATTTTCAAGGTAGGTCTGTCATATCTACCTATCATTCCAGATATTCGCATAAACATGTAGACCCACCAGGGAACAAACTCCAGCAAGAGACAATCTAGAAATCCAGGCTTCTAATCACCTCCACTGTAAACTCCTTAAAAATGGGTAGTTAAAACCAAACGGGACTGTGAGGGGCTCCAAAGGGATCTCTCCACAGTGGGAGAAGGGGCATCAACATGACAGGTGCAGTTCAATAGAAGGAAGTGTAGAGTAATGCCATGTTGGGGCAAAAAAATCCAGCTTCAAGCATAGGCTGATGGGAGCTGAACTAGCAGTGGCTGAGCCGGAACAGGCTCTTGGGGCAGTGGCGGATAGTTCGATGAAAATGTTGGCCCCAGCGCGCAGCTGCCGTGAAGGTGGCAAACTCTGTCAGGCGTAATTAGGAATGGAACAGAAAATAGGACTACCAAAAACTTCCTTCCCTTATACAAATCTTAGGTGTGACTGCACTTGGAATAGTGTGTCCGGTTCCACCTGAAAAGGGGCATTAATGAGTTGGAAGAAGTACAGAGAAGGGCAACAAAAATGATCAGACGGCTGGAGCAGCTCCCCTTGAGGAGCAGCTACAAAAACTGGGACTGTCTCGCTTAAGAAAAAGGCGAGCTAGCGGAGACATGATCGAGGTGTTTAAAATAATGCCATGGTGTGAGGAAAGTAGAAAGGGAGAGCTTTTTCTCCCTGTCCCACAACACTCAACCCTGGGGTCATCCTGTGAAGCTGACTGGGGGAAGGTTTAGCACAGACGAGAGAGAGGAATACGCTGCCACGGGAAGAGGTGCTGGCTGCCAATCTGGATGGCTCTTGGATGGTTTGGACAGGTTGATGAGGGAAAGGCTGTCAGTGACTGCGAGCCTTGCTGGGCTGCCTCCTTGACCAGGGCTGGCATGCCTGCACGCACCCAGCTGGGCAGGAGGTGGTCTTGCCCCCCTCCCGCTCGAGGGGTCCCGTGGGCAGCTGCTTTGCCACTTTGTACAGAGCGCTGGCCTAGATGCACCTCCGGTTTGATCCAGCAGGGCTTCTCTCACGGCTTTTCCAGAGAACTTGCCCCCCCCCCACCGTTACCTGTGCTTTGACTCCTGCAGGTGGTCACCTCCATGTCTTGCGGAGACTGCCCTCAGAGGACCGCGATCTGTCGGTGTCCGTCTCGACGGGAAAGCGTGGCCTTCAAGCACCGACTGCCTATTTAATCCCCCGTCCCATCCTCCACTTTCGGTTTCCTGACTAGTGCGGCCGCAGCTTTTGGTTTCGTCGGGACCTTGGCCAGGAGGGGTGCTCGAACCAAGCGCTTGTCCCCGCCTCGTGCATTTCTTTGCCTCGCATCGGCTCTTGCCCGGACAGGAAAGATGCCGGCAGGCGCGGAGCCGGCGGCGGGGACAGGGCGGCCGCTGGTCAGACTGGCTGCGGCAGGAGGTCACGTGGGTGCGCACGCGCGTCTCTGCGCGCTGCTCCCGGAACCAGGATTGCCAGGAAAACGAAACTCAGGCGTGGAAACGCAACTGCCGAGGAAGTCGGAGCGATAGGCGAGCCGCTTGGGAAAACGCCAGGAGGAGAAAGACCCTCTGCATCCTGAAGGCGAAAGAGGTACGAAGCGTTCTGCAGTTCTTCGCAGAGTTAAGCCGCTGCGAATCGAGTGACAGTTTTGGAGAGAAGGCGCCTTTTGTGAACGAAAGCGAGGTGGAGGGAGCATTTTGACGTGCCTTCACAGCTCTGTGCAGCCTTTCCTCGTTCTTCTTATGAATGCAAGGGACAGTTATTTACACTGTCCAGAAATTTGGATTTTTTTGGGGTGGGGGGGGGCTGGAGATAGCGAGAGGATTTCCAGAATTTGGGGATGGGCGGGGAACTTGCTCCCATCCCTCCCTCGCGGTTGGCCGGGGCAGATAGGAATTGGGGTAGAGCATTGGCCTGCCTGGCTGGAGCTACACTCTTCAGGGAAAAGCATTTTGGGCCCGCAACCAGGGGTGGGGGGAAGCATGTTTCAGAGAAATGAAGGACGTCAGTCCTGGCGCGGCGCCTGATTTGCTGCGGAGCATCAGACGCAGCTCAGTTCCCAGTCTGCGCATCCCGCTCTGAGCAAGCCTGTGGATCCTTGAGGCATCCAACAATGCCTTCCATAGTCAGGCTGGAGCATTTAATTTAATTTGTATTTATTTACCTGGGTATTCCTAAATGACCTTTCATGGAAAGTAGATTAAACTGTCTTAAGATGTATGCCCGAGGGTGGATGTTAGGATGGCAACCTTATTTGAAATCCCAGGATAAGAGCCTATCACACTCTCTAGAACAGCCTTTTCCAACCTGGTGCCCTGCAGAAGTACTGGACTACATCACCCATTACTCCCAAACACTGGGATTGTGCTGCTGTGGAGGATGGGAACTGGAAGGCTAGGAGGGCACCAGGTTTGGGGAGCCCTACTGCAAGTGCTGCTAAAAAAGCACCCCCCCACCCGCCTGAATTAAGAACAGGGATGTGATGCCTTCCTGAATCTTTGTGTAGAGGCCAGGTCGTGCAGGTTCCTTTTAACATCTGCCAGACAGGCATTCCACAGGAGTAGTTCTTCTCATTGGGACACCAGTCTATGATGCCTGCTGTCGACACTCCAGCCCTGCCCCCCACCCAAGAGTACCTCCTCCATGCCCCCTTCTCTGGGGATGCCCTTCAGTCTCCTGAGTTCAGAGATGTAGGAGTATTGAGGGAGCAAGTCACAAGACTGCACCCTGAGACTGACATATTCCACTGACATAGACACTTGTTAGAGATAATTAACTGGAAAACATTGATTGCACCTTTGAAACCACTAAGCTTGCCTAATACTCAGGTTGCAATTGGCATCCATTCATTGTTACTGATGAACCTAAGAAGTAACCTTCCCACTTCTTCCCAGAGGACTGAACCCCTGAGCCGTTGGAACGGATTGTGCCACTGGGAGCACCATGGAAATCATTGACAAGGACTTCGAGGAAAGACTTCTCAAGATAACTATGATGGATCTTGTGGCAAAGAAGACCGCTGTGGAAGAAGAAAACAAGATGTCCCCAGCTCTAGCGGCCTGCTTCAGCCATGCTGCAGAACTCCTGAGAAAGGATCCAAACATTTTCGGAGAAGTGCAACTGGTCCTCCAAGGCGGAGGATCATGTGTGAGTTTAGCTCCTGCTAAGTATTTCGACAGGCGCATTATTTGGTATGATGACCATTTGAAGGTTGTCCAGGATGACCTGGATGTCTGATTATCTCCAGCTGCTCCAGATGTTTACTGAATTGTAGCCGTTTTGCATTGCTGAGTAGGCATTGTTTGCATTTTCCGTAAAGCATTTCTGCTTAACAGCTGTGTGACTTTGTAATACTCTTTGGAGTGATATTTCTTGTGCTGCAACAAATAAAATAAAGTGTCTTGTGGCCACCTTGTGGATTTTATTATTTACTTATTTATTTTCTGTACCACCCAGTAGCTAAATCTGTCTGGGTAGTTCACAGCAATTAATGCATACAGCATATGCAATAAAGTATAAATGTAATACACACAGCATAAAATCCCAGTATACAGATTTGAAGCAGCTAACATACAAAAATATAGAACAGTGCAACATCCTAAGTATTTTCATTAAAAAAGTAGACCTAAATAAAATAACTCCTTCATGGATCACTGCCTTGTCGTGGCGAAGGGGCTTGTGTAGCTCAATGAAGCTATGAGCTATGCTGAGCAGGGCCACCCAAGACAGACTGGTCATATCAGAGAACTCTGGCAAAACATGAACTACGGGAGAAGGAAATGGCAACCCACTCCAGTATCTTTGCCATGAAAACCCCATGGACAGTACCAAAAGGCAAAAAGATATGACGCCGGAAGATGAGCCCCTCAGGTCAGAAGGTGTCCAATATGCTACTGGGGAAGAGCGGAGGGCTAGTACTAGTTGCACCAGAAAGAATGGAGTGACGGGACCAAAGCCGAAAGGACACTCAGCTGCAGATGTATCTGGTGGTGAAAGGAAAGTCCGATGCTGCAAAGATCTATACTCCATAGGAACCCGGAATGTAAGATCCATGAATCAAGGCAAGCTGGACGTGGTCAAACAAGAGATGACAAGACTGAACATCGACATCTTAGGAATCAAAGGGGCCAGAATGGATTAACCTTAATTACATTGAATCTCATGGGGAAATTTGACTTGGGTCACAACCAGTTTGGGTCACAACCAGAGTTGGATGTAGGAATATTTCATTTCAGTTTGCAGAATCATCCAGACTTGTATACTATGTGACCATAAATGTGGAACAGTTTTTAAATGTTTGCACATTCCCACTATTCCCAAAAATGCAGATTGTATTTATTTATTTCTTGAAATTAGCACTTTCTCAACAATGCTCATTTTCACAGTTTGGTCAGGAGAAACGTTTGGGAAGGAAGTATGCAACTTTGAAAAATGTTCAGAGAAATGCATGCGTTTCCTGTTCAGAGTGCACACATTCCCATTCAAGTGAATTGAAAAAGCAGATACAAAGAAAACAAGCTGATCCAAGATGCAAAGTGAAGTTTGCAGAATTTTGCTGAGCTCGGCCATTCCTGGCTTCCTCGTCCCCAGCTTGGAGTCAGCCTTGATCCTGCAATCTTTATGTATTGTCTGTCTGTCCGTTCATTCATTTGTTGTGCACCCTTTTGCTTTATTTTGGCGAAACCCACAGTACAATATCAATGGAAATTGGGTTCCTTGATCAGTTTGTATTATCAGCAGAGTGAGCCCCTGTACGTGCAAAGTGGGAGCCCAGAACACAAGGCGTTTCCTTCATCGAGCAACTAACTGAAAGCCCTTTTGCAGCACTAGAAGCTGCCACTCAGGGGACACACAAGGGGCCCTGGGTTCAAGGCAGTGATGCTCAACACAGCGCTGCGGGAAGGTGCCTCTGCCCGCTCGCAGGATCCCTCAGCACCCCCACGTCGCAGCCCACCCTACTCTGGAAGGTCTCCCCGCTCTTGGAAGATGCTTCTGGGGAAGCTGGAGGAGTGAGATGGAAAGCCACCCCCACCCCCACCCCCCCACTTCCAGCAGCACGGCTCTGGATCTAAATTAGTAAGCTTGAACTGATTAATCTGTTGCAAATGGAACCGTCCCTTTGTCCTCCAGTGCTCATCATTTAAGGGGTTTATCTTGTCCTTTCCGTCTTATTAGGATCACTGTTTGAATTTTACAGTGCCTTTTAGTTACACTGCATTGCTTTGTTTATTTGTGTCAGAAGCATCACAATTAAATTAAGGCATAATCCTTTAGAGATTAAAGGAAACTGAGATTTAAAAAAAAGAATGTGGGAGAAACTGAAACAGATCTGGGGTTTGTCACTGTATAACTGAGTTTTCTCAGCAAGAAACGTCACTTCATTTTCCCATACTAAGCCAGGAGGAGATCTCATCGCCTGAAAAGTCACCACAACATTTATAAATGGTGGTGTGGTTGTGAGCATTAAGAAAGGTCACTGTTCCGTTTTCATAGTTCAGGGATACCCGGACCTTCCTTGGCATATCCTTCACACGAAAAAGTGTGTCAACATTGCTTGTGGGATTTGGCCCCTGAGACAACTGACAAGAAGCGAACGCACTTAGACTCCCATCAGGAAACTTGCCCAGCGCCCAGATTCCTTCGAGCGGATATTTACAGCCATCCCTTAGATGCTCTCTGGCCACCCCCACAGCCCAGAACCGTTCCTGGGGCACATCCACTTCCCAGGAGTGGCTCCCAGAGGCTATTCTCTCAGTTCCCATAAGGTAGGTCCAGCAATGCAGTGGGTCGCTCTGGGGCGATGACACGATATTCTGCTGTGAAAATGCTGAATTCCTATTTGAAAATGCTGAATTCTGCTGTGGAAATGCTGATTTCCTATATGAAAATGCTGAATTCTGCTGTGGAAATGCTGAATTCCTATTTGAAAATGCTGAATTCTGTGATCGTTGTTGCTCCACCAATTTCATTACTGTGTCATCCACTGCCAGCCATACTGTTGGAATTGCCACTGTACGATTTGTTGGATTTGTCACTGTAGGAATTGTCATGCTTTCTCTTCCAGTCAGTAGTCTTTCTACGAGAGAAAAGGAAAGATCAGGGAGGAAGCCCAGGGAGATATAGACGTGATTGGGAGATCTGGGCTCTGGCCTCCGCTCAGCCATTAAGCTCACTGGGTGGCTTTGGGCCAGTTCCTCACTCTCACTCTCACACTGACCTACCTCACAGGGCTGTTGTTATAAGGATAAAATGGGGTTATGTAAGCTGCCTTGGGCTCTACACAAGAAAAAAAGGCAGGATATAAATACAAAGCAGTAAGAATGATGCAACATCCACAAACTCAGGGCCCATTTCAGTCAAAGCAACTAACACTAGGTAACACTGGTCTCCCCTTCATGGATCACTGCCTCGTCGTGCCGAACGGGCTTGTGTAGCTCAATGAAGCTATGAGCTATGCTGAGCAGGGCCACCCAAGACAGACTGGTCATATCAGGGAACTCTGGCAAAACATGAACTACGGGAGAAGGAAATGGCAACTCACTCCAGTATCTTTGCCAGGAAAACCCCATGGACAGTACCAAAAGGCAAAAAGATATGACGCCGGAATATGAGCACCTCAGGTCAGAAGGTGTCCAATATGCTACTGGGGAAGAGCGGAGGGCTAGTACTAGTTGCGCCAGAAAGAATGAAGCGACTGGGTCAAAGCCGAAAGGACACTCAGTTGCAGATGTATCTAGAGGTAAAAGGAGAGTCTGATGCTGTAAAGATCCGTACTCCATAGGAACCAGGAATGAAAGATCCATGAGGAAGATCCTGGGGAGAAAAGCTATGGGGCCTTTGAATTGTGGTGCTGGAGAAGACTCCTGCGAGTCCCTTGGACTGCAAGGTGATCAAACCAGTCAGTCCTAGAGGAGATCAACCCTGACTGCTCTTTAGGAGGCCAGATCCTGAAGATGAAACTCAAACACTTTGGCCACCTAATAAGAAGGAAGGACTCACTGGAGAAGAGCCTGATGCTGGAAACAATAGATGGCGAAAGAAGGAGGGGACGGCAGAGGATGAGGTGGCTGGATGGAGTCACTGAAGCAGTCGGCATGAGCTTAAGTGGACTCTGGAGTTGGTGGAGGACAGGAGGCCCTGGAGCAATGTTGTCCGTGGGGTCGCGATGGGTCGGACACGACTAACGACAACAACAACACTGGACTGCACTTCCTGCCACAGATCAATGGATGTAACAACCTCGGCTTCCTTGGTAGCCTTAACGTGACTGCCTGTTTCTTACCCTTAGTCCCACCTCCTAAGATATGTGCACCAATAATAATGGACTTTCTCTGAGTGCACTAACAAAGGCTTACATACCCAAGGCAAAATCATTTTTTAAAGTCTGAGCTTCAGAAGATTGTGAATTCCTGACTTGGCTGCTTTTCAGATTGTTCAACCACAGCAGCAGTGAAATCTCGGATTTCTGATCCATTTGAATCGAGCAGTAACCCCTCCCCACCAAAGAAGGAAGACTAAGAGAGAAAAAATGTGCAGAAATGAACCAGGGTGGTCCCACTCCGGATAGTGGCTGTGCTTTGGTTACATGGGCAGGACCAAAACGAGCCAGTTCCTCACAAAAGGAATGGGAAGAAGGACCGCTGCACGTTTTGCCTCGGGGCAGGAGTGCCGCAAGGGCCGGAGCCCTCCTTCTTCACTGCATGCTTGGCATCTGGAGTTTAGGACTCTGCCCGTGGACAGCTGCCCCCCACCCACATGCCCTCCCCCTCCCTGAGCACTAGATGCTCAGGACGGGGAAGCAAACCGCATGGGCTTCCTGGAAGCCTGTGGCTGGTCACTGCCGGAACTCAGACACCGAACTGAGGAGGAGCTTGAGCCTGATCTGGCACAGCGTATGTCCTTGTGATTAGGAGGGAAGAATGGACATGAGCCGCCAGGATGGCTACATCAGCGGTTTTACTGGTTCCTTTAAAGGCAGGTGCCAGGAGGCAGCCTGGCAACCCTAACAAAGCATTACAAAAGGCTGGAACACAACAAGTCAGCCAGAACCTCATAGCTGTATTTTAATGCCACCCTTACAAATTCATGTGCAGACTCTTTGTTACCTCTGAAATCCTTCACGACCGTCTCAAAAGATGTACGTGACTCGGAGAACTTCTTAATATCTTCGCTTAATTTAGGAGGAAATGCTTTTTGATACTCCCAGGGTTTTTCTTCACACCTGGGAAGACACAACCAATATTTTCTATAAATCCATCTATTCTCAAAGCTCTTAATTCAGTAGAAAAATTGGGACACCAAAGAAAGGTTTGTGATGGAGTACAGAACTTGTGACCCATGGGCTGAATCCTGCCTTTGAAAGTTCTGCATTTAAGCTGCAGAAACTCTGTGGATTTTTCCATGGGACAGAGTTTGACATTCCTTTTCAAATCATCTGCCTGAAGTTTAGATGGGGATTTTGCATGATACACAATGTTTAAACTTATAGCAGCACCGGAACAGAAGTACCTAAAATATACTTAAATGTAAATGTACCTCACTAATTTACTTTAACAGCCATTGTGGTATGCAAATAAAGCTGGCATGGATAATTGGGGCAAGCAATGGGAAAGGTTTTCCACCCTTTTCGTCCCACTATAACTCACCCACTGTAAACACTCAGAATCTGTTGTCCGGAATCTAGTGGCCTGAAGGCAATTCATCAAGGACTGTGATTACTGTAATGAGCTCTATGTGAGGCTACCTTTGCAAACAGTCCGGACATTACACTAATGCAGGACAGGGCAGTGAGGCTGACCACTCAAGCCCACCTTCAGCTGCAAGAGACAGCGATGGTCTTGCGCTGCCCTCAACGGCAGGCGGAATTTCCCAGATGCTCTGCTCAACGCCTGCACAGAATACGCGTCGCTCAGCAATCAAGATGACAGTAGATGAACAACGCTGCCCCCCGCCAGGGAGTCCGATAGCTTCCCCGCACGACCACAGAGAGGCAGACTGCTCGCACGCAGCCCCTGCTTCCCCCATGTTTTAATATTTATTTATTTAAAACGTTTATATACGGTCCACTACTGAGGTCTCATGGCAACGTCACTCACCTTGGTAAGATGTCTCTGATGTCCTACAGGGATGAGAGAGAGAGAGAGGGAGAGAGGGAGAGAGGGAGAAATTTAGATGCATGTGCCAGTCCCTCCCATGCACCAGATGCCTGTTAAAGCCACAGGGGACATACTCTGGCTACACTCCCTAGCAGTGCAAACCAGCACAGCTGTAGCAACACTTCTCTGGAGGAACTCTGCATCTGAATGCTGCCAGGACAAAAGAAGGCCACTTGAAAAACAAGCCAGCCAGCAAGGATCCAATGCTTCAATTCAATGGCTGTTTTGCATTGTGTGACCTGTTAGGTCTCATTAAGTGCTGCTGATTGCTGATTTTTGACTTTTTGCCTGGTTTGAAATGATTGCATTTAATTTTAGAGCTTTATAAAAGGGGAAACCATCCTTCCCTGAACCATTTCTTCTTTATTTCGTATTTATTCTCACCTGCAAGAATTCATCTGCTGACTGCTTCAGTTTCTCCTCCACCTCCTTGATGAGGCTGTCTATGGAGGAAATTTTATCAGAATATTCGCTACTGTATTTATTGTTGGCATCTGTAATCTGGTCATCCAGATCTTTCAGTTGCGCCAGCAGGAACTCCTCTCGCTCTTTCAGAAACTTCCGCAGTTGCTCAAATTCGGCCACAATTTTTTCTCTCTCTCTTTCTGTTTGCTCCTGCAAAGAGAAAGGGAAAAGCGGGAGAAGGGATGGCTTGAATGAACTTGCATCCTTCTTTCTTTTTGGAGGACTGATAAGCACAGCCATGCAGGAGTGTGGGGGGGGGGGGCGGCACATGCTGTCACTGCATGAGAATGAATCAAAATGCCTTGAGGCACAAAATGGCGGGCAAGCAAGTGCTGCACAGAACATGACATTCGCAAGCACTCCTCAAGCAACAAGATACCTGGCTTCAGTGGATTCTCCCAGGACCACCTTGCTAATTTGCACAACACTTTCGTCCCTCCCTCCCTCCCTCCCTCCCTCTCTCTCATGTGTAAGGATCCAGCCACAGAAAGGAATATGAATATTCAAAGCTACCTTTGATGGAGGCAGCGTGCTAATCCATCTAGCCTGGGACTGTCCCAACAGGCTGCCAATGGATGGCCAAGATCTGGAGCAGAGACCTTGCCTGGCTTTACCACTTCGTAAAGCGAAGGGGAGCGAGCAGGGAGATCGTGGCCTCCAGACTTAGCCTACAACTCCCCACTTCTTTCACCACTGGCTTTCCTGGCTAGGGCCACTGGGAGTTGTAGGCCAAATGATCTGGAAGGCTACAGACTGGCCAGCCCTGCATGAGGTGAACCAAGCTGTCAAGGTTTACATCTGGGACATTCCGAGATGTTCTGCAGGAGCTGGGATAGAAAAGCTTCTAATAAAATTAGATAAATAAAAGTAACACATTATCTGTGCGGAGGACATGCTCCACCACTGAGCAGCGGCTGCAGCTGGCAAGTAAATCTATTCCCCAGAAGCGGCCAGTTCTGCAAGGGTACTTACCAGCAGTGTCTTGCCTTCAGCTTGCTCCTTCAATATAGCAGAAACATACTTTTCTTTCTCCTCATTCAGAAGTTTCAAATCACTCTGAATTTTACACTGCCACACAAAACGAGAAATATTGGATTACTTGTGTTGGCAAAGAAGATACATTGGTAAGTGTTACGGCCACTGCTGTCTGCTCAAGGCTGAGCTCCGAGTTCTTTACAGAAAGAAAATAGCCTCGAAAGTGTTCCCAGGAGGTGCCATTCTCTTCACAGCGTCAGTTTCTCCTTTCCTTCTTGCACTTTTGCCAATAAAACCCTCTTAACTCCTGGGTTTGAGAGATGTCAGTGTGGCTGTACAGTGTATTACTGAGTCATGTCCACACCTTAGCAACGTTTGATGCCCAGGAATTCTTCATATCAATATGGGCGATGGAATCTTTACCCATGTTTTGCTCTGAAGATTGCCAGAATACTCACAAACACACATACAGCATTTAATGTACATGGAGGTCCAAACCATTTTTACTTTTGCTGTATTTTACTGTGGTTGTATTCTAATTGATTGATTTGCTTTGAATCCCACTTTCCTATCAAGGAAATGGCACTGAAAGCTGTTCTGGTGAAAGTAGTGTGAGCCGGTCTCTCCCTCACGCTTTCCCTCTCCCGCAGACACCAACAAGACTTCAGAGGCTCAGGCCTTTGATTAAAGCTTCATGGGTTACACAATAGTATACTGCCTATCATAGAGGCATTCTTTCTGAGAAGTGGAAGTAGCATCTGCCCACGGGAAGAGCCCAGTTCCAACAGAAGCTTGGCTGCCTTTTCTGAAAACATTCTGACGCTCCCACCAGGGCCGCTCTTGCTACTTGAGGGTTGGATGGCACTCTGGACATTTAATAATTGTCTCACGCGCTTTGCTGTCAACCCCCGCCTGGTTCACGGACTCCCTCCCAGCCTGCTCTCCCCAGCTGTGAAGGGATCCCCCCCTTTCCCAGGCATGCCGGTCCCACACTCTGCCTGAGCATCTCCACTAGGCACCCAGCCTTCTGCCCACCTCTGTCCCTCCGCCTCCTCAGAACTGGAGGGATTTATCTGAGCAGAGTGTCATCTGCAAGAGACGGGTCTCCTCTCTACACTAAGTTGGAAAGGGCGATTCTGAATTAGTGCTAACCAACCCATCAGTCCTCCATTTCCCCACCTTCCCCTGCTCCATGAGGCCAGAAAATACCTTGGAACTCAGGAGAAAACCGCACAACGCTTTTTTCTTCTGCGGGAGGCCATGTGAGAAGCTGATGCTCCAGACAATATCTCCATTTTGGCAGGCGGCCAAGCCCCCGGTAGTCTCAGAAGGCCGAAAAAATGCATACCAAGATTCTGGAACTTGCAGTCTCAAGAAGGAGTCCAGGGCAACTTTTGATCTGCAGGTACCTTGGCCTACAACTCCCATCATGCTTCACCTTTTGCTAAGCTGGCTAGAGCTGAAGGGAGCTGTAGGCCAGAACACCAGCAGAGCCACATGCTCTGCGCACTGGTCCCAAAAGGAAGAGAGGCTCTGCTGGTGCCTGAGGAGCAACTGCGCCAGCCCACCAGGCAGGTTTCCGAGCCCTTGGGACCGGGGAAGGGGAGGCGAAGGCGCGCTTCCTTGCAGTGCTCTTGGGCCAAGCGGCGAGTCAGTCGGCGGCCGCTAGGCCATTTCAGAGGCAGATTAGTGGTCTCATGGCGGAGGGGCTTTAGAGGGCCGGTTGCAGTGCACACAGCAAGCCTCTCTCTCTCTCTCCTCTCAATGCCATGAGCCCAGGCTTTTCATAGCTGCTGGGGGGCGGAGTGGGGGGAGCCCTCGGCTTCCGCGCAAGGTCCAGCCCTAGCTGCGCCCAGGAGTGGGGTTCTGCCCCGCCGCGGCCCCATTGCCACCCCCTCCAGAGTCCTACCTTGTACTCCTCGAAAGCCTCCTCCTTCGGAATCACCTTGTGCTGCCGGTGCTCTTTGGCTTTGTCGCAAACCACGCAGATGAGCACCCGATCATCCTCGCAGAAAAGTTTCAGCAGCTCCTGGTGCTTCTCGCAGACGCCTCCCAAGGCTTCCGCCCCTCTGGGCTGCTGCAGACTGAACTTCTTGACCACGGCCACCATGCTCGCCAGCTGCCGGCTGGGCCTGAAGCTCCCTCGCTGACACGGCTCCCTGCACTGAGGACACAACGCGTCCTTGTCAGCCTCTGCCCAGCACTGGGTGATGCAGTCCTGGCAGAAGGTGTGCCCGCAGGATACGATCACCGGCTCTTTGAAATATTCCAGGCAGACGGAGCATGTGGCTTCATCGCACAGGGTCTGGATCGACGCGGCGTCCGCCATGGCGCCTGGCTGCAGCCTCCTGAAAGCCAGTTTCGTTTCCCCGCTTTGAGGGCGTGCGCGGAAGTCCCGCTCAGGCTGGCGCAGCGGAGGAGGCGGAGCAGCCCCCGTGGCGCGCAGAGTGCAGCGCGCGTGCGCACACGCGCAGGGGGGACCGGGCTTGCCCCAGCGCGGGCCAAGGGAGGAAACGCGCCCATTTGGAAGACCGGAGCAAGCGCATGTTTCATCACTGAGGAAGCGCGTGCTTCCCGTAACGCTGAGGGGCCGTGAATCAGTCACTCAGTCGCGCGCTCTCTCTCTCGCGCGCGCAGGGACTCCGCACGAGCAGATGCCGGATGCCGGCATTGGCTCTCCTATGGAAAAGAGGACAGGACTTGGGTACGTCGCCTTCTTTCCCTCCGCCAGCTGAAGAAATCTGCGCACTTGGGGAAACACGGCCGCAAGAAACAAGGGGCCGGGGACCCCCATTTTCAGGACCTCTTGAGCGTTTTTCTTTGAGACTGCCTTCCCGTCCGAGATTCATTGCCAAGCTTGGATCCAGTCCGGCGGGGAGAGGAACTCCCAGGAAAGTGAACTACAAGAGTTTTCAGGGGACGAAAGTTCCCTGGCAGGGCGAGGTTGGGCAGGTCGTGAGCTTGAGCCCCCTCTTCCCCCTCCCGGAGAAGGGAGACAGAGCTGTCAGAGAGCCGGTTGCATCCCAGCAAGCTAAAAGAACAGGAGCAGAGCGGAGCAAATGGGGTATAGGCATGACAATGATGGTCTTCAAATATGCAAATGACCAACTTGGTGCAATCAAGAAACCCGGGAAATTCGGTTGCTTGTAGATTCCCACAGGAAGAGGGGGTTAAATTTTCAAAGATTGCGTAGTAGGCTAGACAAGACAGCAGCAGTCCAGGTTTGCTGTTACACTCGCTTTGCCACTCAGTCCTGGTAAAAGGACTCAGCTCAGAAAAACGCCCTAGGGACGTTCAATGCTGGAAAATTTCTTCTGTTTGAATCCAATGCACCATTGACACATTTCCAGCCCAACAGCCAACAGCAGGCCAAGTCAATCTCTCGTAAAATTACTCAATATATTCATGCAAAGCTGGAGCTACAAACTGTTTGTGTCTAGTGTGATTTGTGCAAATAATTTGATTCAAGTTGCTGTTTGTGTTGTAGCATTTAACATGAGACATATGCAAGCATCCTCTCAGTCTATATGTACATGCTGCACCTTGTATTTTCTGAGAATCAATTTTAAATATTTGCAAAATTCTGGCTTCTTTTTAATTTGCATGAACTGCAGAGCAGATGGTCTGTATTTGCACAAATTGGAAGGAAGGAAATGGCAACCCACTCCAGTATCTTTGCCATGAAAACCCATGGACCGTACCAGAAGGCAAAAATTGCCTTAGCTTTGTTAAAAAAAAAAAAAATACAAATCGCAGGCTGTTTTTAAAATGGAAGTCAACATCTTGTATCAGATTGTGTAGGTGCTGGCACAGAATTGATGGAATGGAAGGAGAAACATGTCTGATACTGCAGCATATGAAGGCAACATTGCCTGGGGAGATAACACAATCAAACTGCTTTACATTTCAATTACACACAAGCAAAAGTCTCTGCATTCCAATATATACCCACATGTTTCAATACACTTGTCTTTTCCAATCATTTAACACTGTATATGCAATTTAAAATCAATTGTTTTAACTTGTATGGGCTTTCTATAAGTCTGCCTTTTCACTTGATTCTTGGAGTAACTTTGGTGATCATTCTGGCTTCCAATTCATTTCCAGCTACATTCATAGTGCTCGTTCTTTTACCTATAAACTCCAAATAGTCCTGGAATATACTGGGACCCGGATATTCAAAGCACTGTCTCCTCACAAACAACTCTTGTCTGCACACTGAGTTCTATGTTGCAAGGGCCTTACTATATATCAGGTTAGGATGTGTGACAGGGCCTTTTCTGTTGTGGCGCCCAGGTTATAGAACTACTTCCCAAGAGAGACATGGCTGTTCCTCTTTAAGATCCAGACAAATTTCTCAGACTCTTTTGTCAGTGAAGTTAATACAGTTTGATGTTCTACTCTTTTTTTCATTTGTTGTTGTTGTTGTTAGTCGCGAAGTCATGTCCAACTGTTGCAACCCCATGGACAACATTCCTCCAGGCCTTCCTGTCCTCCACCATCCCCTGGAGTCCACCTAAGCTCACACCAACTGCTTCAGTGACTCCATCCAGCCACCTCATCCTCTGCCATCCCCTTCTTCTCTTGCCATCTGTTGCTCCCAGCATTAGGCTCTTCTCCAGGGAGTCCTTCCTTCTCATTAGGTGGCCAAAGTATTTGAGTTTCATCTTCAGGATCTGGCCTTCTGAAAAGCAGTCAGGGTTGATCTCCTCAAGGACTGACTGGTTTGATCACCTTGCAGTCCAAGGGACTCACAGGAGTCTTCTCCAGCACCACAATTCAAAGGCCCCATAGCTTTCCTCCCCAGGAGCAAGTGTCTTTTAATTTCTTGGCTGCAGTCCCCGTCTGCGGTGATCTTGGAGCCCAGGAAAACACAATCTGTCACTACCTCTATTTCTTCCCCATCTATTTGCCAGGAAGTGATAGGACCGGATGCCATGATCTTAGTTTTCTTCATGTTGAGTTTCAAGCCAACTTTTGCACTCTCCTCTTTCACCCACATCAAGAGGCTCCTTAGTTCCTCTTCACTTTCTGCCATCAGAGATGTATCATCTGCATATCTGATGTTGTTGATATTTCTCCTGGCAATCTTAATTCCAACTGGTGATTCATCTAGGCCCGCATTTCTCATGATGTGCTCTGCATATAAGCTAAATAGGCAGGGCGGCAGTATACAGCCTTGCCGAACTCCTTTCTCAATTTTGAACCAATCAGTGGTTCCGTTTCCAGTTCTCATTGTTGCTTCTTGACCCGCATATAGGTTTCTCAAGGGACAAATATGATGGTCTTCTACTCCCATCTCTTTAAGAACTTGCCACAATTTGTTGTGATCCACACAATCAAAGGCTTTAGCATAGTCAATGAAGCAGAAGTAGATGTTTTTCTGGAACTCCCTAGCTTTCTCCATGATCCAGCGTATGTTGGTAATTTGATCTCTTTCCTCTGCCTCTTCAAAATCTTGCCTGTACTTCTGGTAGTTCTCGGTCCACATACTGCTGGAGCATGGCTTGTAGGATTTTGAGCATAACTGTGCTTGCATGTGAAATGAGTGCAATGGTATGGTAGTTTGAACATTCTTTGGCATTGCCCTTCTTTGGGACGGGAATATAAACTGACCTTTTCCAATCCTGTGGCCACTGTTGAGTTTTCCAAGTTTGCTGGCATATTGAGTGCAGCACTTTTACTGCATCGTCTTTTAAGATTTTGGATAGCTCAGCTGGAATACTGTCACCTCCACTAGCTTTGTTGTTGCTCAGACTTCCTAAGGCCCATTTGACTTCACATTCCAGGATGTCTGGCTCGAAGTCAGTGACCACCCCATCGTGGTTATCAGGGTTGTTAAGCTCATTCTTGTCTAGTTCTTCTGTGTAATCTTGCCACCTCTTCTTAATCTCTTCTGCCTCTGTTAGGTCCCTGCCATTTTGGTCCTTTATCGTGCCCATCTTTGCATGAAATGTTCCCTTCATATCTCCAATTTTCTTGAAGAGATCTCTGGTCCTCCCTATTCTATTGTTTTCTTCTATTTCTTTGCACTGTTCATTTAAGAAGGCATTCTTATCTCTTCTAGCTGTTCTCTGGAATTCTGCATTCACATGGGTGTATCTTTCTCTTTCTCCCTTGCCTTTCGCTTCCCTTCTTTCCTCAGCTGTTTGTAAAGCATCCTCAGACAGCAGTTTTGCTTTCTTGCATTTCTTTTTCTTAGGGATGGCTTTAGCTGCTATTTCTTGTACAATGTTTCGAACCTCTGTCTATAGTTCTTCAGGCACTCTGTTTATCAGATCTAATTCCTTAAATCACCTCTACTGTATATTCCTCAGGGATATGATTTAGGTCATACCTGAGTGGCCTAGTGCTTTTCCCTACTTTCTTCAATTTAAGTCTAAGTTTTGCAGCAAGAAGCTCATAATCTGAGCCACAGTCAGCTCCTGGTCTAGTTTTTACTGACTGTATAGGGCTTCTCCATCTTTGGCTGCAGAGCACATAGTCAATCTGATTTCTGTGTTGACCGTCTGGTGATGTCCATGTGTAGAGTTGTCTCTTGGGTTGTTGGAAAAGAGTGTTTGCTATGACCATCATATTCTCTTGACAAAATTGTACCAGCCTGTGCCCTGCTTCATTTTGTACTCCAAGGCCAAACTTGCCTGCTATTCCCGTTATCTTTTGGCTTCCTACTTTAGCATTTCAATCTCCCATGATGACAAGGACATCATTTTTTGGTGTTAATGCTAGGAGGTGTTGTAGGCCTTCATGGAACCGGTCAACTTCAGCCTCTTCAGCACCAGTGGTTGGGGCATAGACTTGGACTACTGTGATGTTGAATGGTTTGCCTTGGATTCGAACTGAGATCATTCTGTCATTTTGAAGATTGTATCCCTGTACTGCTGCAGCAATATATACAGGCTTGATGGTATTAATATGCTCCTGTGGTTTGAGTGGGAAGCTCAGCCTACTCTGTGATACAAGGATGTGGTTTATGAATTTGGGGGTGTGCAAATTTAAATATCCCATTAAGTCTGCCCCATGGGCCTCCTTTTCTTGGCCTTGACATGCTGGACTCTTTACCCCCCCTCCCACTGCACATCCCTGTTCTGGAGCCCTTTCTGCACAGCTGTCCATGATCTTGCCTGTGCTGGGACGGCAGGTTGAAGCCCCTGTTGCCGCCCCATCGGCTGATCCTGATCCTAGGGAGGAGTCTTTAACCAAACCTCTTTGGCAACCCCTCCCTGCAAGCCCTAAATCCCTGGAATGGCTCTTTTTCAGAGTGCATGGCTAGGAAATGATGTAGAAAAATACACACACATCCTCCTCCAGTCCCAAACATGGATCTGCTGAAGTGGGGGAGGGGGTGGCGGCTGGGAAGGAAGTCTGTGGCCTGCTGGAAGAGTGGTGTGGATGGATTTTGCAAGTCTCTGTGAGCAAGTGCAGTAACAACTCCCAGCTTGTGTTCTAATCACCCCCACTTCCTGGCATCTGGGATCAGCCCCTCGGGGTTTCCCGGTAGCAATCTCATCCTCAGGTCAAAAGCAGCTGCCCACCCCTGAAATAAGCCATGTGGAGGAGGAAATTACCCGGTCAAATGGACAGGAGTGGGAGATGGAGGAAACAAGCTTAGGTTTAGCAAGATTCCTTACACCAGGCAGGTGGGCAATGGGAGAAAACTCCTTCACAAAATCCAGTTTTTGATTTATTAGGAAATAGGTAGATAAGACTGCTCTTTTTCTATTGATGTTTGTACATCACATCTCACACAATACTTGCTTGGTCTTAACTATGCCAAATTGTCAGGGTCCACAGCCGGAATGTGGGAGGCCAGAGACAAGACAAAAGCGACCGAACTTCAGGCAAGACACAGGCCTTAATGCAAAGGCCAAGTCACAGTCATGGTACAGACCTGAGGTCAGGAAGAAGAAGAATGAATGAGGGCAGAACAAGGACATGGTCAGGAACAAGCCAAGGGTCAGGAAACAGACGGACAAACGGAAGTGCAGGTTCCTTGAACAGGACAAGAGGGCAGGATACACAGGATGGCAGGAACCAGATGCAGCTTGGGTCAGGCAAGATGCAGGCACTGAGCAGGAAGCCCTGCACTGCTGAGGCAACACGGCGAGGCAGGACACATGGGCGAAGCAGGGCATCGGTCCGGCAAGAGGCAGGCACAGCAGCAGAGAGGCAGGCCTGTGTTGCTGAGGCAACATGGCGAGATGCAGGAACAGCCGGGCGGGATGCGGGCACCGCAGCAAACGGGAGGCTTGTGCAGCAGAGGCAACATGGCAAGAAAGGGAAGACACGGGAACAGGACAAGCCAGGCAAGGTGTGGGCACTGCACCGCCGGAGGACCTGTATTGCTGAAGGCAGTTCTGCAGGGAAGAGTCTGCTCTTCCTCCAGGACTCCCAGCTGGCACAAATCAGTAGAATGAGCAATCTTGTAAATGCAGTGGTGGTTCTGGATCTGGCCACCAGAACAGCCCAGATCCTGACACAAATCCCCAAACAGAATATAAAGCCTGGTCTGGAGACAATTTTTTCTATCATTTTTCTTCCTTGTTCATGGGTATGTGTAAACAAAAAGGCTGACTTGAGCAGATTGTTCCCATCATCTTGTGTCTTAATTTAAGGACAACCTTATCCACTGAAGTAAGTGCATGGAAGGAAAACATGGCAAGACAACTTTATTTTAGAGCTACATATATAATTATCCAATCATGTAAAACAATCTATCCAACCAGTGTAGCCTTCCACTGTTGTAAGCGTCAGAGATTTGTTAATTGTAATTGTCTTAGAAAAGAGGCCCTGGAATGATGAGGCCTTTTTTACACCTATGTCACAAGTCATTTTGCTTTTACCAATTTTCACACCTCTTTTCTCCCAGTTTACAGGTGTTACAAGATGTTGGTTTAGATTCCCTTGGCATCTAATCACAGCTGAGCTCTTGACAGAACTGATCCAGTCTTTTCTTCTATTGTCTCCATCTTGAGCTTATGACAGGGAGCTACTCTCTATTTCATCAGACATCTTACACATAAACTTCCATATAGCCTGAAGTGCCTGATCCTGCCTAATCCTGGAAGCTAAGCAGGCACCTGCACTGAGCAATCACTTGGACCTGATGGCCTGCTGGGCCCCTTCCAATGATACAATTTTATGATTCTAGGATAATACCCGAAAACAATGGAGGAAAGACACGCTGTTCCTTAAAAGACCACTCTAAGGATATTCCAGTTTGGAGAAATTACCTCTACAGATGTTGTTGAGAAAATTTAGATAAATCCGTATAGAAAAAGGTTGCTTTTATGTGCCTTTGCATTATAAAATCAAAGTTGCAGAATGCCAAGCCAGGCTTCTGTGAGCTGTTCCTTTAAGAGACTGGAGCTCTCAGCTTGTCTGAGCATTTGCCAAAGGGCGTGAGGCTCCTAAGGAAAGTTAACCCCTGACTATTCTGCTAACAGCAGCAAAAGCTGATAAGGCTGGCAGAGTAGTTTTCTAACAGTATTGCAATCATCCTCATTTGCATGTCAAGACCCTGGGCCTCAGTGACAGTTATACTAATCTCCTGTAATCAACACTATCGTATTAAGTCCCCTCTGCAGCTCTCTCACATTCTTTTGACCGTGTTCCCATTATTTTGTCATCCTCTGCCCTGCTGCTGTGTATGTGACACAGACTCTGTGTATGTCCTAAAAGCTTGTAGTAGGCTGTGTGAACCTCTACCCAAAAGCATGCTGCCGTTAGTTACTGCAGGAACTGGGTTGTCTCACCAATAAAACCGCTGAAATTCACAACAGTTAGGTCTTCCCTGCGAATCCAAGTGTTCATTCCTCCAGACTGGAATTCCAGGACTCTGACGATATACATATGTGGCCTCTTGAAATGTTCCAGCTGCTTAGTAAGTAGAAATGATGGGATAACAACGCATGGACATTGGGGCAAGCTGCTCTAGGCATTTTTTAAAAGTAAGTTTTATTGTTGTTATTTTCTACAAACTAAGGCTACAACATTAATCATCAAAGACATTGGACATACTGGGTCAGCCCCTCACTTTTTTTTTTTAACAGTCCATAACCATATTCAAATCTACGCATAGTCCCGTTTCTCTAGCCAATAATAAAAAGAATTCCAGGTTTGATAGAAATATGTACCCTCTTTCTCCTTCAGAGACAAAGTCAGCCTGTCCATTTCTGCGCAGTCCAAGATCTTTTTCAAGATCAGTTCATCAGTAGGTGGCTCTCACTCCTCCAGTGTTGGGCAAATACAGTCCTTGCCCCAGTAATTACACGTAGAATCAAATACGTTGCTTGTTTATCAAAATCATCAGAAATAATGCCTAATAAAAAAACTTCAGGTTTAAATATTAAAGGTTTTTGTAACATTTCCTCAAGCCATTTATGTATTTTAACCCAGTATTTTTTTGCCTTATCACAAGTCCACCACATATGATTAAAAGTACCAGGTTTATGTTTACATTTCCAAAATCCATTTGACATATTTTGGAACATTTTTGCTAATCTATTTGGCGATAGATAGCATCTATAAAACATTTTATAAAGATTTTCTTTATATGAGGTTGCTAAGGTTACTGCTCTAGGCATTTTCTTGGCACTGTCACGCCCGACTCCTTGGCATGCCACATTATGCTTTCCTAGCCCAGGCTCACGCTATTTCTGCCAATATATACCAGATTTCTTCAGAACTGTTGTCTCGCAGCTTTTTAATATGTTGCTGTTTTCTCCTGATATGAATTCCCATTTATTCTAGGGCCAAGAGAAAAAGGTGCAGATGGGGGCGGAGGAACAGTCAGTGTCCTGTGCAGCTCTGGAGAACAGCAGCAACGCAGAAATCCATCCACGGCTTTCCTGTCGCACTCATCCAGGTTCTCTTAGTCTCTCTGACTTCCAAGTGCCCCTCCCTTTCCTTTGAAAAATAGTTTGCTGTCTTTTCAACCCTGCCTGATGCCTCCTTTGCCTTTCCACTCAAGAAACAACTAGCTGAAATCCATGACAGCAGAAAAGTAAATCCGATGATTGCCACTGGCCTTGCAAGTAAATCCCATTGACTGCAATGGAACCAACTCCTGGGAACATCTGCACGGGAGGGAGCTGTCCTTGCTTGCTTTTGTGGGGAGGGAAAGGGGGTGCTGGTCCCACCAGCTTGAGGGGCTGGAGGACAGGAGCAAGTAGCAGCACCCTTTCCTCTGCTCCAGGAGTTTTGGCCAGGTTCAGAAGGACCTGCTCATTGCATTCGTTTTCCTTTTTGAAGTCTCTTTTCTGCTTTGCACCTTCACGGCCATCACATTTGTATGTGATGTGAATAGGCCTTTTCATGCCCACTGTTTGTCTGCACACGCCCCAGCTGTGAAGAGTGTGCCGTGTACAAACACAGTGGCTCTGTTGCCTCATAAACCAAAGGGACTCCATAAAGCACACGGATGACCCCCACTATCTTCTGGGTATCCTGACAACTTGATTAATTATGGCAAGTTACTCTAAGTCATGCAATGGCTTTCCAAAAAGGTTGAGGCTGGAACGAATTGCTGTGAACATCCAGTGTTCATATGGAAAGTGTTCTTACAAATGCACTCAATCAATATCAGGGAATTAAGAAATTTTGGGGGGGTTGGATTTTAAAGGGGAGTTCCCTAATATTAGCATGTGCCACGTCCCACTCTATGGTTGCTGTGCAAGTGAAGCACCGCCCTTTCCTGGCACGAGTTCAAGAGTTAAGGAAGAATGTTACTTTCTGTGTACAAAGCAGGGAGAGGCAGATATGGCAGCGGGAGGTCTCAGCCAGGGCCCGTGTGAGGAAAAACTTTGCTCTGTTTGTAATGGGTACCGCGCAGACCCCGTGATCCTAGACTGCGGGCACCGATTCTGCCAAGCCTGTCTCGCCAAAGGTTCCTGCCTGCAATGTGGGGAAACAAGTCAGGAATGTAACCTCCAATCAGACCAGGAACTCGCACAGAACATCGGCCAAGAGCAACATGTTGCTGAAGAGTCCAAGGTAGGATATCAGCACAGCAGGAGGGGGATGGAAATTAATTCAGGCATACCTGGACGGACAGAAATCCTATGACTGGAAAGCCATTCACTGGCGCTCGCGCTGCTGGGTGGGTTATTATGTTACAAGGAAAATTGGCAGTGAAGTTAATGCAAGATGAGCTTGAAGAGAAACCACAGACTTTCCGAGCAACTGTGTTTTAACCCTATGTTTCTCTAATAATGTATGGCCAAAATCCAGAGACTAAGCATAGCTATTGGTATGAATGGCACTGTGAGTGACATTTTACCTGCAGTTCAGTCTTTCCCAACACAGAGACCTCTAGACAAGTTCAGCTACAAGTCCCATCACCAGAATTTGCCATGCTGGCTGAGGCTGATGGGAATTGTAGTCCAATGCTTCCGGAAGGCCCCGAGTGGAAGGTGGCTACTTCAGGCAATTCCCATTTGCAGGCCTCTTACAGGTCTCCACAAGCTGTTACATCTTCTAAGCAACAAGCAAACAAGTTAGAGGTGTTGTGTCTTTCCAGCTAATAAGTTCAGTTGTCTAAAAGGAGCCATAGTAAAAAGGGAGAAATCAAAGAGAGAAACGAAATAAAACTGCTGATGGAGTTATTCCTGAAGTTGTCAGTTTGATGCTACATCTAATGTTTTAAATTTACAAGGAAAGCAAGCTGCAAGAGGTGTCATCCACCATGGCTGTAGCCACTGTAATTATGGATCTAATACAAGATATTATCTGTCCTATTTGTCAAGAGCTGCCAACAGATCTTGTGACTTTGGCCTGTGACCACACTTTTTGTCGGTGCTGCATCAATGGTCTTTATGAAACGCATGAAAAACTGTGTGAAGAAATGGGCAAATTAAAATGTCCTGTCTGCAAAGCCAAGATCCAGAAAGGAGATCACCGGCCCAACTGGATGCTGGCAAACATAGTACAAAAAATAAAACGCAACAAGTCAATCCTTGTGACAAGGGCGCTATGCAAGAAGCACAACGAAAACCTCCATCTCTTCTGCAAAGATGATGCAGAATTGTTGTGTGTGTTTTGTGAACATTCCCCTGAACACAAAGGACACTCTGTGCATCTCCAGGAAGAGGCTGCCCAGGAATACAAGGTAGGAAATGATCTAAAGAGGAAAGCCTGTTTCTAGTATGTTGCTTAATTTCTATAAATGGATAAATAAAGGAATAGGGGAGGCCTTTGTGGTTACACAACAAAAACAAAAAAGTCTTCTACTTACACCCTGATCATGTGTCTATAAATGCTGGAGGGCATTTTATTCCCCTTTACCGAAGAGACGCAGGGGCTGTTCCCCGGTCAGCACTGGCACGAACATGGAGCTCTGGATCAGATAACTCTTCAGAGTATGTTGCAGAGCGCTCTCTGCAGAATGACCCCTCATTCATTCCATGCGTGTGTCTGAAATGGTGAAGAACGCAGATCTATGGGCCAAGTCCACCTTCTCCCCCAGGTCCCAAATGGCCTCTTGGGTGCTCCCCAGATGGTTGTGCTCCTTCCTGCAGGTGCCAGTCATTTGATGGTTTCCTAGCTTCTGGCTGCCTCCCATACCTCCTCCTAAAAAATTGAAACGCCCCTTCTAAAGCTCAGTCGCTGGCAGGACATGCACTAAAATAAAAGATGTTTGTCTCTTTGCCTTTGGGCCTGTCCACCACTGGAATGTAGCTCCTGAGAGCTTCTTGAAATGGCATTTAGCCCTCAGACTGAAAGATGTCGTGCACATGGGCAATGGAAGAAAAGAGCAATGGGTGGAGTCTACACAGACAGGATAGCCCCGATGTTCACTGAAGCAAACAAGCTGTCTCTCAGGGCCAAACTAGATGTGACCCTCTTCCTCCTCCCCCACCCACAAAGCTGTTGCCTGCTCTCAGGAGGGGTCTTTGTAAAAAGTACTTTAATTTTACAAGAGACAATGTTGGCCGAAATCTCAAAAGGAAAAAAAAAAGCTCTTCTGGGGAGAGGAGCAGGGCCTGGGGGAGCGGCTGATAGGCCAAATGGGGACCTCCTGCAGGCATCTGATGCTTCAGAGGTTCTCCAGAGCTTTCCCATGCCTGCCTTGAAGGGTTTTTGTAGGGATTTCATGTAGAGAATGCTGGTAAAGCATTCTGAACAGTTGAAAGTAATACTTGCAGAATAAAAATGCCATCTGTTCCCAAAATACCGTATTTTGACAAGAAAGCAATGGGTAGGCGACCATCGCAGTGGTTGCCTAGCTTCCCTGTGCTGAAATGGAAAGATCCATTAGCAAGTTGCTGGTCCTTCACTATCAGATCACACTTGCTTTCAACAGAAAACAATTCAGGACCAGCTGCTACTGCAGAAAGAGAGCGCGAAGGTTATGATTCAAAAACTGGAAGAGCAGAAAACAGTGAAGTGCCTGGTAGGTGAGATTATTTTATAGCTCGCATTTCTGGGGTGAGTGAACTGGTGGTCTCCTCAAACCCTCTGTCATAAGCAGCATGCCTGTGTTTGATGTTGGTGACCAATGTAGGCCCTTTTGTGGAGTTTATGGCTTTTTCAGAGCTAATTGAACATTTGATCTGATTACTTGATGTCTGAAGCATCAAATGTCCAAGAGACTGTGTGGTATAAAGTGCTGGACTGTGATGTGGAAGATCTTGGTTCCAGAGCTGGCCATGAAGATCACTGGTTGACTTGGCCAGCCACTGAGTCTTAGCCTAACCTAATTCACAGGGAGAAGAGTATGTAAAGCTAGCTTGGGCCCTTACAAGAACAAACAGGTGGAATAGAAATTAATCAAATAAAATGACTGGAAGGTAAATAAGAAATTGCCTAAGAGTAATCATGTGAAGCACTGCCCAATTCTGACCGTTCAACAGGTAAAGAGGGAGAATGTAACTGAAAAGTCTGCATCAAGTGGTAACTCGCATGCCTGAACCATTATAGATCGTGGGGCCTCCCAAATGTTCATCTCACCTCAGATTTCCTGTGGAGTCAGTTCACAGATGCAAGATGTCAGACACATGAGAAGTAATCAAGTGACCTTCAAACTCTTAAGAAACCCTAAATGGCTCCTCCTAGGAACATTTTTCTCCTACCCCTTCCCCAAACCTCTGTGACAGAAACCAAAACAATAGCCTTGAGAGTAAAACTGAGAACTAGAACTGTTGGCAGTCACAGAACTACCATCTGTTCCTCTGCCTCTTCCTCATTCCCTAGACATTTTTATTTACAGACAGCTTAGGGGAGGTTACAAAAATGTACAAAAAATTTAAAGCGAATCTAGAAGGCTTTCGAAGGCTCTAAGGCAAATCTGAAGTCTCAGCTTTGAGGTGCCTTAGGTCTGAGGTGGTCAAAATGTCTGAGACAGGCATTCTCACTTGGATTTGTGCCTGGTCCAAAGTGACTGCAGAGTCCTTTCCGGTAAATACAAACAAGATGAGAGAGAAAGAAATGCACATGTCAAGTTTAATACATGACAAATATAAGATGACAAGATATATCACAGTGGAATCTTGGACATTTTTACTCAGAAGTCGTCCTCCAGGAGCCACCCTTAAGGGACGCTAGGAGGATGGCTACCTGGGTAGGGCCTTCTCAGCTGTGGCACCACATCCATGGAACCAGCTTCCCAGAGATGTCCACTGAGTGCATTCCTTATATACATTCTGGTGCCAAGTTAAGGTGTTTCTATTTGCAGAGCATATTAATTATTGACTGTTTTAGGTTTGATTTTTTTTAAAAAATCTGACTGGCATTTTATTTAGTAAAATTGCTATTTTAATTGTGATCTTTTAAGGTTTATCCAATCCGTTATGTTAAAGTATGCTATAACTCGTTGCCCCTGCTGTGTTGGGGATGTTGTATTGTTTATTGTTATTGATCTTTTGTTTATTTATGTAGTTTTTATGTTTTGTTCTGATTTTATTAGGCAAACTGTCCAGAGAACCATGATGCTCTTGCAACAGTACACAAAAGTGTTAAAGAAATAACAAAAGAATAAAATAAATAGAAGTAGGGCCAACTGAGGTCAATGGGTTTTACTCCCAGATCAGTATGTATATAAGATAGTAACCTAAGGAAGCAATTCTATGCAAGTTTAGATAGAAAAAGCTGTAGGGACATAGGCTTATGATCTTGCTTTGAAGTAGATCGCAGGAAATCAATGGTCATGTTCTTCTTTCTTCTGCTTTGTTAATTTCCTCCTGTCTAATACAATCTCTAGCATTTATCAATTAATGTGTTCATTGTATTCTGAATCCTAAAAGGAACTGCTGCCTCTTGGCAGTAACAATATTTAAAAATATATTTATTTAGATAGCACTTTATTTGAAAGTGCTGTGCATAAAATACAATAAAGCCACCATTTAAAATACAACATAACCACAATAGTTATAATTAATGTATAACAAAACTACATAAATACATCTAATTACAGTTTTAACTAAGATATAACACTAACGCTTACATAAAACCCATATAAACCATCAGAGTACTTTACATCAAATAGAGAACTAATTAGACAACTAATCCCACAGCAGTTTCCAGACCCTTCTTAAAATCTTCCAAACCACAGTGGTAGTGGGGGGGAATTCAACAGCTGAGGGGCAAGGTCCTAGAATGCACGGTAACAGGACGCTGCAAACAGTGAGGTAGAAGGGGTCAGGAGAGCTTGACCTGGTGGGCTGACCCAAAATATACTAGGAAAAAAGGGAGGAAATGTAAGATGGATAATGCTGTAAGGCCAAGTGCAAACTCTTTTAATGGGTTCTGGCTGACAATGAAAGCCAACAAAAGGCCCTGCAAGGGCAGGTCATTTGGGCAAAATGAGGAAGGTTGAGAATAGTCCCAATACCACCAGAATCAAAGGACAAAAGGAGGAGAAAGATTCTTAGGAGACTGTTACAATAGCATGAAACAACCATATCTCCGACCAGAATATCTGCCCTCACCTGAAACAAGAACCTGCAGGTCTGGTGGATATTCATTAGCTGGAAAATACAAATTGTTGTGCTGTCAATAAAGGAGCACAGCAGAAGATGTTCATGTTCTTGGACTCCCAAGTCCCAGGCATCTGGGTTGCCACTCTGAAGTCAGCACTCTTGGAGAGGACATTTCCAGAAGACTTTAGAGCCCAAACAGGCTAATATGGGAGAAGGTGGTCTTTTCAGTAGCCTGGTCCCAATCCATAAGCAGCACTTTGAATTCTGTCCAGAAACAGACCGGTAGCTGCTGATGCTGTGGTAGCAAGGGAGTTGCTACCTGCAGCATTATGGACCAGATGGAGTTTCTGAATAGTCTTCAAAGGCAGCTCCATGTAGAGGGCATTACAGCTGTGCAAATAGGATGTATCTAAGGCATATATAACCATACCCAGATGAGTTTGTTTATTTTTCAAATACCTTTCTGTGCCGCCACATTAGCCCATAGGGCCCTCTGGGCAGTTTACAATGGCAACAGACAATTTAAAATAGATAAAAACAATTTTAAAAGATTATAACAAAAACCAATACAATAATGGGTTTTGCAATAACACTCTATAAAATAACTCAAGCACCGAGGACAGTTTACTCTAGGAATGGGCACCATTTGTATACTAATCTCAACTGTGCAAACACATTCCCGACCATTTCCCCAACCTGGCACCCTCCGTATGTTTTAGACTACAACTCCCAGCATTTCTGAACATTGTCTGTGATGGTCTGAGCTGGTGGGATTCAAAATCCAAAACATCTGGAGGGTATCAGATGAGGGAAGCCTGCAATTGAATCTGAGTTATGGGACTGAGAAACCTTGGCCATCCAGGTTCAGTGCCAAGTCTAAGAATACACCCAAATGTCTATGCCAGTAACAGAAGAACCTCCTGATGTGCTGGACATGGCCAGCAATTGTAGGAGCTGTAGTGCAAAACATCTGATTAATATAATTAAAATAGGTTACTGTCTGTTGCAGAGATAACTGTGCTGACTGAAGTCCAGAATACTTTCTGTACTCAAAGAGTAAGGGAAAGATCCCAACTGAAAAAGGCCTCTTCTCATAATCCGCAAGACATACATCGATGCAGATACAAGCCAACCATTGCTTTCCCTTAAATGACCACCATGTTTGAACTCTGACCCTTCTCCTATTATTTTCTCACAGATACAGTTAGGAGTAGAGAAACAAAAGGTCAAGTCTATTTTTGAGCAAATGCACGATTTTCTTAATGAAAAGGAGGGCCATTGCCTGACCGAGCTGTGTGATCTAGAGAAAGAAATGGAGATGGAACAAGAAGAAAGTGTCACCCAGCTATCCAGGGAGATCGCCAAACTCAATGACCTGATCTCAGAGATGGAAGCAAAGTTGGGGCAGCCCCCAGATGAATTCCTCCAGGTGAGATGTAAGACAAAGGCACGTCCTAGAACCAAGAACATGAAAACGGACATGAAATGACTATTGGTTTTCCCAACAGATAGCTGAGGCTCCTTCCCTCACTGCTTATTTAGGAATAAGCTGAACCATTAACAAAAGGAAGTATAAACGGAAAGTGGCCAGAACTCTTTACAAGCCAATCTGTCAGGATTTTAATTCAAGCCCAGATTCAAGGAATCTAGGGAGACCCAAAGCTCTTCTTTGTGACAGAGAAAATATTCATTAGCTTCTCCATTTCTCCCTGACAAGAAGGGACAAATGAATGCCCAGTGTATGTTCTGTCCCTGTAGCTGAGACTGACTTGTCTTGTTCTCTCTTTCAGGACATTAAAAGCACCTTGAGTAGGTACGTGGCTCTATCTCACTCCTCTTTTTCTCTTCTCCTTTCCATCAGTCCCACTACAGAAAAAAGCCATTCAATTTAAAACAACATGTTTCTACCAGGTAGAATCACAACTTTTGTTAAAGTTCCTCTATCTTGAAAGTGTATGACAAACCTTGAAATTAGATTTCCCATGCCATGTGGGAACAAGGCCCTTCTTAGGATCTGACATCTTGCAAATTCTAGGGAGGGAATGCAACTCTACTGGTTAGGCCAGATCTCCCCAACCTGGCACCCTCTGTATGTTTTAGATTATAACTCCCAGCATTCCTGACCACTGTCTGTGATGGTCTGGGCTGGTGGGATTCCAAGTCCAAACCATCTGGAGGGTATCAGATGAGGGAAGCCTGTAAGTGCATCTGAGTTATGGGGGATTATATTATTTATTTGCAAAGTTTGTAAAGCAGCAGAAAGCCGCTTCATACTACACTGCAGCACTGTTGCCTTTCCCTCAGCATTACATACCCCAACTAAAAGGAGCCCTTCAGGGTCTCAGGCAGAGGCCTTTCCCGGTTTGCCAAAGGTCATATTAGCCAAAGAAGCCATTGCTTCGACTTATCTAGATTCTGATTTCTCCTTTCAGGGTAAAAACCCTCACAAAGCAGGTTGCACTCTCTCTGAAATACAAGATCAAGCCATATACAACCATACTCGTGTAAAGTATACTTTTGACATGGAATGCACAAATCCTCTTCACAGCTTTTCTACTTACACCTAATTCCATAAAGAGGGTCAAGTATCACTGAAGCCCTTTTTAAGAAGGAGAGTCTGATTCTTCTTAAAGAACATTAGAACTCTTTCTCACAAGCAAAACCTATTTTACTTGACTAGAATAAAAAGTTCTTAGGAGAAAGGCTTTCCAGTCTTAAAATACCTTGCTAGGGCATCTATCTGTGAATGTACCTACTTGGGAATAAATATTTAGCCTGACAGATGAAAGTACAATTTATGGGATTGGGGGAAATGTTCTTTTCACGTTATTTAAAGTTAATCACCTTCCCTTCCAGGAGTGGAAGGAAACCGGAGCATGTAGAGGATGTTTTTCCCAAGCTGGAGGAGAGACTCTGTATTTACTCTCAGAAAACATCTGCTGTGAAAGAGATTATGGAAGAATGTAAAGGTATGAGGAGAGACAAAATTATGGGACGAGGTTCATTTTGGGGCTTATTTTGAGAGAATCTGCCCTTTGTTCTAGAATAATGGACTCTACATGCCAGGTTGCTTCCCAGCCCCTGAAACATTGAGCTCCACAGTCTCTGCTTGCTGGTTAATCTTTAAAGGAAAAAGAAAGCCGTGCCAAAGGGGAACGCCTTCCTTCTGTATAAATGGGATGGACATGACTCCTCCCTCCCTGCCTCTCTCCCCTCCGTGGGCCAGTCTCTTCAGCAGCTTGTGTCTGCTGAATGCAAAACAAGTATGTCTTACAAAGAGGGCAATGAGTATTTTAAAATTAGCATTAAACCCAATGTATTTCAGAATGAGCAGCTGCTTTGTCGGGACCAGCTTTAAAAAGCCGAGCCAGTTTCCAAGATAGGGGCTATCTCATTTTGGCCAGAGCAGCAAGGCCGGGTTCTCAATGGCCAGCGTGTGTTGAGAAAGGTTATCTTATTTTATCAGCCACTCTAGCCACCCACAGCTTGTTGTAGAGCTTGGGTGTCCTGTGGTGCCCTCTGAACCTGGACATGACTCAGTGGGGGTCAAGCCCAACTACAATTGATCTGCTTGGCTGGAGGGGCAAAACAGCTTTCGGTTCCTGCAGGCAGCTAGCAGGTGGCCACCATGGCCAGCTGTCCCAAAACTGCCCCAGAAGCACTTATGGAGAGCTGGCAGAGGCTTCCCCCTACCCTGTTCCCTGCTGCTGCAAGCTACACTGAGCTGGTCACAGCTTACTGCATTTGTGAAACCTTTAGGGAGAGGGGAGATGATGAAATTCAGAGGCCAAGCCTGTAGGGTTCCACAAGAGAACCCTCCACCCACCCACCGACACAAAGTATTTGGAGGGTGAGCCCCCCCTGCTTTTAAAAGGAAGGAGGTTGTGTTGATTATGTATGCAAGTAGTTGTGCTCACTTTTTATCATCTAACCTGCCCAATCTGCTCAAATTGAGCTGGGCAGGTTAGCTGAAGGCACTCCCTCAGGTAGATACTCTCCCAAATCCAAGAGCTGCCCATCCTGTGCAGTGCCCGGTCCTATTCCAGACCTGCCAGCTCCTTGCAAAGCCTTGGGAGATCTCAGGTTGCAGAAAATGCATCATTCCTCCCCTTTCCCTGTGTGATCCCTGGTTTCTTCGGAAGAGAGCAGGCATATGTACTGCCCCTCAGTTTTGCAATTGTCCCCCTGCTGCCTTGGGAAAAGCTTCAAAATTGGACCAGATTCCCACTGACAAGAGGGAGGGCTCAGTTTGACATGCCTCCAAGTCCTAACAGTGGGAATCTCCCATTTTAGCAGATCCCCGAGAAATAGCCATAGGAAGACCAAGTGCAAGGAAGGGAAGGAAAATGCACCTGATCACTGGTTGGATGTACAGTATTTTGCATAGGGTGACTTATAAGCCACACTGCAAAACTGGCTCCATGATGTGGGTCATCAGGCTGTCTGACCTACCCAGAAAGAGAGAGTGGGGCATTAAATGGGATTCCTGCATTAGGCAGAGGATTGGACTTGATGGCTTAAAAGGCCCCTTTCACCTCTGGTCCTGTAATTCTTCTCCTCTGCTCTGTGCATTCCAGATGCTGCTTGCATTTGCTGCAATAGCCTTTTCCTTCACCATGAAGCATCTTTTGTGGCTGAAATTAGCTTTCTTTTCTCTTCACTCACCTCACACCCACAAGCCACCCCCTGAATGCATATGTATAAGTAATGTTTTTGACAGGAAATCACACACTGGTGTGTATATAATGCTCAGATTTAAACCTGTCACCCTTTCTTCCATTTGCAGAATCTCTGGAACGAGAACTGAGCAAAGGTAACTATTTCCAGGAAAACAAAATAAATGAGAAGTCTTTAATGGAGAATGAAAACACAGCAGGAGTCCACCATTCACATACTTAATCGCAGAAGCTACAAGTAACCTTATCTACATTCTGAAACATGAATAACTTCTCTTCCCTCCCCTCTTATATAAAGTTTGAACAGTTCTGAGGCTAACCAGAGTAGAGCGGACAGTAGGGATTAGGGTGAGTGAGGAACTGCCAGGTGGATGAAAGTTGCTATAAATAGGGCAATATAAGGCAACCTGGAGCTTTATGGATGTTTTGGCCAAAAGTCCTATAGGTCTCAACCCTTGGCCACAATGGCTGATGCAAACTATAGCCCAAAACTTCCAAGGGGCACCAGGTTGCTAAGAGTATGAGCTGAACATTGGAACTGTCTGGCACTTAACAATAATTACAAGGATTGAACTGAGCTGAGTTTGTTCTCTTTCTCTCCCACACACACACTTCAACAATAAGTTCAAATACTACACTACTCTACAGATTTGACACAGGAACTACCAACACATTCATGGCACTAGGTTCAACCTATAGAGCCTTACATGGCTTGGGACTACAATACTGATGATGCTCTCCTCTCCACCTGCATCTACTCAGGCATGACGGTCAACATCTGAGGCCTTTCTCCAGGTGCCATCTCCAGAGGAGGCCAGGCGGGTGGGCATAAGGAAGAGAGCCTTCTCAGGGGCAGTCCCTGCCCCCCATTCATGGAATTATGTCCCCGCTGAGATCTGCCGGGCACCAACTCTGTAATCTTTTTGGTACCAGGTTTATGATGTTCTCCTCTCCCAGGTTCTTAATGAAACTTAATGGCATGTAATTAAGCCTTAACGGTACTTAGGGCTATTTAACAGCATGATGGGGGATGTATCAGCTGCATTAACAGGTCTAGGTATACTAAAATTGTTTTAGATGTTAAATTGTTTTTCAAATTTTGTATATTTGTTTCTGTGTTGTTTTTTGTTCTACTGATATTTTTAAGTTCTTGTAAACCACTATTTCTGTCTTGTGAACTTTGCCTAATGAGCAGTACAGAAATGAAATAAATGCGCAATGAGAAACAATTTGGACATTGTAAAGTGATACATGAATGTGTGTTGTTTCCAAGAGAAGCTGCAGTATGTGGACTTGTCCTTGGTTTGGTTCCTGACTACTACATGGAGTTTTTGTCATCTGGTCCTATGATTCTAGAATTAACTGTCGCTTATGCTTTACAGGGCTTTAAAAGATCCCCATAACTAGTGGGCCCTCCCGTGCCTTTATCCAGCCTGCGTTGCCTGTCTACTACTGCTTTAGGAAGTAATTTTTCCCTTCTTTGGAGAGGGCTTCCCTCTTTTTTCCCTCTTTGAGTTTTGCTACTCGTTCACTCACAGCTGAGAATGATGCTCCTCTTGTATGCTTCCCGGCACATCTGTTAAGGCAACCTCAGCCTGCCTCGTTCTAGGAATTTTGCAGTGGGTGGGGCTGAAAAAGATGAGTCTTCCACTCATATCCTTCCTGTGTTTTCCCAGAGCTGCTTTGTCTTTCCTCTGACTGCAGATAAAGAAAAAGCTGCTGCACAATATCCTCTCACTGATAGTGCTAGCAGGCATCTTTCTGGGAGCACTTCTGCATCATCTGCACTGAGCTGGACTGGGAGAGGCCCGTTACCCTCATGTCCAACTTCTGGTGCTCCTGTAGTAGAGGTGGGAGACCACATGGTCAGGGCCCAAATCTGGCCCTCCTGTGGTCCCAGTCGGGTCTCTGGGGATCACCAGACAGACACAATCCTTCCTTTAGTCCTACCACCATTTCCCCCATTCACCTACAGTTCCTACTCCGGTGAAGCCTCACCCCACACCCTGCTACTAACGGCTTCTAAAGCTTTGTTAGATAGTAAGAGCTTTAAGCTACAACATGGCAGTATTTTGGTTTTTTGGTCCTATCCTCTCCTGGAATGTAGCCAGCAAGAGACTGATTTTGGCCCTTGGGTTGAAAAAATTGATGCACTTCTGCCTTAAAGCAGACTAGCTGGCTGCCTTGAGAAAAGAGGATGCAGGACTAGATGCTCTAACACAGTTCTTCTCGTGTTCATCCAGCCTCCCCTTTTCTCTCTCTCTCTCTGCCATGCAGTGAGTGTGACTTTGGATCCTGAGACGGCATACCAATACCTAGTTGTCTCTGAGGACCTGAAGAGTGTGAGATATGGAGAGAGGAAACTGGACCTGCTCAGGAGCCGTGAGAGATTCTACCTGGATCCTTGTGTACTCGGCCGCGAGAGATTCATGGCAGGCAGACACTGGTGGGAGGTGGAGGTGAGGGTGGAGGTACAAGAGGAAGAAGAGACGGAGTGGGCCGTAGGGGTTGTACGAGAGTCTTTCAAGCAAACCAGTTGGAACAGTCTTACTCCTCCCACTGCAGGGGTCTGGGCTGTGGGAAAGGAGAGGAAGTCTGCCTATGGCTCCTTGGATGAATCATTTCCACCATGTTTCCTTTGGGCTTTTACTTCCCCAGAGTGGACCTGTTTGGCCAGGAATCTTCTGCCCAGGAAGATCCAAGTGTCCCTGGACTATGAAAAGGGCTACGTGGAGTTTTTTGATACTGACGGTGACAACCCAATCTTCTGTTTCTCTTCAGCTTCTTTTTCCGGAGAGGGGATTAGGCCTTATTTCTATGTGGGTTACGGTGTTTGCCTGAAGTGCTAACTTTGGAGAAATCCACCCTTCAGGTGGGGTGGGGTTAACTGTGAAAAGGCCGTTTTGCTTCTTGGACTCCATCTTGGGGCGGTTTGTTTGAGCAAGCTGAGGAGACTGGCCGCCATCTGATCGGATTGGTGCTGGGCAGTTCTGCCCTCAAGACCAGCTGAGTGGCCGCAAGTAAGTCTCAGCTCGGAGGACTGTGGGAACATATCCTCTGCCAAGGATAGCAAGAGGGTGGGCTCACTAAAGGAAACCTGCCCAGCTACCATGCAGGGATGCTACAAGCCTCCCCAAGGGATTTGCCTGTTGTCTCAGCCATGCAAGAAAGAACTGGCAGGATGTTTCCCCAAGGAGGGCCTGGGCGCCATGCTGAGCAGCCAGGGCTAGTTTTCATCATTTTTTGTGCTAAAGGAGCCTGTATAAGCCAGTTTGTATTCCTTGCCTAACTCCCTTTCCCCCTTCCCTCTTTTAATATTTTCACTCTTTTTAATAAATGTCTTATGTACCCCAATTGAGCATGTTTCTCCTGATCTGAATCCATGCTAATTTCAGTACCTCAGACCTAATCAGGTTTCAGGTGGGGAAAAATTAAAGCGGTGCCACGGCTTGCACCTTGTGCCGAGAGATCCATAAGGTACTGCAGCGGATGATTAAGGTGTGGTATTGGGGCAGCCTACTGGTATGGTTTGCCTGGTTTTCCTTGCAGAACTGTTGGGAGGACCTGCCATTCCCTTCTCTGCACCAAATTTTGAGGAGATTCCCCAGCAGCACTAACACTGTCTCCTTAACGGGGTTAGAAACTTTTTCAGCCTGAGTGCCAAATTCCATTTTGGAAAAGTTCTCAGGAAAATCACATTCCAGTGGTAAGGTGAAGGCAACGGTTTCCCCTTGACATTACGTCCAGTCATGCCTGACTCTAGGGGGCGGCGCTCATCTCCATTTCCTAGCCGAGGGAGCCAGCGTTTGTCCGCAGTCTCCGTGGTCATGTGGCCGGCATGACTAAACACGGAAGTGCACGGAATGCTGTTACCTGCCCACCAAAATGGTACCTTTTTATCTACTTGCATTTGCATACTTTTGAACTGCAAGGTTGGCAGGAGCAGGGACAGAGCAACGGGAACTCACTCCATTGTGCAGATTCAACCCAGCGAGCTTTCGATCAACCAGCCCAGCAGCACAGCGGTTTAAACCACTGCACCACCTGCAGTCCCTTTATTCAAGTGGTAGGTGGGGCCAAAAGCAAAAGGAGTGGAGTGAAAAATATCAGCATATTTTAGCTTAGAGCTCTTGCTGTTCCCTGTGAACAGGAGTGAGGAAGAAATTTGTTCAGTTCACCTTTCATCTAATTTTGCACTTTCAACCTATATGCACACTAAACTCTTTTCACATCTCAAATGCACTTCCTTAAATTTTGCAGTGGATCTAGCTTGTCAAATTCAAGCAAAAATCTGTATATTAGGTGACAGTGTACACAAAGATGTGTACAGTAGTCCCCCGAAATTTTGGGGGTTACGTTCCTAAAACACCTGCAAATTGTGAAAAGCCGCTAATTTGGTGCTGGCGATGGGCGCCAGCTGCCAAGGCGGTGCAGGTGGGAGGCGTGGGCAGGCCGGGCCGGGGGGCGTGCATGGCGAGGCAGGAGCGGGCGCATGCAGAGATCGTTTTCTCTGAGCGAGTCCAAACTTGGAGGAAACAATCTCCTGGCGAGTAAGCCGGTGCAGTGAGGCACCGGCTTACCCGCAAGGAGGTCAGTTTGGACTCACTCGTAGAAAAATCCCGTGAAAGACTGAAGCCTTGAATGCTGAACCGCGACTTCACGGGGGTATACTGTGCATTGGTAAAAATGCCATGTATTATAGCAGCAGAATTGTTCTGAAAAATGTGTAGGCAATGCATCTAAATCAGGGGTCCTCAGACTTTCCCACCAGGGGGCCAGCTGAAAGGTGCTGGTGCTGGGCGTGGGCCGGAAAGGTGGTGCCGGTGGTGCACATGGGCCAGCGAGGGGGCAGGGCTGGGGGTGGCTTGCACAGGGGTGCACACGGAGGCTGGAGCAGGGCGCGCAGGCAAGGCGAGGCAAAGGCAGGCATGCACCGCGAGGCGGGCACACGAGGCAGCGGCTCGCTCACTTGGAGGTCATTTTCTCCAAGCGAACAAGCCACCGCCTCCCCGCGCACAGAGCAAGGTAGGCGGAGGGCACGCACGTGGGTGCAGGTGTGCGCAACGGGTCCAAAACCTCTGTGGTGGGCCGGATAAATGGGCATGGCGGGCCGGATCTGGCCCACAGGCCGCAGTTTGAGGACCCATGATCTAAATGTTCAGGCAATATATCAGTGAGGTTCAGAGGCAGCACCAGGGCTGCCTCTCCTGGCCAGAGACCAGAATAGCAGCCCTGCTGGTTGCAGGACTAGGCCCACAGTCAATCACAGCCACCTGGGAGGTTATGAGCACCACCTGGGAGCCCTGAGGGAAGAGCTATACAGAAGGGCCTCGGCCAAAAAAAAAAGGGGGGGGGTGGTCTTGATGTTGGAGCATCCTCTGCACCATGCCTGGCTTCACCTGCTCTGGCTTGTGCTTCTCGGCTTGTCTCTCTGGCTTTCGGCTCCTGGCTGGCATTGATTGCTCTGCTCTGTTCAGACTGGCCTATCTTGCCCTTCTGCTACCCACCTTGATCTCTGGGCTGCCTGACCACAATTTTGAATGGGCCTGTATATTGTACCGGTCATCTGGGTCCCCAGCCTGATGCCCAGCCACTGACAATATCTAAAATGCATTTATTAGAACTGTGTACAAAAGTACAAATGTATATACATTTTCATGCTCTTTGGAAAACATTTCAAAGTTCTTAATGAAATGAACGTGATTGGAAAATCTGAAACTGAAACAAACAAAATTGAAAAAAAATTGATAATGTGATGCTTATATACAGGATTCCTAGAGTGAAGTACCCTGTTTCACTGAAAATAAGACCTAACCGGAAAATAAGCCCTAACATGATTTTTTAGGATGCTTGTAATATAAGCCCTACCCCTAAAAAAAGCCCCAGTTAAGACCGACAGCCAGATGGACACATTTAGTACATTCGTTGCAACACAATTCGGGGTTTGGAGAGTTATGACGATGTTCCATAAGAAGATGGCATGGCTGTATTTGAATAAATGTAGATCTTTGTACATGAATAAATGAATAAATGTAGCTTAGCAGTAGAAAAGTTATGCTACTTTGTCAATCCCAAAGGTCTGCGAGAAGAAATTTCTTCATGCTTAGATAAAGGCCATTTCTGAGTGATCCTAATGAGATGAATTACTGGGTGCAAGTTACCCAACATACCCACACAGAAAGAGTCCTAAACACCCAGCATGCTGGCTGGGGATACTGGGAGTTTCAGAATTTTCCTCTGACTGAATGTGCTTAGAATTGTGCGGTACGTTTTTAATATATTGTGGAATTTTCCATAGAAGTCGTGCTGTTTTCGACCTCCCCCTCCCCCTCCCCCGCTTTTTTTCTCTCTGTAAGCTCAACTGCTATCAACATCTGTAATCTCACGGGTCCCTGTCATAACTTTTCGGGTAGGCCGCTTGTAATGTTTTCTTTTTAAGAGCAAGTGGACATGTATAACTAGGGCACTTCAAGTACGTAGAAGCCGGTGCCTTCCTTACTTGGAAGGTTGCTGTCTCCAGTTACCTTTTTTCCTGACGAGTCAGACGCAGGTTAAAAGGGAGGACATCCCTCTTCCCTCCTCCTCCACCCCATTTTATTTAGGGCCTTCTGCCCCGTCCTCGGCCTTTCGTTGAAACCGGTAACTGAAAGCGCAGAACGGCTTTGCCGGAGCGGCGCAGCAGCCGCTCTTGCGACTCGCCGGAAGAGGGCGCGCGCGGGGCCGCTGCACCCGTAGCCGCACGATCGCGCGCTCCTGCTGCGGCCAACGCCCGAGGGCGAGTTTTGGCGCGCAAACTCTGCGTGCTTAGACGGAGAAAAGGTTGAATTTTTTTTTTAGGTTGAAATTTTTAGACGGAGAAAAGGCCCTGCAAGGCCGAGCATTCCTGACAGGAGCATGCGAGAGGCTGCAGGACTTGTTCGGGCTGGACGTGCATGGGCTTGTACCCTTGGATCCCATTTATATTTTGAGGCGTAAACATCAGAACGGTCACCCCTTATATATTTCCTCTATCTCCTATATTGCCGCAATTGTTATTATTTCTGTTTTTAGGATTATTTTGTTGTAAACCGTCCCGAGACGTCTAAGTATGGGACCGTATAGAAACGTTTTAAATAGATAAATAAATTGCGCCGTATCACCGAGTCGTTCTTCAAGTAGTTTGGGGCATTTTTATCCAGAGAATGCATGGATAAAACTTGCCCGTATGCAGTTCCTACATTCAAAAAGTGATCGGCAACGAGCGGAAGCTCACACGCACCTTCCGTTTTGTAGCAGTGGTTCAAAGAGGCTTAAAAAATCGCAAACAGGCGCCGCTTTCGTCCTGCTGGTGATTCTGCCTGTGAAGCCCTCCCTCCCCGCCGCGCCGCAGCAGTTCCCGGAAGAGGAGCGGCCCGCCAGCGGTTGCAGCTGCAAACGAAGCTGCAGCTGTGCCGGCGGGAGAGGCCTCCATGGCAGCCGACCAGCCGCTCTCCGAGGACCTGGCTTGCCCGGTTTGCCACGAGGGCTTCACGGAGCCGGTGCGCATAGCCTGCGGGCACACCTTCTGCCGGGCGTGCCTGCTGCAGTGCTGGGGGGCGGCGGACGGCGAGCGCGCCGCTTGCCCGCGGTGCGGCAGGCCGTTTCGGGAAGGCGACGTCAGGCCGGACGAGGACTTGGCCGAGCTCGTAGCAAAGGCCAAGGGACGTGAGGAAGGGGCCGAAGCGGGCGACGAGCCGGGCCTGTGTGGGCGGCACCAGCAGCCCCTGAGACTCTTCTGCCGGGAGGAGCAAAGCCTCATTTGCCGGGTGTGTGACAACTCCAAGGAGCACAAGGGCCACAAGGATGTTGTTCCAGCAGAAGAGATTGCCCAAGGAGGCCAGGTAGGCAGTAAGCACAGTGGGAGGGTCATTAATTTGGATTTCCTTTTTGTGGGTTCCATGTAGATTCATTATATGAGAGCTGCTCCTCCCTCTAGCCAGAGCTTCAGTTATTGGGTGGAACAGAGACTAAATAAATGCTCCCCACAGCATCAACAATACCCGTCCATTGCATAGGATATTCTGATTTCTCCACATTATCAGAATATATATATCTGGACCAAAAACAGGCTTAAATCATGTTAAAGTCAACCCACTAAAATCAATGCAACAAGTTAGTAACGACCAAGTTAGATTCCCTGAATCTGAATGGGCCTTCTGCAGGCATAACGTGTTTCCTCCATCCACCAATGCCACACGCCTGGCTCCCTGTTAGCACACAATGCTCATGAGCCTTTTGCAGCCTCCTTCCAGAGGTCTTCTTTTGCTGACCCGCCCTGCTTGCCCCCCTCCATGTGTCACACAAATGTCTCCAGGTCTAGGGTCAAGGAAGATGGCCCAGAGGTGCTTCCAGCAGCTTGTAATACAGAGTTTCATAAACAGGTTTTCTCAGTGTGGTGCCCATGTCTTGAACTCTGCTGTGCTGCTGCCATCTCACAGGAAGGCGCTTCCCTGGCAGAGCACCCCTCTCACAGGGGTGTGTCTTAGCTGAGCATATGCGCTGCTTGGTTAGAGTGGCAGAGCACTGAAAGGGCATCCTTGGTAAGTGATGCTTGCCTGGGCTCTTGCATGGGAGGCTGAACCATGCACCGTGGTTAGCATTCTCCTGTGCCTGACAGGATGGGCATGGCAGGGGTGTTATGGGCCTTCCTCCTCCTCTTCCTCCCTCCCTCCCTCCCTCCCTCCCCCCTCTCAGTCCTCCTGCAGTATCTCGAGAGACAATGTGGGAACACTGAGACCTCTCCAGAGCTGCAGCAAGCTACTTAGCACTGGCCCTGACTTGGCTTTTCTCAAGAGCTTCTGTGCTATCTACATCTGGGAAACTGGTGGGAACGCAGGGCCATGTGAGCACCCCCTAAAACACCTGAGGATTCTGCTGCAAAGGACGCTTCGCACGCGCACACACACACATATCTGAAAAATAGCAGTCGCCTACAAAGTGCCAATGTGGCTTGAGCAACAGTTAGCCCAACACAAGGCCACCCGTGCCCTTTCTCTGCTGCTCAGCTGCCTGACGTGCCTCTTCCTTGGGGAAAAGGTGTGCGGGTGGGCAGAGTGAGATGCGGCATGATGGCGCTGGCCAGAGTGAGGGAAATGCTTCGCCCGCTCCCCCGTCCCCTCCTTCCCCGGGGAGCCTTGGGAAGCGGCCCCGCTCCCCCCTCGCCCCCTTCCCCGGGGAGCCTTGGGAAGCAGCCCTGCACTGTGCACTGACCCAAGCACTGGGCACCCTGCACCACACGTCCTGGTCAGGGCAGCCTTTCTGGTCCCATGACTTCCCCACTATGAGCAGATGTGGGGCAAAAGAAGATAGCAGGGAGAAAAATACCCAGCTGTTTTTCTGGGGGTGAGGATGAGGCACCCACAGGGGGCAACCCCCATTGTTGCCCCCTTCAGTTGATAGTGCTGTTGATTGGGAGGGGGTGAGGCACGCAGGGGGAAGGGGAAATTCTCTCCACTGATCTTCTAGGATGGGGCTTTGGAGCGGAAACGCCAGCATGGGGGCCAAACTGGCCCATCAAGGAAAAGTTCCTAGCTCATGCCAATATTACTTTCATCCTGCAGGTCGCACAGATCGCCTATTCGAATAACGAAGTCACAGAGGTGGCCTCAGCTGTGCCTGCGCCCCCACAATTTGCAGATGTGGAAGAGGAAGTCAAGTGCCCCATTTGCCACGAATATCTGACAAATGCAGTGTCCGTGGACTGTGGCCACAACTACTGCCAGACCTGTATCCTCAGGCACTGTAGCATGAAGGAAGACTTTGGGGAGGAGGTGACGTGTCCTCTCTGTCAAGCCCCGATCCAGAGAGAGAATATTCGGCCAAACTGGCCACTGAGAAACCTGGTAGAGATGATCAAACACTTCCCACTCAGATTACCCGAGGAGAATCTGTGTACGAAACATGAAAAGAAACTCAGCCTGTTTTGCACTGAGGACGGAGAATTAGTGTGCATACACTGTAAAAGGTCCTCAGAGCACCGAGCACACAATGTACTTCTCCTGGAAGAAGCTGTTGAGCAATACAAGGTAGGAAACACCACAATATTTGACATTCAAATCCTTTCTTCCCAACATGTCCAGTGTGTGTGTGTTTAAAGGCACATAAATAAGAATGTCGTCTGATCCAGAAACTCTTGCCCTCGTCCCTTTTGTCTGTCTTTGCCAGTAAAGGAAATGCACTCTAGGCTTGCTCAAAGGCTCTTTCACTTGTTGGTACTTCATATGTTCCAGGTTGATACGCTCAGATTAAAAAACAGAGGTTAAGACTGAATCCTGGTCTACCCTATCACCAATTTATCACTTCCATGTCTAGAGAGTTTTGTGTCAGCCTTTGCTTGCATTTCTTACCCATTAGGGTATACGTGAAGTTAGTAGTTGTTTGACATCACTTTGCATTTGGTTCCGCTGAATCACATTTGCTATTTATTTATTTAAAACATTTCTATGCTGCCCCATTTGCAAAAAGCCTCGGGGCGGCTTACAAAACAAATACCATTTGCACAATTAACCTTAAAAATTTTGGAGACATTTTGGCACAATATAAAACCCAATAAATAATCAGTTAACAATTAAAATAACTTTTAAATAAAATGGTCTTGGCCTGGCGCTGAAAAACAAATAACGACGGCGCCAGGCGGACCTCTCTAGGGAGCACATTCCATAGGTGGGGCGCCAGGGCAGAGAAGGCCCTCCTCCAGGTACTCACCCTCCTATCTTTCACGGAGGGTTCCCGGAGGAGAGCCTCCCCCGCCGATCTCAGGGGGCGGGAGGGCATATATGGACACAAGCGCTTCTTCAGGTACCCAGGTCCCAAGCTGTTTAGGGCTTTATAGGTAAGCACCAGCACCTTGAATTGGGCCCGGACTCCCATGGGGAGCCAGTGAAGCTGACAGAGGACTGGGGTTATATGAGAACAATGCCCAGTCCCCGTCAGCAGCCTAGCAGCTCTATTCTGCACCAACTGAAGTATCCGGCATTTTTTGATGCCCACTCCAGAAATGTGGAGAGATTTTTACAGCTCTTCACTGTCTCTCTTTGTTTTTGCTACACTAAATGATGTGGTGTTTGCAGCAGGTCTGAGCCCTTACTGCTCAACCCTCACTTTCCCTTTAGTGTTCCTTAACTCCTTTTTCATCCAATGGACCACCCATTTCTTGAGCCAGTTGCCTTCTTTCTGTGCATCTAAAGGTGAGAGGTTTGGATCTTGAGGTTATTTGTGATAGAATCTTCAAAATCCTTTTTTGCACTTCTTAATGTCTTCTTGCATTTCCTTTGCAAGTCTGTGTTCCATTTTTGTTTTCCTCATTTGAGCAAGGCCCCATTTCTGGAAGGAAGCCTCCAAAAGGGCACTTCTCTCTGTGAGGATAGAATTTGTGCGAAGGGCACCTTATTCCTGAAACTGTTCTTGGGAACTATGGTATGTTACAGGAGAGCTTCCTGATTTTCCCAAGGTAGAATGGAAATGTCAGTCCACTGTCAGAAAATTGCTAGCCATTCATGATCAGAACTTATTTTCTAGGCAATCAGTATCTGGCATCAAATGGAGTGATCTTACAGAAGAAAATCTTTTTCTGTTTCCACAGGAACAAAGCCAGTCTCATCTGGAGTTTCTGAAGAAAGAGAAAAAGAAGCTTGAGGAACAGAAACGAGCAAAAGAGTGGAGAATTGAAAACTGTCTGGTAGGAGTTTGCTCTGATTGAGGGCAGATTGCCCACATTCCCTTTATTGGAAGTGCAAAATATACATTTGCATTCGGGATGAATCTCTGTTCCACGGTAGCAGCTGCCTGGTTTAAACATGTGCCTTCATCCTTTCCTGGCTGAAGTATCTGTGGCAGCTACCGTATAAGAAATACAGGTGGGTTATATGTTGTAGCAGATGCCACATGAAAAACATCCAGCTTCTTCAACACTTGCCGCCTCCAATAAAGTATCACGAGCTGAGAAATCAGGTCATTCGTCCACTTATGTGAACCAGTCTAAAGGATGCATTTTGAGAACTTCTGTACGTGAGGCTTTTATTGTATGCTCATGATTCCTCATCCATGGATGTTCATGGGTACCTTATATAATGTCCTCCTCCTCTGGGACCTCTCCTTGTTTCATGGCCTTTTCTGTAGCTATTTTCAGAGCAAGGAAAGTCAAGTCAGCACTGCCTGGGAGGTCAGAATGGACTGGAATGAGAGTTTCCGGCTTATTCTCAGTTCTGCTCTGTGCCACAGCAGCACCTCATGGTTGTGCGATGAAAGAACATAGAGGAAGGCAGAGATGGAAAAGCCCTGCAGGGGAATCTGCGCCAAAGGTTGCACTCTTGCTCCCAGGAAGTAAACGGAAGAAAGAGCCTCAGTCAAGTGGTGGGATGAATTCCTCATGTAGAAAAGTCCTAAATAAAACATGAGGAGGGTGCGGGAGGGGAGGGATCCTGTCACCACCATTCAAGTCGTGATTGAGATTCAGGATAAATATTAAAATAACAAAGCATTCTTGACTGACTTTAATTCTCCAGTGTTGAAATGTGGATTTTATCATCGTCTTCATATGCTGATAATGAACAATTGGGAGCACAAGGACATTTGTTCTGTTTCTAACATCAGTGTGTTTATGGTTATGTTTATGTCTGCCTTTCCACTCCAAAGGAGATGGTGAACAAGAAAAAATTAAAATAATCCAGTGAGTAAAAACAAATACATAAGGTACAGCAGCTTTGTACTAGAAAACAGTATAGAAACAGAGCGAGTCAGAAGGAGAAACACGAGTGCCAAAACTAAAATGTAACAGTTTGAGCAGTTAATTTTTACTACACAAGGGGCCTGCTCAGATATTAATAGGGAAGGCTTCTCTCTTCAGACTGAAGTAAATTTAAGAGGTGAAAGTTCCATCACACGTACGGTTTTCTACATAGAGTGACCCTCATGGGCATTACTACAGTCACGTGGCTAAGAAATGCCAACTCCTATGTTACTGTCTGAATCGGGTACGGTAAATCACATTTCAGATAATCACAAATACGGCATTACATATGGATCCCAGCTTACATTCACACTTAATTTCTCTAAGGCTTATTATTTCAGGGCAGATTTAAAATAAGTTGCTTTGCCTGGGACAATTATATATTTGGAAAACAGAGCAGTGGGTTGAAATGAGGATTATGGGAGACATTTGTTTAATTTGTACTTCCACAACCCTAAGACAAACCAGGACATAGATTTTAATAGAAATCCATTCATTTCTGAAGTACAGTTTGGGGGGGAGAGGTGTACATTTTAGAAAGTATACAAAAATGATGCACAAAATACTTAATGGAAATCACTTGGAAAAAATACATACTGTTCAAAAAGGTATACATGAATGCGTACATTAAAATCCATACAAAAATGTGGATTTTAATAAAAACTGCATGCATATATGTGTGATGTCTGATGTATTTACTATTTGCGGACTAATGTGGAATTGGGGTAGAATCAACTTAGCATTGGGAAAATGCGAACCAGCACAGATTGAACTTATCTAGTGTAGGGATCAGTTAACATGCAGTGTTCCAAACTCTCTAAGGCTCTTTGAATTATTCCTTGAAGTTTGCTTTGCCTTATTCACATTCCTGAATGCAAGTGAGTTTTTCTTAAAAAAAAAATCTAGAAAAAACTAGCATTAGAAAAAGTGGCAATTTTCCCAATTTTTAAAAATAGGCATGCATGAAAATATTGTTCAGCCCGAGAAAGGATGCACATTTGTGACTCTGAAGGCATGCTGAGGAAATTGCAAAAATTTGCCAAGAAAATTTACTACTCGCATTCATGTGTGTGGTTTGAGTTGGATGTTTTTGCATGACTTGTGAACAGGAACAAAACTCTCATACTTCCCTAAATTAGTAGGTGGTGCTAAAAATTCTAGACAAATGCTCCCTTTTCTCTACACAGAAGCTCTCATTGACCGTCATGAGCAGTCAGCTGTTCATTGCTGCCTTTAAAGACTGGCTTCCCCTTCATTTTCTACCCCTGCCTCTCCTTAAATTCCACTTATGTTTCTTCCAGGTACAGTTGGAACAGGAGAAGAAGCGGATCAGGTCTGACTTTGAGAGAATGCAGAAGTTCCTTGAAGAGAAGCAGCAACTCTGGGTAGATCAACTGGAGGAGCTAGAGGAAGAGTTGAAGAAAATGCAGGACAAGCACCTCGCTAAAGTCTCGAAGGAGTTTTCACGACTCACTGCACTGGTTGCAGAGATGGAGGAAATGTGCCTTCAGCCAGAAAGTAAATTCCTGCAGGTGAGACTTGACACAAAGGACCCTACCTGGCCTGGCTCTTGGAATAAAGAGGGCGTGATTCTCGGGTCAAGCATGCTGTAGGAAGGGGCAGAGGTATCCTTGTCGGATCAAGAACAAAACATTTCCCCTCTCCCTCTCTTTCAGGATACCAGAAATGCCTTGGGCAGGTGTGTAACTCTTCTACTCCTGGGGTGGGAAAACTGGTCTCACTGGGGCGCCTCGAAAAACAATTGATGCTGTTTCCTTCAAGTAGCGAGTGAGGTTCACATCTTTGTCCGATTTGTTTTCTTTTGGCAAGCACGGGGTAGAGTGAAATTGATTGCTGCCTCCTCCAGCTGAAGCCTGCTCTTCAAATACTGACATGAAGGACTTTCCCACTGACTGTTATGTGAGATCTGCTCCACAGATGGAAGATGCAAATGTTTAAGCATGAAGCATCTACTCTGTCACTGGCCAGTCAACCATTACCAGCACTCATACCTGTTCTGTTTGCCCCTCCAGAGCCCTCTGGAGCAAAGCTAAAGGACTTCCCCCAGTGGGAAGGTTGATTTGATGGCTGCTCCAGAAATCCTGACCCTTTCCTGTAAAAATGCTAAAGACACAACCCTGCACAAGTTTAGACCAAAAAAAGTTCCATAACACCCAGCATCTCCTAGCCAACCATGCTAGCTATTGGGACTTGTGTGAATTATTTCTGTGCAACGTTGGCAGAGCTGCAATCTAATCCATTCAGTTTGTCCCCATTCTGCTGGACAGAAGCAGCCCACTGGAAGCTCCCCCTGCTTTTCTGTTGTTGTTGAAAAGACTTCACTTTTAGAAGCGCAGGCTGGGGCACCTTCCCATTACCCCCCATTTCATGGGACAAGCTTACAGAAGGGTTTCCTTACTGTTCCTTAAACTTGACCATGTTCCATTCCAGGTGTGAGAAAAAAGTAGGATGTGTGGTGAACCTTTCTCCCGGGCTGGAAGAGATGCTCAGAATTCACTTGCAGAAAAGCTCTGATTTAAGGATGCATATGAGGAACTGTAAAGGTAGAGGGAGCATTTTGTGGGGTGTGGGGAGAATGCCTGGCTTTAAGGAAGTGGGGGGGGGGGCTGCAGATTTCTGAGAGCTCTCCAGTTCCAGGTCAGTTATACAGAAAGGTTCTGCTAAAAGCAGAACAGACTTTCCCTGCGAGGTTCCTTAAGATACCTGAGGGCATCATTGCCCTGTTTCTATCCCTCATTAAGGGATTGGAGGAGGAGGTCTGAATCCAAGGAAGGCTGCTTTCCTTCTCAGTTGACTAATATATGGGAAAGGGAAAGGACTGTGGGGGGAAGGGACAGGAGCAGCCTCCATCTGTTTCCCCTCCCGTGCCCAATATTTCAGCCAGGGAAGGAGGGTGGCCTCTCCTGGATGGAGCTGGCCCTGCTCCTCAGCGATTCTATGAATGGGAATGATCCCCTTTTGGGGCAGTGTGAGTGTGAGGTGAGGACTAGCAGATTTTTAAGAGAGATTTGCGGGGTTTTTGAGGTTGCCCCCAGTGCTGATCAGCAGGGAGGGAAGAAACCTCCTCCAGCTGTTCCCAAGTGCTGCTTTGGTATTTTGGGGTGCCTGGGAAAGGCAATTGCCCACTAGCCCCTTGGCTAGAGTGGCAACCCTTTCTGTCATGCTTGCCAAGTGGCACTCTGGTTTTTTTGTCTTAATTACAGTTTATTTCGTTGTCTGAGTTTACAGTTACAGTTTTCTATACTATACTAATACTATATAATTATGGTTTTCGTTGTCTGAACACAGTAACCCAAAGTGGGTTTATAAAAGCCCACCACATACCATGGCTAGTTGGGGCGGTTTATAAGTCGCCCCGCGGGAAGAGTGCTGTGTTCAGACAACATGCTAAACCAGCGTGTCTTGTAAGCACCACAGCATGATGCGTGAACCCAGCTGCCGTCTCCATCACAATAAAACGTCCTGATCTAAATGAGCAGTTTTCTGTATGCGAAAGGGATTCCTTTTATGCATGCGGTGTAGCTATTTGCATGATGGCCTGTGTAATTTTGTCTCTTTCCCCGCTGTGTCACAGAGGCTGTGGAGCGAGTGCTCAGCACAGAGGCTACGGAGCGAGCTTTGGTCCGGCCCTTCAATGCAGGTACTTTTCTGGAAGGGAAGGGACTTGTTATGGGAGAGGTGCTTGAGTTAGGATCTTGGAGGGGCTGTTCTGCAAACCCCAAGACAACATTTTTCGGAATCCACCCCGGTTAATTTCTGCTTTGCATTTCAAATGTAAATGCTGGCTGTGGTGTTCAATTTAGCACGAGAGGGATTATTTTAGCTATAAGATCTTTTGCTGTATTATTTATTATGCTGTGACTACTTGGCTGTAACTTAAATCTTTAAATGTATCCCCATTTCTTCCCTGCAACAGATGTTCTGCAGCAAGCTCAATACAAAGGTAACTATGTGAAAGAAATGCAGTGCCATGAAAAACTTTTGTCAGAGGATAAAGTCTCAAAAGCAGTTCCTCATTTCCTTATTTTAGCAGGAGTCACTAAGGAAATTGCAAAATACAACCTTCCACTAGAAAATACTTTTTAACTCCCATGTTTCCACTACAAATAATGCTCAGGGTCACTGAAAGTAATAAAACATAAATAAAATAGAAGATCTTAATTAAACTCTAGAAGCAAAGAGATCTTTAAAAATTATTTTCACGTTTTAGAACAGGGAGAGCAATCAGCGTGATCTGGGATGGGCAGAGGGTGGGTGGATTATGCTAAACGGGGACAATATAGTCAAAAAAGAGTCGGTGGGCAAATTGAATTGGTCATCAGCTTGCTAAGTTGTGAGCTAGTGCACAAGCCAATCTACCATACACAGACACCATGGCTGCTTTGTGGGATAACACCAGCCAGGCAGTGATGAAAAGATGGCTGAGATGCTCCAGCATTTCATGGAGACTGTGCTCCTTGACATTGTTGCATCGATCATGTCTTTTGGGGTGGAGTTCACATTCTGTGTGGCTTTTGTTCCCTCCTGCAGGATACTAGAAGGCAATCCTGACCGCGTTCTCATGATCACCACTGCCCACCACGGCTTACTTAAGCCCTAGTTGGTTCAGCACATGTGGGCAGCCATTTTGAATATTCAGTCTCCCACAGGGTTTCCCATAGTTTGTTGAGCCACCCAAAGCTCATTGTTTCAGGATTAAACAACCCTCCAATAACCCGTGGTCTAACAGACCAATGATGACTAAACCCCATGAGAGCTTAAAATTCAATATGGATGTCCACTTGCCTAGCTGTATAGCAACTGAACGTGGGCTGTGACGATCATGCAAACCATACCACTGGTTCGTTTATTCTGTAAACAATTCTCCATCAGCCGAGGCTGAGTCTTTCCTGAACTAACTAACTAACTAACTCTCTCCCTCTCCCTCTGCAGTGAGCATGATTATGAATCCAAATGCCCAGTCTCCTGAATACTTCATGTTAAAAGATCTGAAGATCTCAAAATCGGATGGGGCACCTCACAACCTGCAGTCCTTTAACAGTATGCTCTATGAGCTGAAGTGTGAGCGACTCCCTTCGGGAAGACCTTGGTGGGTGGTGGACATGCTGGAGAAGGGGATGTGGAAAGATCTGTGGGGACTACCTGACTGGGCCATCGGGGTTGCCAAGCACACAGTCATGATGAAGGATTGCTTCAGCCTTAGTCCTGACGAGGGGATCTGGGCCGTGGGGCAGACACACAGCGACTGCTCCTCACCCTGTCAGGTTTTGGCTTTCACCTCCCCTGAGCCAACCCTGTTGACCTTGAAGAAACAGCCCAGGAAGATCTGGGTGGCCCTGGATTTTGAAGAGGGCTGTGTGGACTTTTTTGATGCTGATACAGATGAATTCATCTTCACGTTTTACTCACTTTCTGCGGAGGGAGTCCAGCCCTTTTTCTGCAGAGGGGGAACATGGTAGGACTGTTTAAAGAAGAACTGCTTTGAACCAAAAAATGTGACAGTTAGCCATTTCGTGTGTACATACGTATATCTGACGATCCTGCACACAACGGCTTTCAGATTGTTCTGGAGCCCTAGCTGGGCATGTGAGCCACAGAGAGGCCATTTTGTGTGGTCTTTCAAAGGGGGAGGGGGCAGGTCCAAGGCTGCAGAAGTCTGGAAACCCCACGCATGCAGAGTGCACAGGCCCGCCCTCTCCATCATCTGCTCAGAGCACCCCCCCCTCGCCCAAGGAACCTTTTGGCCTCACCCCCAATTGGCTAATGGGGCCAGGCATCATTATTCACACATTTGTTTTGCTTGCTGTGCACTGGTCTAGAGTCGAGCATACAGAAAGCTGGTGGAGGTGGCTCCATACACAACATGCAGGTCAGCAACCACTCCTAGGCGAGCACCTTCACAGTAAACGGGAGTCCCTACCTTTGCCCTTTCTGCTGTGTGGCCAAGAGATACACTTCAAGGCTCGCCAGGTTCCCATGTGCCTGGGCAGGGGACTTGGCAGGAGGTGGAGCCAGGAGTGCTTGGCCAAGACGGAGCTGGTTGGACTTGGTAGTTTGCACTGGCTCCTGGGCGATCGTCTGCCTTGCCCCGTTCCTGTACTGCTGGTTGGGTTCACCGTAGGTCTTGCCGCCGTGGCTAATAAAGTTGCTGCCCTGTTTGGCCCAGGGACTTGCATCTTGCTCTTTCTTCCAGGTGCCCATGCAGTAAGCAACAGGCGGTTAACAAATAGGAAAGCACTGTCTAATTTTCCATGTATGCCAGTAAAAATGAAGTCAGATTCTAGTAAATGTTGCTCTTTTGAGCTAGGTATGTGAAATGTTTGTCCCTTCAGAAATTATTGGCCTGATGACGCAGGATAAATAACTGAATGGACAACTAAGCAAATAAATTCCATGTAATTCTTCTTTGTACCATTAAGCTGTATGAATTGGTGCCAGTGTGTTTCTTCGTTTCCTTGCTTAAACTAGAGGGCTTTAAGAAGGGATTGGGCAGGTTCGTGGAAGTAGCAGCTATCATTGGCTCCTAGCCTTGCTGGCTGTGTGCTTCCTCCTTCAGCACACAGGTGGCATGTCATGTACTCCAGCTGATGAGCTCGGCAGGTGGAGGTCTTGCATCCATCGTGTTCGGGCAACCTGGTGAGCAAGTGGTTGCCGCTGTGTGTTCAGAATGCTGGACTGGGTGGCTGATCCAACACGGCTTTTCTTGTGGGTTCTTGTGTCTACATGGATATCAATCCTAGCTGTGAATTTTAGGCACAAATGAATTGGGATGTGCAACATAGAACGCTTCTAGACAAGGCTTTTCATGTGTAATGGCCACACCTCCATGTAATGTTACAGGCAATGTCACCTTCTGGTCTTAATTGTCTCACATTTCCCCAACACATTTTCCATCTTTCTTACTGCAAGGAATCTATTTAGGAAGGAAAGAGCAGAATCGCAGCGCTGCAGCCTCTCTGAGGAAGATACTCTCTTCAAGGGAGAATGAGGCTCAGTGGGCGGATTGCTCCCGGAGAGGACAGGTAGTGTCTTGACAAGGCTGCTCCCTTCTCTGCCGCTTGCTGTGCATTTCCAGTCGGAAAGCCATTCCGAGTCCTGCCTCACAATTCCTTTTCTGGATCTATTGGCTGCAAGCCTTAACAAGCTGCAAGACAAGTCAAGCTTGGAAGTTTTCTAGTCTGCTTGTGAAACCGATGAGATCCTGCTATGAGATTGACTAGGTGAGAGACAAGGGCATTTTCAGGTGAAATTGAGGGGGCTCAGACCAACCCCTGGTGGTTTCCTTTGGAAGTAAGCTTGCTTGCAATCCTTCCACCCCGGGCCTCGGGCATTCTGTGTGGCATGGTGGCTAGTACTAGCCCGGAGGCTAAGAGGATCCTTGTTTTAATCCCCACTCTGCCATGAAGCTCACTGGGTGACTTTGGGCCGGTCACTTACTCTCAGCCTGACCTACCTCACAGGGTGGTGGTTGTGAGGGTAAAATGGAGTGGAGGAGGACTATGTATATAAGCCACCTTGGATTCTTTGCAAGAAGAACAAAGGTAGACTATAAATGTAATAATGTAAATCCAAATGCAATAATTCCTATAAAAAGTGTCATTTTAGTTTGTTTATTTTTCCAATGGATTTGTTTCAAAAATTGTGAATGCACCCAAAGCTGGGCTACAAAAATGGCACTGAGAAGCACCAGCTTGGCCATGGCAGGAGGAGGTGCACGTGGCAAAGAATGGGGGGGGGGGGACACAAGCCCCAGGGCCACTTGCGGCTGGAGCAGATGGAACAGGGAGAGACGCTCACACTCCAAAACAGTGTGAGTCCCCTGATCTGGTCCATCACAATTCCCTTGTAGCGGTGCAGCAAGGACTGGTGGCCCATAGACTTCGGCGTTACCTGTTTCCCTCTATATCTTGAACTACCCATGTAAACAGCGTTAAATGTAAAAGCCATAAAGCAGAGCCAGGGTGGTGGTGTGGCTGAAGGGTCGGACGGGGGCTCAGCTGCAGCTTGGCCATGACGCTCACTGTGAGACAGGCCGGTCAACCACTGGACTGGCTGTGCCCAACACGTGATGCCGTTGTGGTTTTAGATGCATGCCGGTTTTGTGGATCACCTGAAACCTGCACTCATTCCATGGGGTGGTTTATAAGCCACTCGGGTGGGTTTTACACCATCCCAGCTAGCCATGGCTGTAGTGGAGTTTAAGAAACTCACGGTCGTTTTATGCGTTGTCCGGTGCCAGACAACAATTAGAAGCACGGCCAAGCCAAATAACCAGAGAGCTGCTTGCTAGGAGTGGCAGAAAGGCAACTCCAGTCAAGGGGCTGGCTGGTGACTGACTTTCCCAAGTACCCCAAAGAGAGAAAAAAATACAGTATGACCCTACAATTTGGAAAGGATACTCTGCAGGCTGCCCATGCCTAATTGCTACATTATAGCACACTGCTAGTTACTCTTTTTTCTTTCTTTTTTCTGGTGAGGCGTAAGGAAAGCAGCCTTTGCAACAGAATCTTCAAGTTTTTGCAGTTGCCTTCACTTTCCAAGTGTAGGCAACACACTTCTTTAAAAAAGCCACGCTGCACCCAGTGCGAAATGGCACAAGGACCATCCCATGCCTGCCGGAATTTGAGGACCGAAGTGGGTGGGGGAGGTGCACAATCCCCGCTGCACCTGATCATCCGTCAGTAACAGGAATTTTCACCAGAGTGCATCATTAAAGCCGCCAAGGGGTTCGGTGTGTTGTGTGAACCCAGCCACTGACTTCCAGCCTAACCTGCTTCACGGGGCTGTTGGGGGGATGACGTTGGAAGGAAGAGGCTCATGTAAGCCACCTTGCGTTCCTGCATGAAAAAGGCAGGGTATAAATATAACGGTACTACGCATGGGCCGTTCACCAGCACATTTGTCATCAGACTAATTAGGACTATCCTTTTTTGTTTGGAAGGACGAGGGGAAAAGCCACCAGTATGCTTTGCAACAAGACACCCAGCTATCCATACATATTTGGGGGCATGTTCCACATAACTGATGATTGCACTGCCATTTTGCAGAAGGCCTCAAAATCCTCCTTTGTGCACACACAAGAACCATGTTCTTTCAGGGTTTCGATCCCTTCCTATGGTCTCTAGAAGTTCAAGCTCTCAATTCCAGCACACATGGATGCAGATGCAGAAGAAATTTCGGTGGGTCGAAGTCTTTCCCACCCCATCACAGTACCAGGCTTCAAGGGGCCCTGGGGAAGGTTCCCTGAGTGTGCTCCTTACTACATCTTAGCAGCTGGCAATGGCCAGGGGTATCCCCTTGGCTGTTCTTTGCATAATATTTTCACTCTGGGTGTGGGGACTCTGTGAGTACTGCTCAAGAGTGCAGCCCTTTGCTCGCTCTTTTCTCCAAAATCCTTAGGAGAATCAATGGGGAAATGGAGTGGAAGGTAGTTGGAGCTTCACCAGGCATTCACTTCTCTGGAAGGGGAAGGAAGAAGGGCAGAGAGGTGGTGGCAGCAACCTCTGGACTTCTGACAGCTGCCCACCTCTGCTGTCTGCACACAGCAAGCACCTTCATCAAAAACCCCCAGGTGTATTGGAAAGCTGCAATCCCCTCTGGCAGCGGATGTTATACATGTGCTGATGCCACATGCAGGGTGGCATCTGCAGCCCCAGGTACCCACCAGCAGCTTTCCAGCAGCCTGCCCAAAACGTGGTGCCCTCCAGGCCAGCGACTCCAACGTCAGGGATGTGCCAGTGGCCACACCGGCTTCTAACCTGAAGTTTAAGGAGGTGTCCAAAGTGCTGAACCCTGTCCCCCCAGTTTGCTCCATACCACGGATGGCTCCATCATTTCCAGATGGCATTCTGGATAGGCTGCCCCCTCAGCAGTGACTGCTGTTCGTGTGTGGTCATCGGAAGGTATGCAGGGTGGAATGATGGGAGTTGCCATCCAGCACACCTGGAGGGCACCAGGTTGGGAGAATGGGCTGTTGACCTGGGGCGAAGGAACAGGCGGGAGAACGAGGCAGTGGAGGTGGGTCCAGTGCCACCCGCTTCGCGAGGAAGGAACGGAGGGCTCAAGCACCGTCCGTGCTATCCCTGCAACTCTTCCCAGAACGGGGGGGTGGGGGTGCGGGTGTCCCAAAGGAGAGACGAGGGGAGATTGGGAGGCAGATCTACAGCCTGCAGCGCAGGCCAACTAAACGCCGCCACCTCCCCGAAATCACCAGGGGAGACTGGGCAAGGGGTGGGGGGGCAACCTCGACAGCTTTGCTCTGGTCTGCTTGCCCTGCTTGTTCTGGACTTTCCACTATTGCTGCCTCTCCTGTGACGACTGCTGAGGAAGTTCGAGGAAATGAAATCCCCGGAGAAATGAAACTAAGGCAGACGGCGGGCGCGATGGCAGCTGCGGATCCGCTGCGGGGGCTCTGCGAAGAACTGACCTGCTCCATCTGCCTGGACCACTTCAAGGCTCCGGTGATACTGGACTGCGGGCACAATTTCTGCCAGGCCTGCCTGGCCCAGTGCCCGCCGGCCCCCGACGCAGAGGCGATGTGCCCCCAGTGCAGGGCGCCGTTCCGGCCAGGGGGCGCCAAGCCGAACCGGCAGCTGGCGAACCTGGTCGAGCTGCTCAAGGAGCTGCAGGAGAGCAAGCGCGCGGCGGGCGGGGGCGGCGTGTGCGAGCGGCACCGGGAGCCCCTGAAGCTCTTCTGCAGGGACGACGCCGCCGCCATCTGCGTGGTGTGCGACCGCTCCAAGGAGCACCGCGAGCACGGCGTGATCCCCCTGGAGGAGGCTGTCCAGGAGTGCAAGGTAGGGGACGAGCCCCTTCCAAGTGGCGAGAAGTAGCTTTGGAGGGGTCCACGCAGGTGTCCACAGCTTTGCCCTCGGATGTGGTTACTGCAGCTTCTACCATGCATGGGCAGCGACCCCCCCCCACTGGCTGGGGATGATGAGATTTGTAGTATGACCTGTCTGGAGGGTGCTGGGTGGGGGAAGGTTGCTGACAGGTTTTCTCTTGGGTATGTATGTACTTTTTTATGTTTTTGCATACCCTTCAAGGGAAGAGAGGGTAGCAAAACTGAAACAGTGGAGGCTCTGGCTTGGGGTTAATATGGGGCCACCTGTAGAACATGGGAAGGTGCTTTATGATCAGCTAGCCTACTGGTTCTTCTAGTATGGTATCACCAACACAGAAGGACAGTGGCTCCTGAGGTTCCAGGTAATCCCAGCTACCAAAAAGCAGGTGTCACTCAAGGAGACTTTACAAGTATGTCTCTTTTTAACGATGCTGCCCCAGTAACAGATTTTTTGCCCATCCTTGAGTATTAAGCAAAAGGAAATTAGGGAATTATTTATACTGAATCTAATCTGGAATATTGTTATAAGATGAGGATTGGTTTGGATGACCTCCTGAGATATTTTCCAATCCCTTGATCCTTAGATTGTAACAAGGAGAATTGCTTAAGAGGTTAAAACTGGGATATCCCCTGTTCTGAGATGATGACTGGGTTCAGACAACTCAAGGGTTGAGTATGGGTTGTTGGTGAAACATGGTTTATCACTGAATTGCAGGCTATGGTATCCTCTGAGCTCAGCCATGTTAACAAACCATGGTTTGTTAACCACATGTGTTGCCCCAGCCATGGGCAGTAGGTTTTTCAAAATTCCCAGAAACTGATACACCATCTCCAGGTTTACTAAGAAGATAATTTATTATTGCAATAATATCTAATGCTAGCTAGACTTCCATTAGATTTAGCACCAATCCACTTACACCGCACAACAGGGACCACTGAAAGGTAGGATTCCAATCATCTGGGTTCAGACAGAGTCTGCAGAATCTCCTTCAAAGGTAGTCTGAACCAGAGCACAAAGAAAGTGGCTTGCTTTTATAGATTACAGGCTTATGGTTATTAATGCATGCGTAGAGCATTCTACACCATTACTGGAATAGTTTTGATACTCCTGTTTAAACAGATGCTAAAAATAATGGAGTACAATGAGCAAGTAAGGAATATTCCCATCTGGGTGGCCAAGGTTCCCTCTCCTTCTGACATGAAAGCAGGGGCTCATTACTGCCCTTGCCTGCAGAATCAATGGCTGATAAAGAAAATGTTAGATGTGCAGTGTGTGGGTTCCTCACACCATCTCCGTATCAGGACAGGAAATGCCTTTGCTTCCTGAAAGCTGACTGTGGACTGTGGCATGTGACTGTCCGGGTCAAGGGAACGCTGACCGACACTATTGTTTATTGTAAAGCGCTAGACTTTAATGCCAAGTGAGGCAAGCATTTTAAGGAGTGGGAGACCCAGGCCTGGCTTTTTAGGGTTCAGGCAGGCCACTATCACAAACAACCCAGGGAGAGAACTCATATAGCATTATAGAAATGCAGTAAACCTGCAATGTATCCTGCCAAGGGAGACCCCGCACATTTCTCCCTGCTTAAGAAATTGGGGGAAGCACAAGAATAGATTATTATTCACTGGAAAGGCTATGCAACAGAGCCGAGCCCCTCCGGATGTTTTGGTGTACAACTGCTACACGCCCTCGCCTTTGGCTGTAGTGTCTCGAGGTGGTGGGAGTTGTAGGACACAAGTGGCCCACCCTTTGCTAGAGCAAAATCTCCCTTCTGTTTCTGCAGGAAAAAATCCAGGCCCAGATGACGTCTCTGGAGAAAGAACGAGAAAACCTCAAGAATCAGAAACTGGCTGAGGAGCTGAGGAGCCAGGAAAGCCTGGTAGGCATCGATGGTCCCTGCTTATCTTTGTGGGTGACCTGGTGACTCCCCAAGGCAGCAGAAGTTCCTGCATGTGATGTGAATGTGTGTGTGCGCGCTCCCACATGGAGCAAGCTGGTCACCCTCCTGGGGGAAGCAGACTGAGAATTGGCCCAGTCTCCCCGGTGGCACATGGGTCTATTGGTCAGCCACGGTGAGCAAAACCGGGAACAGGAGCACTCCTAGCAGAGCCGAGTCACGCAAGCTATGGCAGCCAAAATGCCTTCTTCTGCACAGCTAAAAACATGCTGAAACCCTTTGTCCTCTTTTGCACTTGGGTACCCTGAAATCACCTTTGTCACCCCCTCTCTTTCATGGCCTCCAGGCCTCAGGAAATCCCCTGTGGCAGCTATGGGGAGCTTGAAGCCCACAGGCCAAATGCAGTACACCTGGCACCCTCCTCGATCTTCAGGATTCCCCACGTGGTCATGCCCACTTTCCACTCTCCATCAGTCCTTTGTAGGTTTTCCAGCTTTTGCTGGAAAAAGCACCCACCCGCCCCCAATTCTAGAAGGCTAATATCCCTTTCTGGAGGATTAGCTAAAATCCCTCTCTGGAGGAGTGAGAGCTTTAAGCCCCCAAGAAGTTCTCTGAAATGGGATTTGGGCCTCTGGTGAAAAAAGCTCAGCTCCCAGCCCGGGGCCATGGACTTCTTCCACCATCCTCAGCGGGAGAAGAGTTTGCTCGCTGTCGATTCTTTGTTAATCAGTGGCGTCTGGGAGCTTTCCTCCCATGCTATGGTCTGGAGGAAAATCATTCTCCCCCACACACCCCACTGATACTTGACATGTGGTGGGGAAGTTAAACCGCACTCTGCTCCCAGGGTCACAATCCCCAATAGGGAAGGGCCCACAGTGGCTGCTACTGCAGGTTTTAAGCATCCCCCATTCTGGCCAACTGCACATTTAACATCACGTGCAGTTTGATTCCAATTTGACACTTCTGTGTGATTTAGTCTGACAGAAGAGGAAACACTCTTGAGTAGAAACCCAGTGCTGATGAACATTTTGAAGAACTCCTCATGGGTAGAGACAGGGCTCCTGCGTCTACCCGACATAACAGGTAGCCAAGGAGGGTGTGAGAGTGTCTTGTCTTTCACTGCCCCAGCATCTGTAGCGTCCATATAGCCTGCAGTGCCTGATCCTGCCTAATCTTGGAAGCTAAGCAGGGTCAGGCCTGGTTGAAATCTGGATGGGTGATTTAAAATGTTGTAAACTGCCCAAGTTGCACTGGCCATCTCCCAAAGGACATCTTCATATCAGGAGTGTAGGCAGACAGGCTGGAGGTGGGGGCAGATGCAGCACGTTGGCAATAGAAAAAGAGCACCCTTGGCCACCTAGCAGTGATTAAGTTGCTCAAAAACACCACCAGAATCAATTCAAAATAAATTGGCATTAAATGCTCTGTGAATAAGGCAGAGAATGGAAGCCTCTTTTATGGAGGAAGAAAACTTTCTGGAAACTGGAGGACAGATTGTGACCCAGCTTTCATTCCTCCTCTACCTTGAAGTTAGACACAAGAACCAGAATTGTGGAAGATACAATATTGAATATGGGAATTAATGACAACAGAGATAGAAAATTTAAAAGGGTTAATAAAAGCAAATAAATATAATGAAATTTGGGAAGATTTTGTAAAAGCAATATTGATAGAAAGTAAAGGTTGTAAGCCTAATCAAGATTATATGAATTTTTGGAGGGGATATAGATATATTTGAAGTATATTATATATATTATTAATTGTTGTATGAATTAAAATGGAGGTATTCTTGGTCTCCTGGGTGGTGAGGGCACTGTATTATTTCCTTTTTTATTCATTAGTTGGGCTTTTGTGTGTTATATTATTAATATTGTGATGTTTGTATTTATGGCTTTTTTCTGTATTTAAAAAAAAATAAAAAGGAGGGGTAAAAAAAGAATTGTGGAAGATACAAACTGGCAGCAGGCTGCGGATGTGGTTGATGCTCTTCCAACTTGCATTGGCTGTGCAGAAATCCCAAAACCATTTGGAGAAAGAGAACCCCTACCAATGCTGAGCCCTCCCTGTGAGAAACGGCTGGAGAATTTCTCATCCCCAGAGAGCTGTGCTTGATTCTCCAGTTTCTCTGCCCACAAATAGGGTGGAGGATTTTGAGAAGCTGCTTGTGCACTGCTCTGTCTAAGAGCCTGCGAGAACCCCGAGTGTTAGACACCAAATCCAGCCATGATTCAGCCATGAGCATCTCCCTCCCTTCTTTCACCAATTCTTCTGTTTTACCTCTGCCCTGTCCAAACTAATTGCAGTCTCACACCACCTTCTCCATTCCCAGAAACTGTTAGGAGAGGAGAAGCAGAAGATCAACTCCGCCTTTGAACAAATGCATACGTTTCTTGAAGAAGAAAGAAGTCTGTGCCTGGCCCAGCTGAATGTTCTGGAGAAAACGGTGGAGAAGAGGCAGGAAGAAAATAGCACCCGGCTCGTGGAGAAGATTTCCCAGCTCGGTGACCTGATTGCAGAAATGGAGGGGAAGCTCCAGCAGTCAGCAAATGAATTTCTGCAGGTGAGACTTTATTTCTGCAGGTAAGGCTTCATCCTGCCCTTTTCCGGCAAGGAAATCAAGGTGGCTTGCATAATTCTCTTCCTTCTCCTCCTCACTGTTTCATCCTCACTCAGCCCTGTGAGGGAGGTTAAGCTGAGAGTCCGTGAATGGCCTGAGGCTGCCTAAAGAGCTTGAGCACCAAACAGAGACCAGAACCTGGTCTCCCAAGTCTTGGACCAGAACTCTAACCATTAAGCACCCTGGCTCACCAATAAGCTAATATTCATGTTGACTTGTCCAAGACCTTTCTCCGGGTCCATGGGAATGGAGAGGAAATTATCCCGGGGTGACTGTAGGATCCCTTTGGGACTGGAGCCAAAGGCAAGAGCACGTGCACTGTGTGTGGAAGGCCCCACGACTGATCCCCGACCTCTCCAGGAAGGGTGAGGAAGACGCCCTGCCTAAAAGCTTGGGCAGCTTTTGGTTCCTGGGAGTCAGTGCAGGGCTAAGAGCTCAGGGCTCTGCCTCCGTGGAAGGTGCTTCCTGCGTTCCCGTGGCCCTGGGTTTCCCCTGTCGTGGAAAGCGAAACGAACCCGTGCAAGGGCACATAACCCTCTTAGCCCCTTGCTGCTCCTGGCAGGAGGGCCTGCTGCGGCCTCCCCCATCGCCTCCAGTGGGTACACACCCTCTCTTGCTGTTGTGTGGACTCACTTTTGCCCCCCCCCCTTTTTTTTCCTCTTCTAGGATTTCAACAAAATCCTCAACAGGTATGTGGTTGATCTGTTTTCTATTTCATACACCAGCCTTCTCCAACCTGGTGCTTTCCAGATGAGCTGGACATTTATTACTATTACTATTAATTACATTTCTATACCGCCCATAGCTGAAGCTCTCTGGGTAATTCAAACATGTAAGTCACCCATCCAGATTTCAACCAGACTCAACCCTGCTTAGCTTCCAAGATCAGGCAGGATCAGGAACTTGAGGATATATGGAAGCCACATGACCAGTGGTCATTCTGGCTGGGAATGATGGGATTTGCTGTTCAACACACCTGGAAAGCAGCAGATTAGGGAAGGCTGATAGGCTGTGGGAAAGCTGCAACCCAATTTTCAAGCCATGTGCTTCTGCGGAATTGCAGATTGTAGATTCTCTTAGTTCCACACAGTTTAGAAGCAGTTTTCTTTGGGGGAACAATAGCAAAGATCCTGTTATTACATCTTTGGGGCTAGACATCTTTCAGATATTAATGACAAAACATGGACCTTTAATTTAATAAACCGGCCAGGCTTCTCTCCATGTCATCAAAATGAAATATCTTCTGTCATGCACAGTCTATTGAAATAGTCTTTGTGCTGGCTTCCCTTGACAATGGTCCATGCATTTGCAGCTTGTGCCAATAATGGCAGTGAGGTGATAGTATATTACTCCAGCTTTGAAAATTGTGCATTGGCTGCCAGGGAGCTACTGCACAAAGCCATATAGGACTTGGGTCCCAGTACCAACCAACCCAGGATTTAGGCTTGGCTGGGGAGGCTTTGCCGCTGGGGCCCTTGAGAAATGAGGTCCATGAGGCTACCACATGAGGCAGAGCCTTCCTGGCGATGGCACCCTGACTGTGGAACACCATCTGTTAGAGAATCAGTTGCCCTTCACACTGCTTCAGATGCCTGTTAAAGACGTGTTTATTTGTACAGGCTTTGCAGGTATAGGCAATTTTTTGTCTGTTTTCTGGCATTTTGGTGATAATTTAATGCATTTTGTGGGGTGTTTGTAATTTTAGAGTTACAATTTTAGCAGTGTCCATGTGTTGCATTATTTTTATATGGACCGATAGCTGCCCTTGGCTCCCCGTGAGGACCACTAGAACAGGGATCTGCCCCTGATGTGGCAATTGGGGGCCAGGGCCCCTGCACTGCGATCAAGGAAGGGCCGAGTTTCTCATATCAGGGCGGGCACTTTCAGGGTGGGCAATGTTCTTAGACTGCGCTGCCCCCGTTCCCTTCCAGGTCTCAGGAGGAACAAGCAGGCCAAGCACCAGACCCGTCCCCTCGGCTGGATGGCAGAGTCGCCCAGTGCTGCCAGATGAACCGCGCTTTAGAAAACTCTCTGGCAAAATGCAGAGGTATGGAAGACGGCCGTAAGAGGGGGACACATGCAGGGCTCGGAAGGCCGTCTGGTTGGTTGCAGAGCACGTCAATCGGCGGCTACAGGAGGCGGGGCAACAGCGACCCCTCTTACCCCAGGCTAGAAGCGAGGCGCGGCCGGATGCTCGCCCGTCAGGCGTGGGAGCTGCACGCGTGGCAGTTCTCTCGGGCGGCCTTTGCGGAGGTTGCTGCCAGCCGCTCTCCCGCCCGCTGCACGGTTCCTCGCGGGGCCGCCGCGTCCTCTGACCACGGACGGTCGCGGCAGCTCCCGCCCGCCCTGCGCATCTGCTCGCCCAGCCACCCAGCCGCGCGCTGCGCTCCCTCGCTCGGCTGGGCTGGGCTGGGCTGCCGGGCCGCCGCCTCCGCCCGCCGGCCGCTCACGCCGCGTGCGCCCCAGCCCAGCCCTGCGGAGCCCTGCAGCCGCCTCGCCCGAGCGGCAGGATGTGGCGGACGCGGCGTCCTCGCTGGCCTCGCCGGCCCTGACCTGGAGCAGCGCCTCCGGAGTTCGGCTGGGCCTCGTGCAAGAGCCCCCCCGCCCCCGCTTTGCCATTGCCTCGGATGGGGAATTCACCCCGCCCTGGGAGCGTGCAAAAGTGTGTCCCCTTCAGAGGGACAAGTCACCCCATGCAAGTGTGTCTGTGCATGTGGAAGGAGGGGGATTTTCAGCCAGGAATGAGCATTACTCTTTTCAATAAAATAAAATAATCGTGGGCAATCCAGTTATGGCTCGCCCACCATCTTGTCAGTCACATCCTCAGATGGGAACATGGACACACGAGGTCACATTGTCTGGCCACAATATTCTTGCTAAATTTGTCTTTTCTTTTGCCACTTAACAGATATCCTGGAACTCGTACTGAACACAGGTACTTTTCTCCAATGAATAGAAACGGATTAGTGTCTTGATAATGGGAGCTGGTGCTTGAAGCAGGGATGGGGCTTTCTTAATCCTGCAAGATCAAATCCACTTAGTGCAACCATTTTATATTGACAGTACTTTCATTTTGGTGCCAGGCAAAGATTGTCCTATTTCACAGGCATTTGGAAACCTGACTTTAATTAATTGGTTGTTTTGAGCTCTCGTGCACTACCAGCAGTTGAGTATTTTTAATTGTTACCAAGCATCATAATGTTTTATCTTGTATGTGTCAGAATCCCAGAATCTCAATTTGAGAAGAGGGAATAAAACTCGGGTTCATGGGAAAGACCAAGCATCCAGACCATCTGAGGCTTTATTGTATTTACCCCAATGCATGCTGCATTACCGGGCAGGCAGAGGTGAACTCTGCTGCCAAGCTTCAACACAACTTTTTATACACTCCCAGTCACATACAGGTACAGGGCAATTGATGACAGAATGCAGAGATTACAATAAGATTCTGAGGTCATCACATACAGAACAGATAAAGAAATGTCAGTCAATCACACTGTAACAATGAGATTACAATATTTCTAATTGCCTGTATTGATACTTCAGTAGCTTGAACCCATCTCCAGGTCCACTTGGACATGTAAATTCAAGCCACTGAAACTATGCATGAGCTCAAGACTCTTACCTACTCTAGACATTCTGAATTGGCCAGGGCACATGGAGCCTCTGGGCTAGGAAGAGACTTCCTTGAATTCCAACAATGACTATTTACAATGTATATTTGGGCTAAAATGGCCTGTCTGCTGTAGCCTACAGCTAAAGGTGAGAGAAAGGAGCAGGGGAGGGATGCCATTTTAAACAGTGGCAGCTTGGTTTTGAGAAGGAAGACAGGATTTGATCCCACAATGCAAAGACACACAGGAGTAATGCTTTTCAGACAGGATTTACCCAAATTTTCCCAACACATGCCGCTTAGAGAGCTCTGGTGGGTTATCCAGCGGCCTATAAATTTAAAAATAAATAAATAAGCCTAATTGGCAGACTTGCCTTCCTAAAGTGCATTGGCCTGCAGTGCTCAAACAGAGCATGCAGAAAAACCCAAGTTCGGTTGATGGGGTTTGTCGTACGTCCAGTTAAAAGGAAAAAACTGCAGGTGATGGGAGAGGATAATGGGTTAGATGGCAAAGAGCTTGATCTCATAGAAGGCATCTTGGGTAGGAGGTGGCATGGGTTTTTTAAAAAATAAAAATGACAAATTGAAATATGCAGGATGCTCCGAGCTCACTTTTGTCTCCTTTTCCTCCTTTACCCCACAGCATTTTGGGAGCAAGCATCACAGAAAGGTAAACGCTCACAGCGCAAAACTTAAAAGAGTTAAGAAACTTAATGGAGGACCAAAAGCAACTCCTTATCCAAATATCTACTCTGGTAAAACAGGCCCATTTTGTGGCAAGATCAGTCTTGTTTAAAGTAGAACTTATGCCAGGGGTGGACCAGACCCCTGGAGGTCCACAATTCCCATCAGCCCTAGCCAATGGTGAGGATTGATGGGAGCTGTAGATAAAAATAGCCAGAAGGCCAGAAGTTGCCCACCCCTGCCTGGCACTAAACTCAAACAGGAACGGGGCCCAAGGCAGCCAACCTGCTCCTCCCTGCTCCATTTTAGTCTCTTAACATCCCTGTACAGGAGGTTAGGCTGACAGCCAGTGGCTGGCCAAAGCCACCCAATGCATGAGCATCAAGGTTGCGTTAGAACTTGAACCTGGATCTCCCAAGGCCCAGCCTAACCACCTGGCCACACTGGCCTTGTAAACAAGCCACGGAGTTAGGAGCAGGCTGGAGGCTGGCAAAAGAAAGACACACAGTGCTCGGGTACTCCTACCTTTAGAGCTTTGGGGTGATGGAGGGAGGTCTCACCTCCTCTGGCAGCTTGCCAGGCATAGAGGAAAGCCTATACCAGCTATCCTGCACCAGCCCGCTCCCTGCTTGGCATGAAATTCTTTGCCACCCGTGGTTGGATGACTAATGCCTGTGCTAGCTGGAGGAACTGAACTGGTTCTGAGGATCCAAACCTGCCAGTTGTCCTTGGCAAGCTAGCATTCTCACCCCCACAGATCTGATGCAAGGAATTTAGTTGTAATGCACAACATGGTTTTCCACAGCTGGGGCCCTTCCAGATGTTGCAGGCTTCAATTCCCAGCAGCCCCAGCTAGCTTTCTGAGGGGACCCTGGCTGAGGAAGGGTGGAATAGTGAATGGACATACCGGATCAGTAGTCCAATTATTCTATTCATTTCAAAGATCTGGCTGGCTTTTGGGGCAACTTGTTACTGCTTTAATCAACAGCACGTTTGCGCACTGGGGTTGAGGAATAGGAGCAATTCGGATTAGGAAAATCTGTGCCCCGGTTCAATATGGTCCCACCCTGCCATAGTGCCTATAAATGAAAATCCGCCAATTCAGGCCCTTCTTCTGATCTTCTGTTGGACTTCCTGAGCCCCTTCCAATGAAGCCCGAGAGACGCCCCAGTTGCATCTGTTCCTGGCTGACCTCTCCCCTGATCCTGCCTCCTCTTTCTTTCCCTGTCCAGCCGTGGATGTGACCCTGGACCCCATCACGGCCCACCCTGATCTCATTCTCTCTGGCGACCTCAAGTGTGTGAAATGGGAAGGCATCGGGCTAGACCTGCCTGACAACCCGGAGAGATTCGATGAGACCTGCTCCGTGCTGGGCTGCGAAAGATTTTCTAGTGGGGAACACTGGTGGGAGGTGGAGGTCGATGGGCGGATATGGGAAACGTGGTGTTCGGGCAAAGCCACGGAGGTCATGTGGGCCGTAGGAGTTGCGCGGGAGTCTGTTGCAAGGAAGGGGAAAATCAATCATTATCCTAACGAAAATATTTGGGCCGTGGGGAAGGCCATGAGTAACTTGTTCTTGTCTTGTAAATTCTGGGCTTTTACTTCCCCTGGATGGACTCCCTTGACCCTGAGAAATGAGCTCAGAATGATACGGGTGTACCTGGACTATGAAAAGGGCCGTGTGGAATTCTTTGATGCCGATACGCAAGATGTGATTTTCACTTTTTCCACCTCTTTCATGGGAGAGAGCATCCGTCCCTATTTCTGGGTGAATCCGGGGGTCCGAATGAAATGCAGAGATATGAGGAGCACCCCAGCACCGTCACTTTGTCTGTCCTGAAAGTGGGGGGAACCCCAGAATGTTTCCGGAGCTGAATGGGAACAGGCAAAAGAGTGACAGAAGAGGGATGAGCAGCTGGCACCTCTTTGCTCGCTCGCCTTGGCTCAGAGGTCCCTACCAGCCTGTTCCCTGCCACTCCTGCAGGCCTTGGAAACGAGGTTCTTCACTCTGCCCCAGTGAGAGAGCCTGATGACCTGTGAGTATTCATTTATTGCAAGCTTTTCTAGACTGTCAGCAAAGCCACACGGCTCTCTGGACAATTAACAACAGTTTAAAATGCAATTAAAAGGCATAAAAATCCATATAACATCATAAAACAAATTGAATAAAATCAAACCATTAATTCCATCAGCATGAACACTGTGCTGCCCCCATAGAGTGGCCATATTGGACACATTTAATATTTACAAATTTACAAATAAATTAAAAATACTAAAATAAATAAAAATATATTTATTCATAAATAAAATACTAACTTAAAATTAGAATCAAAACTGTCAGCAATTTAAATGCTTCAAAAATTAAAAAAAGTCTTTGCCTAGCGCCTAAATGTGTACAATGTAAGTGCCTGGCACACAACTCCAGGGAGCCGATTCCAAAGATGGGGTACCATGACCGAAAAGGCCCCACTCCGAGTAGCCAACTTCCTAGAATCTTTTAAAAGCAGTGCCTGAAGCAAGATCTCTGATGAAAATCTTAGGGTCTGGGTAGGCTTGTGTGGGTGGAGCAATGTAACAGGAAGGTGCAATATAACAGGGACATTATATATAACAGCTTTAATTGTTGTAGCAGATAAATGTGAAATCAGGTCTATGCAATGAAAAAGACCCAATACATTAGAGAAAATGAATGAATTTTAAGAAGAGTGTTATTTTTTAAATAAAAATGCAATGTAGAGCAACATCGACTAAAGTATAAGGGTATGTGCCTTCTACATAATAGGATTACAACATTCAAAAGACTCTTCCATATAGCTGGAAGTTTGACCTGATCCTACCTAACTGCAGAACCTCAGCAGTGTTGGGCCTGGTTAGTTTTTAGATGGGAGACCTGAGTCCCATATGGAGCAGGGGGTTCGACCTGAGGTCCTTCTAGGCCCCTTCCAATTGTATGATTCTATTATTTTATCCTGTTAGCTACTTATAAAATTCTACATTTGCCTCTAAACATCAGCCTCCCAGTTAAAGGTCACTTTGTTCCCAGCTGTTTAGTACCTTGACCTGAAGACTTAGGAAGAAGAATCTATAGCTACATATCCCAAGCAGAGATGCACTCCCAGGACCTCAAGATCTAAAGTAATCAATTGCAGCTTCCAGGAAAGCTCAATATTGCTGCATTAATCCATGTGGAAACTGAAGGAAATGTTTAAAACAGCTCGGGGAGAATGAAGTTTGAGCTTCACCTGGAAAGCAAATAAACAACCATAGGGAAAGAAGGAAAAAGAAAAGGAAATGTGGGGAAACTAAATTTATTCAGAATTTATTGTTCGTGAGCCATAATCTAGCCCAATAACACATTAACTGGGGGGGGGGTCTAAATTTTCCATCACAAAGTAAACACTGATCGGGGTTGTGCAAGCACACTCTGTACTGAAAAATAAAAGTCAGGGCAACATAATTCTAAGCAAAACAAAAAAACAAAACAAAACCTCAAAGCAAAGTTCTCCTCTCTGTGTTTCAGGAATTCTCAGTGCAGGAGAAGCTTCAGGAGGGAATATGAGCTTGTATGTATGTGAGCTCCAGGAAAAAGCCCCTGAGGTGGCTGTGCCCCATTAGCTCAGAAATGCCTCCCTTCTCTGCTCAGTTCTCTCTCTTGAGCACCCAGCTGAAGGAAGTAACTCAGTGACTGAGAAACAGTGAGGCAAACAACCAGGCCATGAAGCCTGTCTAAAGGAATGTGGAAGGGAGAAAAAGATAATTGGCTTGAAAGAAAGTTTACTACTTGCTAGCTCATACTCCCAGTAGTTTTAAGAGATGGGGTTGTAGGACAAGGTGAAGTTAGAGAGGAGCAAGCTAGTGAACTTGCAGTTATGAACATGCAGGCATAATAGGTTGATGAATATTATCTCACACACCTCGAATAGACAAAGGGCTAATTATAATGCAGATGTATGTAGATGTATGTAGTGGGATGAGATGGGAGATATGAAGTAGGCAGACAGAAAGACTGTAACCTCCTAGTACCTTACCCATTGAGGGAAAGGGGGAGGACTGAGGCGGACAGGTTGAGGGTTAAAAGGGGATGTTTTGTGTGTTTGTACTTGGGAGAGATTGTGCCAGAGCGGGCTCTCCCCGTCTATTGCAATAAACGAAGGCGTCGCCTCACTCCGATGGTAGTCTGCGTTATTTAACTTGAGGAGAAGTATTTTCGCAGTTTTTTGCATAACACAGTCAACGGAGGTGATCCTGGGGTCTTAACAGCAAGCACTTCGAGTACAGACTCATGAAAGGCATTTACCTCTGTGTCTCCTCTGAACTGGTCTATTGACCCGGAGCCGAGACGCTATGCCTGCTCTTTTCCCTTGTTCCATTCAACATCCTACGGTACGAGGCATGTCAATAGCAAAGGGAGGGAGCCGTTAGGCAACCAACAAATGCCAGTTAGCTTTATTTTAGAAGAGTTTACAGCGTTGTGTGTCCTGTGTGCACCAAGTAGTAACAATACTAATTAAATCCATTGCAGTTCCAGGCTGTAACACAACTAAATGTGGAAAAGGCAAAGGGCAGTGTGTGCGTGCGTGCATAAATATTTGCACAATTTGCATGGTATATAGTACTCTGGCTATATGGTTTCACCTGTGTAGGTGTGAATCCAGGACTGACCCTGTGATATATTCCACAGCCAGCTGAGCAACAAGAATATGAATGAGGTCTAAGCATGGATAGTGTCCTCTCTTTAATTCAAGTTCAAACATTCCACTCCCAGAAACAGCATAGTGGCCATTTGGATTAGATAGAAGCATTTATGGTCTGCTTCTGATCCCAAACTCACCAAGTTTGCAGACCTTTTCAGAACATTGCCTGTTATGCCTGACTCCCCAGGATCCTGACATAATAAAAATATCTATCAGCTTTCTAAGGGCATTCAGGATAGGCATGACTCCTCTAGGCTCCAGATAGGCATGACACGGCCAAACACTAGAATAATCAAACTGTCTCAGGGTATGCATGATAGGCTTAGCTCTCCTAAGCTCTAGCCCATTCAAATGTCTAGTAACTGCCTCAGAGAATTCCCCTTGGAAAGTGGAAAGAGCTTACCTACAGGGTAATGGGCAAAGATTGCCTAAAAGGTGTAAATTAAAAGATAAAACTTACTGCTAATCAAATCTGCTTCTATATATCGCTTGCTTAACTGCTGCTATGTGATTTTGTAACTTCCTGTTGTCGCCATTGTTCTGATTTTGTCAAAAACTGATTGTATTGTTTCCCATTTACCGAACGCTCACTGTGAAGCTATAAAAACCTCATTCCAACTCTGTTCAGGGCCGCATTCTAACCGTGAATGTTGGTCCCTGCAAGAAATCCTGCAGGTTAATAAACTCTTTATTTTTACCAACTGGTCTCTGGTCTCATCTGCAAAACCGCGAGTTACAACATTGCCATTCGCCAGGGAATCTAAGTTTTCCAGCTATTTCCACAGGGTTTTTCAGAGCAAGGAATGTCAGCTTTTAAAATTCAAATCAAAATTCTAATTGTAGCAAACCAGATCCTCTTGAAAAGTTGGAAAACCACTCTCCTGAAGCTACATTCTGTGCTCCCTTGTGCTTGGGTGATATAATTTTGAAGGAGGAAGAGGAGAACGAAACCCCAGGGATAAACTCATGCAAAGGATGCATTTTTCCTCCTGCAATGAAAAGAGGAAGCAGCTTCAGTACAGTGAGGGGTTAATCCCCTCGTTCAGAGAAGCGGGGCGGGCAGGGGGGCATCCCTAAAGTAGAGAACATGTAACCCTTTCGTCTAAGTTCATGAGTGCACTAGTATCTTCCATGGCAGAATACAGCATTATGAGCCGGGCAAAGAGCAGGCCTCCGCAGCTTGCAGCCGACCCCCAAGCTCTGCTATCCAAGCAACACTCTATAGACAGTGGTACCTTCACAACAGGGTTTTTAAATATTTGAATAAACTGCCTACTGGAATTGACTGATGGACCAACTACCTTATTTTAGAAATGTGCCTTTCTCCTCTACCTTCTGTTGCAAAAATGGTTTTGGTCTTCCCCACCCCCATACCCTGAGCCTCTCAATTCTCAGGAACAAGGAAAGCCACATCCAGCAGAGACTTAAACTGTTTATTTTGCATGCAAAAGAGATCAGCAACTGGCTCACGTGCAAAAGCTGAGTTGACAGAAAGCAAAGGTTTGGGCATGGTCTTCGTAGGTTACAGATTGGCAAATAGTATTATTATTATTATTATTATTATTATTATTATTATTATTATTATTATTACATTTCTATGCCGCCCCTTGTCCAGGTGCTCCCCAGTTCCAGACCAGCCAATCCTGGGCCCCCACCTAATTAGTGGTTATAGTGAGGGTTTTCTGATAACTGCTTCCCATTAACACTTGTGGTTATGAAGCATTTAGGTGTCTTAATGTAGCTTCTGATTAACTGATCTGCAGTCTTTGACAGGTAAAGCTTTCACTGATTAATTGATCTACTGCTTTAAACAAGAGAGCCTAAATCAGGAGCTGCTGTCAGCAGCCCCAAAGTTTTTGCTAAGGCAGGCTACCCAGAGGCCTTTGACCCATGGCCTGGCCAAGGTCGCTGGCTGGGTCACAGAAACGATCCGTGTTTGGTCTTGCAAGCAAGCTTCATTACAGAATGGCTGGCCTTTTTCTAATACCTCTGAAACGAGCCCAGGGTGGGGTGTCTTTTTGGGGCTCCATGACTGGTCTACCCACCCCTCCCCAGTTCTGGGGATATCTGAAAGAGATGCATGAGAAATTAACTTAGTTCATATTTTATTTCAAATTTGCACTCTTAAGACCTGAACACAAGCCAGAATGTAGATTGACACTGAAAGCCATACTTTCCTGAAGTTTGTGATGCAGACGGCTGTGCGTGTGTATGTTTGTGCTGGGGGGGATTATATTTAAAATGCACACATCTGGAAAGTGTGACAAAAAGGTCCATACCAAAAACCATGCATCTATATGGACAAATGAGCACAAGAGCACTTTATTTAATGGAGCAATCTCTTGCAAACAATGTGGGCATTTGAAAAAGTGCACACCAAAATGGTTCATTGAAAAATGTAGAGTTTTAAAAATGTATGTGAATTTTCATGTGGGATTTGTCTGTCTAGCGATACAGGCTGAACACAGACCCACACACAATTTGATGCTGAAATGTGATGGAATGAACTTTGCAGGGGGAAAATGAGAACACAACAGAAGTTGACCGGACATAGTTACTCATTCCTTGTGCTAGGAAGTGGCCTGATCAGGGGGAAGGCCCTGGCTTGGAAGAAAGCTTCCTGCATTTTTATTTTTGGAACTGCACTTGCCTACTCAGTTATCGAAAGGGAATCTCGTCACCACTTAGCAATGCTGCGTGTCCAGTTGCAGGGAAGGGAAAAGCCTGACCAGGAAGGGGAAAACTTCGCTTAGAGAAACGAAAGCCTTTTCTGAGGGAGGCCGCTGGAATGGCAGCTGCTGGGAACCTCGTGAAGGGCCTCTGCGACGAGATGACCTGTTCCGTCTGCCTGGACTACTTCACAGAGCCTATCTCGCTGAACTGCGGGCACAACATCTGCAAATCCTGCCTGGGGAACTGCAGGCTGGACTTGTTCGGAGGTACCTCCTGTCCCCAGTGCAGGAGCCCCGTTTGGCCCAGGGACATCAGGCCGAACAAGCAACTGGCGAATGCCATACAGCTGGTCAAGCAGCTCAGCAGCCAAGTGGCAAAGGAGGCGGACGGAAGAGCGGGGGCTTGCGAGAAGCATGGGGAGCCCCTGAAGCTCTTCTGCGAGACGGACGACTCTCCCATCTGCGTGGTGTGTGACAAAACCAGCAAGCACCGAGATCATCAAGTCATTCCCGTGGAGGAGGCTCTCCAGAAGTTTAAGGTAGGAGGAGGCCGTGGCAGGAACGGCTTTGTGCTGTTAGCGCTTTACCTTGTGTTTGGATCCTGTCCCCCTTGCAAAGAGCATGGCTTTCTGACACGGCAGCCTTCTCCCTTTCTGCACAACTGCCACGGTTATCCGCATAGCTGATCTGTGGGCAAATGGAGGCTGCCAGCACTGATTGAACCAGGAAACGCTGAGATGCCGTTCAGCATGCATTCACAACACTGTTCATGATTTGCATGCGTTGGCATCTGGTAGGCTTATCCAATGGTAAAAATGCTTCCGAAGGCTGCCACCCATGGCTACAGGTGGTGTTGGCTTGCGTGGCTTAGTATTTCACCACTGTGCGAGGAGATTTGGGGCTGGTCTAGATGAGCTCGCAGTGATTGTGGCACGGAAAGGCTAACTGGTTCAAGCTGGGTAAAACTCTTGGGCAGGCCTAGTTTTTGCTCTCTTTCCTTCACTTAAGGACCTGACTCCTGCTGCAAATAACGACCAGGGCTTGGGCAAGTGGGATTGCAGGAACAAAAACAATCTGCAGACAGAGAAAAGGGAGGAAAACTGAATCCGTTCAGCCACTGTTAAGTCAGGCATTTGCAAGAAAGCGAAACTTTTCTGGTTTGCAAGCACAGTTATGCAAAAGGAGGAATGGAAGGAGTGGGTAGGTGGGAAGGGGAAAGGAAGGACAGAGAGATAAATGCAATTTCCAAGAAACAAACATCTCCAATAGAAAGGGCTTACACTACTGACCACTGGATGACTCGCCCAGAGTGTCCATTTACTGGAGATGAAAGTGGGGTCTTCCTTGCTATTTATTCATTTATTGTGGCCAAGTGTCATAAAGCAAGGCCTTGTGGCCACATTTAGGAATTTGAGAAACTTCTGTGAGTGCCACTGTAAAATGCCTCAAAAGTGGAATGCTGCTTTGGTGTCTTATGCCTATGGATCTTAGGCCATCACTGATTCAGCAGAAACTTTTGTTATTTTTTTGTCAGACACTGCAGTGTCTCTTTAATAGGGGACTTCTGATTTGGCAAATTGCTGGCAGTGAAGACCAGCTAATGCATCCTTAAACCAGTGTTTCAGTATCATCCAGGAGTTGCTTGAAGGAAGTTATTATAAAATTTTGTATCGGAACAACCTTTAATGCTCATGGATGTACACACTTTTTATAATTATTTACCTGCTTCATGAAACATAACAAAAGGTTAATGTAAGAAGCATTCTCTGCACCTTTTGATAGCTAAAAATCCAATATTACAACATTAAAAAGATAAAGACACACTTCCTATAATGTACTGGATTCAGGACAGAACAATGGCATATAGATACCAAATGGATATTTATTTGCATAATCATTCCACTTTTGTTGAAGCCTGTGTCGAATTGCTTAGAAAGGTATACGCATTTAATGCAAAGCCATGCCATTTTTTAAACCTGGTTTCCTATAGGCTCCACATTGCAAACCTCTTTGTGGGCACCACTGGATCCCTCTTGTTAAGAACACTCTTTCCTTTCCTTCAGAAGAGAAAAATATTCCAAGCATGCAGAGAGTTCTTTTAAAACTTTATTGCAACAAAGGGACCGAAGGTGGCTTCCTTCCCATCTTCCAGTTAGACTCCACACATGTTCACACGCCATTTTATGCCCTGCCCCACCCCCGTGGCTTTTTCCTCCTGCTTTCCCCTCATTGGCTAGGGTACTGGGAGTAGGCGGGTATCTTTCTGCCCGCCTACTCCACGCTGCTCCAATACCGGCCCTCCTTTCCCACTTCAGCCCTCCCTGGTGAGCTACAATAGGCCCATTTTGCCCTGCCAAGCTTGTCAATTAACAATCAAAAAAGGGTTTTAAACTTAAAAGGGTTTTAAGTGAGAGATGAATGAGGAGAAGGGAAGGGAAAAAAAATCTTACAGTTTGAACAAGAAAAGTCACTGGAACAACTTGTGGAGTTTGGAGAAAACCTGCTATGCTACTGAAACTTTTCCCACTAATTAAGCATACAAAATAGTGTATGTATTGTTTTCTAAATCATGACAGGACAACTAGGGTCAAAGGGTACAAAAGGTGTGCTGTAGAGTCAGTTGTACAAAGTGATGGTAGGCATGTCATGAGCGGAGCCGGCTGGAGCCGGGGGTCAGACTAGATGACCTGAGAGACCCCTTCTGACTTGCTCTGTTTCTATGTTCTATGTCTCTGTGTGGGAGAGGACTTGAGAATAAACGAGGAAGGGGTTGAGGGTGCTCAGCGAGACCTTTCAGGTGCAGAACCATGGACTGGGCCCTCACCCATCAGAAGCCTTGACCTCACAGCTTTCTGGGTTCCCTTTGTCCTGGCAGCTGAACCTTGCAGGGCAGGAAGAGAAGTGGAGGTCTTGTTGCCCCCCTGCCCTCTGCCTTCCCCAGTTTTCACTGTATGGGCTTTTCAGCCTGCCTAGGGAGGGCACTTTGAAGGGAAGCAAAGCAGGTTGGAGAAGTGGGAGGCAGGAAGTGGGTTGCCGCCCTGCTCACGGGCAGTAGTGGGCCGTCCACAATTGAACCCTGATCTATGCTCATCTCGTGTGATGGAGATAGCTGTGTGGGGCCATGAAAGAGAGTGGCAAACCCGCAGGATCATGCTCCCACTCTGCTACTTTCTGCCAGCCGGTAAAGTCATTCTCATTCAAGCATGTAAGCTGGTCTGCGGGTTTGAGTGCTGTTTTTCTTCTTGTATTGCTGCATTCTTTAAATTATTGTTTCAGTGTATTTGCTTTATTATTGTCATTTTGGCTTGCAAGACTATTAGATACTTTGAGCACCATTTCCTCAGAGCTGGGCAAGTGGGCAAATAAATGGTGTAGGAAGAGGCATCTGCCCCTGTCCCTGCCTTCTTTGCTTTTGAAAGTAATTTCCAAAAGTGTGTTTTAGAGTATGGTGCTAATGGGTGGCTTTAAACAAATCTAATAAATAAATTTCAGTGCGTTGCTCTTTGTGTCTGCTTCTCATTCACTCTATCCCATCAGGAGGACAAGACAACAGAATTAGAAAAAGTACCAGCAATTGGTTGTGTACTGGGGCATTGGGAGGAAGGGTTAAACTTCAGCCTGAACCTGTGGAAGGGGTGTTGGAAAAATCTGCAGTGGTTTCACGTGAGGCTTTTTTGTTTTTTGAGTTGTGCAGATTCAAGGGATTTGAGTACTGGCTTTGTTTGCTTCTTTGGGTATTGGAGATTTGCATAAATCTGCATTTGCACAACTATGTATTTGTGTGCGTGCACACATACATTTAGAAATGGAAACCAAATTTTCATCTATCTCTAAAAAGAAGTCATTGAGCAGACGGTGGAATGAAAGATGCTCAACAATTTGCAAAATATAGACAGAATGGATTTAACAATATCCATGAATCCCTAAGCCCTGGTTTTGGCTACTCATCTTGAAATTTAATTCCTCCTGCCTGAGACCTTCAAGAAAGAAAACTCTCAAAGAAAAAAAAACCGTGAAAATTTGGGTGAAAAAAGACTACTTTTCTGTTTGTACAGGAAAAAATCCAAGCTCAGCGGCAGTCATTAAAGCAAGACACAGAGAATCTTGTGGCCCAGAAAATGGTCATGAGGCAGAAAAGTCCGGAATGTCTGGTAGGTGTTTCTTTTCACAACTTTCATACCGGGGCAGATGCTTGGGGTGAGCTGGGGCCATGGAGGACCCACGGGGCACCTTGGACATGTCTTCTGCAGGAAAGGGAGCTGAGGCTGAAGGTGCTGGCCGTGCCACCATCCAAGCACAAGAAGGCAGAAGCACGCAGGAAGTTGCTCAAACTAGGAGGAGCCCTGGGGTCCAGAGCCCAGTTTTGACTGGCTGTGGCTTTCTAGGGTTTTAGGCAGGAACTTTTCCAGCCCTACCTGGAGATGCCAGGACTAGAACTTAATACTTCCGGATGCAAAGCTGCTGCTTCACCACTGAGCCAGAGCCTTGCAAAGCTTCAGGAGAAAACCTTGAGGGGTGACGCACGAAAGCAGCCTTGTGAGGACTGTGAATGGTCACCCAGCTTGGAGGACTACCTGACCTTGCCAAAGGTAGATGGAATTGAATATCCAGGAAAAGGGCATGGCTGGCTGGCGGGAGCCCTGAGGAAGCACACTCCACTTTGTGTCCCAGGATTCCCTTGTTTATATCCCTCATTTCACCCAAGGAGCTCCAGATGGCATGCATAGGTCTTTCCTGCAACCCGTATTCAGTGGTGCAGGCAGGTAATTTTAGATTCTAGACTTCATGGTCTCAAAGAGGATCCCCTTTACTAGTTTCTGTTTATTACTTCATGCCTTTCAAAAAAGACTTGCAAGCAACGCGTCCAAAGAGGACATTGCCTGGTCTTATTAGCCTGGTCTTTGGCTTCTTCTGTCAAATTGAGTCATTCCTTCTCCCTCTCAGAAGTTCTTGTGCTCCATCCTAGCTCTTCCTCCTTCAATGCAAATTCTTTGGGTTCTTGACAAAACAACCGCGAATATATCGTCATCAAATCGGCAGTATTTGCCCTCATATACTCTCATCCCTTTGCTGATGGCGTGTGAGCTTGTCCAGTGGCACTGTGGAACTGGGAACTGGGCATGGACAAAGTAGGGGCACTGCTGGGAATTACTAACGAATGTGAGTGTAGACGATGCCGGCTTTACCTCACATGTGAGACTTGCACATGCAGTGTGCCACCTTCCACCTTTGGCATCTCCGGTCAAGGAATCCAAAGTGGAGTGCAGCCTCCTACCTGCACACCTGTGACATGTCAGGATTCACAACACCAGGCTCATGGGCTTGACAGAGTAGTTGACCTTTGAAGGAACCCTGAGCCATGTCATCTTCTGGTCTCTTACAGCTTGAACAGGAGAGGACACTGATTTGCATAAAACTTCCTCTGTAAAAGAGGACCTGTATCCACCCTACTTTATAGCTCCGGATCCCTAAATTCACTCATTCTACTCCTTATCCTGCATCTTGGAAGGAAGTGACTGCCACTGGTCCTTTTTGTACATGCACACTCGAGAAGAGAAGACTGAGGGGGGAAATGATAGCATGCTGCAAGTACCTGAAAGGCTGTGACAAAGAGGAAGGGCAGGATCCCTTCTCATCCATTCCAGAGCTCAGGACATGGAATAACAGACTTAAGTTAAACGAAATTAGATTCCAGCTAGATATCGGGAAAAAATTCCTGACTTTTAGAGCAGTATGGCAATGGTACCCATGACCAAGAGTGGCTGTAGGCTCTCCCACACTGGAGGCATTCAAGATGCAGCTGGACAGCCATCTGAGAGGGATGCTTTCACTAGGAGACCTGAGCAGGAGGTTGGAGCCGATGACGCTCTGGCCGCTTCCAGTTCTCCTAATCTGTGGTTCTATGATTCTGTGATATACACATTCACTTTAGCAGCCACCTCTGATGTTTTATAAGTTTTCTTAGACTCGACTCAGCTGGTCCCCCAGTTTCCCTTCTCTAAATCTTTTATTTTTATACAGGCCCTCATAGAAGCTGAGAAGGAGGGGGCCTTGTCCAAGTTGAATCAAATGGGCATATTCTTTGATGAAGCATATGGAATTGTGGCGACCCAGCTGACAGAGCTGAAGAACAAGATTGAGAAAACGCAGAAGGAAAATAAAACCATACTGAATGAAGAAATGTCCAATCTCAGTTACCTGATGAAGGAGATTGACGTAAAATGCCAGCAATCCCCCACTGAATTCCTGCAGGTGAGATGCAAACTCTTCTACATTCCTTGACAGGGTCGAACATATCCTGAATCCTGGATCTGAAGCAGAAGGATGTTCTTTGAGGGGATGAGGAGCAGTTGGCCGCCAGCAAAGCTAAAAGTAGATAAGTGTCAGTCCCTGTAAAGAGAACCTCCATAGTCACGTGTTGATCAACTGACTTCCCACCTTCTTCTTCTGTCTCCTCCAGTCGTGCCAAATGTAGGCAAATCTTTATAAGATGCCGCAGAAGCACAACATACACTGGCTCCCTCTTGCTCACTTGCTGAGACTAGGTTGTCGGTTGTCGGCTAGGGGGACATTCTGAGCTTGCCAATGACTACACATTACTGCACAAGATACTCAAGGAGGAGAGAAGATATGACCCCACCCCCTTCCAGAGTGCCATGGTCCCAAATCCAAATTGAGACAAGCAAGGGCCAAACTCATTTACTGTGGTGTAAGCACATGCAGCCCCTTCTTGGATCAGGACCCAGAGAACACCCCCCCACCCCGCACCATTTCCGTGCCAGAATTCCACACACAGTCCTGCTGATATTTTAAATTGCCTGCCCTTCTACAACTCTGTGCAGCATTTCAGCATGAGAATGGGAGAGCTTAAAACTCCTGGAGCGCCACAGTCTGGATTCAGATCTGGCCATGCGTGCTTCCATGGAAGTAAGGCTTGCTTTGGCCCTAAGAAGGGAAATGGTGCTTGTTTGGGGGGTGGGGGTGGGGGTGGGGGGGTCTGCATGAGGCATTTATTATGAACTTGTGATCCCTCACTCAGAACCTGGCAGGGCTTTCCCCTGATAAGGTTCGGCTTGATTTTCAGTTTGCAATTCTGCTCAGTGCCACAGCGCCACCTAGTGCTGGGTAATAGGACCTACGGGGACTTTTAAATAAACTGGGGTGGCATGCAGGGGTGGGACTTGCTGTGAAGGGTTTGCTAAACCTCCCGCAAAGAAGATGGAAGAAGCAGCCTTGCTAAAGTGCTGGATTACACCTCTCAGCAATTATGCCTAATCAGAAATTACAGGTGATATATCCCATCTAGTCGCCACAGATTGCTTTCCCAAGAGATTGAAATACGTCTATTCCCCAAATCTCCCTATGACACAGTGCATGGGTCAGTTAGCTTCTTTGGAAACCAATTTTGCAGCATGCCAGAGTCTCTCCAGAGTATGGAAAGAGCCCAGTTAATTTCAAAACAAGCTAAATGTGACCTGTGGAGTGCTCTAGCGCTAACATGACTATTTAAATGCCGTGTTTTTAAACATCTCTTTTGTTCTGATGCACTGTGGTGCCAAGTACATTGCAGGCCATGGTGTGCAGGCAGGGAGCAGAAGTGGACCCTGAATCCGCCACAGTCACCCACCCTGGTCTATGCACATTTGTGAATTATAAGGAAAATGTTACTATTAAAAAACCAAGCTAGCGTGACAAAGACCCTTGTGCTTCTGGGAGGTACTGAATACTAAAGGGTTAGAGAGAAGAAAATTGCAGGGTGAGAAAGAGGGAATTGGGCATCGGTTTGCTGACAGTTTACAGCACATCCTGGATTAGCTTTCAGGGGATATGTGCCCTGAAATTAAAATAATAATTAAAGAAAAAATAAATTAAAGAACTTGTAATGCCTCCTTTCCCCCATCCTGCACCCCAGATATCCTCCTCACAATTCCCAAGGTGTGGCTCAAATGCTTAACTCACAGTTGCCAGCCAGCTTGCCTGGAAGTACAGAGCTAACCTTTGAAAAGCACTGTGCACTCTTGTCTCAGATACTTGTAATCCTTACAAGGGCCCTGCAAGGTAGGTCCGTATTATTATTCCCCTCCCTGTTGCTGCCAGATGGCCAGACTGCAGCTGAGAGAGTGTGGCTTCCTGAGGAGACTGGGCCCTTTGACGACCAAAGCAAGATGGGAACTAGAGACTTCCTGGCTGGTCCATCTTTTGGCTCCAGCTGCTCACATCTGGAAGGGCTCTGAGAAAAGCAGGGTGGCAACAGTGTCCTTTGCTGCCGGGTGCAGTTTGGTGACCAGGCGAGGTCAGCTTGTGGGATGCTAGGCTCAGACCAATGAGGGCCTAGAGACGAGATGCAACCCTGAAGCAAATTTAATTTTAGTGTGCCAAGAAGACAGTGGAGACAAAAAAAATGGACACATGCCCCAAAGCAGTGTCTCATTTGCAGTACCCGAATCCAGGCATTATATGCCTATTTAAAGAATCAGATCACATTCTATTCCTCAATACACTCCACACCCCGCCCCCGCCCTGCTGCTTAATTCGAATAGTCCTTTCTTCTTTAAGGTCCAGCCCTCCCTCATCCCGAGCCTTCCTTATCTCCTTGCAGTACGCACCAGCCTTGTGCAGAGTCCCTCCCTAATCTAGCACAGCATTTTGTTGCTTTTATGAGAGCTCTAACTAGATTCTGCTGCCCCTCTGATTATGAAGTCAAGGTCAGGCTAGCTTGTTAGGTAGGGGCTGCACAAAGTTCATTTTGCTCTCAGACTCCCCCCTCCCAGCCAGGCAGGGAATTCAATATGGCTGTTGTGCTTTAACGGCAGTGTGGGCAAGAGAACGTGTTTGTGTGTGTGTGTGTGTGTGTGTGTGTGTGTGTGTGTTTGAGAGAGAGAGAATTTCTGCAACCCTTTCCCCGTTTTGCCTCCTTCAGGCTCCCTCAAACCAACCCAGAGCCTGCCCAGCACTAAAAGGCAACCTGGCTAGAGCCCTGAGAAGCAGGACAGTCAGGGATTGGGATACACTGCAAAGTGTTCTTTTCTAAACCCGGGGATCTGTTCCTCTCTTCTTCCTCTTTTTCAGAACATCAAAGGCACATTGAACAGGTATGTGGCTGTCCATCCCTTCCGTTTGCGTTTTGCTGGCTTTGGAAGAGATCACATTCCTCTCTCTTGCAGCAACCTCCCTTCTGGGTGGTTTGTGGTCGGGAGCCCAGCCGGGCCTTCATGCCTGCCTGGTTCCTCTCCTTGAATCCTCCCCCCCCCCCACCCCACACAACCTCTCAGCCTCAGGGCTGCATTCGCTTTTTAGAGAAGCTTTCCAGTGGTGGACCCAACAAGATTGGGCAGAGCCAGAGGCGAAGGGCACAAGACCCCAGATGCCAGCTCAGGGGCACCATCCTTTGGGGATGTCCCTGAGCCCCCAGACGTGGAGGCGAGCCCTAACCCGACCTTTACCATTTATCAAGCTGCGAATTGGCCCTGGAGTGCGCATTGTACTCAGCTCCCCTTAGGAGACAAGCGGGACCTGCCGCAAAATGATGCACCCCTGCCTGGGATGGCAGCTAGGCAGCCAGACCATTTCCCATGATGCTTCCTCCTTTCCCAGCCACTCCTGGAGGCCCTCCCTCTCCCCAGCCCACCCCTCAAATACATACTCAGCCCCTGTGGCCATTGCTGAGTCCTCCATGGGGTCCACCACTCTGTAGGGGATTTCTTTCCCAAAAGCTCTTCTCCCCCCCTGAAAACCGTGGGGTTCGCCCAAGTCGCTGGTGCTGTTTGGCTACATAAGCGCTGAGGGGTGAGTCTGTGCGATTGGTCTCAGCCTCTCTGACATCGCAGTGAGGCCACCAGTGGCCACCAGGTCAGTGCTTATGCCTCCGCCCCTTGGGCTCACTGTGACATCACAGCAAGCGAGTTGGTTGCCACAGAGGCCACTTGTGGCCCATCAGCGCTGAAGATGACTAATAATAATTTCCAGGTATGAGACGGTGCGAGTGAAGCGGCCCATTGATCCCTTTCCCGACCTCGAAAAGACGCTCAGGACTTACTCTCAGACAACCAGTGCCCTGGTCAAGAAACTGCTTGAGAGACAAACAGCAGCTCTGGACTCATTTAAAGGTATTGAGGAGTGTGATTAAGGGACACTCGGGAGCTATCAGGGCTTGAGTATTGATTGTGTTGGATTAGGTTGTCATGCTTCCTCTTTTTCCCAGAAAGAAGCCTCCCATCCACCTCTTTCATGCATGCAAGCATCTCACCTTGAGCCTGGTCCAGGTGAGAAAACAATTATGTAGGCAGCATTTTCTTTGAGGTCATCTGCCCTCTGTCGGTCTGTGAATGCGCCATTCTGCTAACCCCTTTTTAAAGGATCCCAGAGTTTTGACATTTAACTCCTCTTTCTTTTAAAAGCTAGAAAGGGGGCAGGGTGCACTTTGCACTTTCCCAAGCACTTGAGACAAAGTGCAGACTTTGTCTTGGGACAAAGTGCAGAATTTACAACTGGGTGGACACTTATGTGGAGGGGAGGCGGAAGCTGCAAAGGGACTGTAATCCACCTTCAGGGCAGATAAACACACTTTCGGTTTCTCTTTACAGCTTGCCTTCCGTCAGCTGTTAATTAAAAATGGGAGAAATGTATCTGGAGCATCTTCTGCCCCCTGGTATCAGGCATCTCCCTGAATATCGCCCAAGCAGAGGCTCCAAATCCCTGCAGGGTGTAACTCCAAAAGTTCACAATTGTACAACTTGGCAATAAACAAACTAGGGAAAGCGTGGGGGATTTTTTTGGGCAGATTTTTAAAAAACCTGCTCTGAGCAACTATAGATGGCACCTCCAACATGCCGCTCTGGCACCTCAACGTCTCCGTATTAAGCTATTAAACCATTTTGGTTGTCTCGTTAGTCTCAAGTATATGCAGCTCCTCACAACATAGATGAGTCAAATACAGAAACATTGCTTCTTCTTGGTTCCATTCCGTTCTCCGGTTGGGCTTTTCTTCCATTTCTTTGCTTTCATCTCTAATGAGGAGCCCTGACTTAAACGGGGGACAGAGAGAGATGCTGACAGGGTGAGACTGAACAGGCGAACCTACATCCAGATTTAAAGTGAATCGAGTGCACAGCAGGGAGCAGACTCCCCCCCAACCCCCTCGTCCCTATGGTAGCCCCTCCAAAGAGTGACCAGAATGGAAGGAGCTGCTACGTGGGGAAAGGGGTGGTTCGTCCGAGGGTAGCCAGAATAGGTGATGGACCTTCCAGGAGCAGAGCCCCTGCTCTCAGGAAATACCAGTGTGACTCACTCCCAGCTAAGCATCAACAGACCATTCTATATCATCCAAATGTCAATACTGACCTAGATGCAGGTGACATGACATGTCTTATTATATTCATAACCCCCTTTTTCCCCCGCAAGGAACTCAAGGCAGTTTACATGGTCCTTCTCCAGCTTATTGTACTGGTCAGAATCTTGAAGTGGAACTTAGAAGATCCAGGTTTGAATCGAGACTTGCCCCTAATGCTCCCGGGGGACTTCAGGCTAGTAGCTGACCCTCAGCCCAAACTACCTGACATAGTTGTCAGGAGGTTAAAACGGAAGAGGACTGTGCCAGCTGGCCTGGGTTTCTCACAAGAGGGGAAAAAGGCAGGCTATAAATGTAATAGCATGATAACCCCGTGTGATGGGTTGGGCTGAGAGTAAGCATTGCCCAATGAGCTTCGTGGCTGAGTAGGCACTAGAGGCCAGATGTCCGAGTCCCGGTCCAGCTGCATCACACTGAAAGGGAAAGGTTTTAGAACTGCTGACTTGGAAGACAAAGACAAGGAATGACACAGACGGATCCAGGGAAGTCAGGTCTACCGATGCTGCGATGGCTTCAGACTTGGTGGAACCTTTCCATGGGCAGAGTCAGGAGAGAAAGGAGCTTCAGCCCTCATCTCTGGCCATGCCAGAGCCTACCCTTCCTCAGCTTAGTGCCCTCCAGATGTATTAGACTATAACTCACAGCACTGTACTGATGGTGGGAGCTGTAGTCCCGTCCATTTGGAGGGAACCAGGCTGGGGAAGGCTGTGCATATGTCCAGCCATGATAGGATGCATAATACTGGGATTTCGACCTGATGTGGTAACACTCTCCTTGCATTTTTAACATGAAATAACACATTGTCTCACATGTGATCTTAAATTTAACAGTATCTTTCTCTCTCCTCACCACCCCCCCGTTTATAACAGAAATGCTGGGACAAGCATTGAACAAAGGTAAGTTTTTAGGACAAGAGAAGAGAAAACTTTCATCAACATGCATTGTTTACACGGTCGCTTACTACTTCCACTTGGTCTTTTCCAGAGTAACCTAAGTCCCAGAAAGGTTTAAGGTTTAAACCTTAAGTTTAAATAGTTTGCCACATGGAGGTGGGTAGAGACCTGTTCTTCCCTGCAGAGGAGGGCAAGATGCGTTCCAACAGAGCAAAGCTCAGGGAACCCAGGTTCCATTTGGATGCCAGGAAGCACTTCCTGACAGTCAGGACCCCAAGGGTGTGGAATGGGCTTCCACGGGAGGTGGTTGAGGCCCCATCGGTGAGGGTGTTCAAGGATAGGCTGGACATGCACACGGTGGGCATGTCGTGAGTGGAACCGGCTGGAGCCTGGGGTCAGGCTAGATGGCCTGGGAGGCCCATTCTGACTCACTCTCTTTCTGTGTTTCTACTTTAAACCCAGTTTCAGGAGATGGGAGAGGCAAGGGCAACAGGGTTATCCACAAATGCATTTCTACCACTTTGATTTTGTCTGGACTGGGACAAAGGACAGATGTGATGGGGATGAAATGAGTGACTGCATTCATTCATTCATTCATTATTCTAATTTAAGCTTTGAAGTGCTAATAGAACTAAGCGCAATAGACACAGGTTTAACTATGGCAGGAGGGTCTTATTGGAACAATGAATCAGACAATTTGGCATCTCACTTAAGGTACAATCCAATGGAAGTTAACAGAGGGAGAAGGCTTACAAATGCCAGACAACTGGCTGGGTCGTGCTGAGAGTTGTAACCCCCTTTCACTCTAAACTTGCATAGGATTGCATCCTTAATATAGTATAGTGTCTATTGTGTGAAATGGAACTTAAATGGCTTCCTCATCTCTGACTACTGGCTCAAGTTCCTCAGCTGAGAAGCGCCGCAGCCGCAACACAAGTGCACCACACTGAGAGGGACTGAACCAGGGACTCTGTCCAGGCAGATTATCTGTTCTTCTCCTCCTGGTGTAGCTTCTAGCCTCTTTCCACTGAAATTTGGCTAAATCCTGGAGGAACACTGTTCCAGGATTACTCACATAGGTAGTTGCCCTCTTGGCAAAAATGACAATAAGACTGCAGGCTTTTAAACCACTGCAACAGCCTCAGCAGAGATGGGGTGCATGGAAAAATAGGGGAGCAGAGCAGGCATGGAAGAGGAATTTAACCTTCCCACTTTTTAATGTGGTGTTTGGGAAGGTTGCTTTTTTGAAGTGGGTATGTGCTTTGGAAGGAAATCCCCACTGGCTCCTTCTGCTACTTGGATTTTTGTAGGCCAGATTTGGGAACACTTTTAATGCCACATTGAGGTGGGCACTTACTGAGCCTGCTTCTGTCTGCAGCCCCATCGCCATGTCTTTAACCCTCCTCTTCCTTCCCTTTCCCTGCAGTAAATGTGACTCTGGATTGTGACACCGCAAATCCCTACCTTGTCTTGTCCAAGGACCTAAAGACCATGTCCTGGGGCGACAAGAGGCAGAGGCTGCCCTCCAATCCAGGGAGATTCGACTTTGTCCCCTGTGTGTTGGGGCAGGAGGGGTTTTCCTCTGGACAGCATTGGTGGGAAGTGGAGGTGGAGCAGCTGAAAGAGGCGGACAGAGGAAGCTGGGCTTTAGGGGTGGCCACTGAAGATGTGAAGAGGAAGGGCTTAAACGACCTCAGCCCAAATGAGGGGATATGGGCTGTGGGGAACTCGGTCCGCGCTGGTCCGCTGGCTTTTACTTCCCTTAAGCGAACGGCTTTGCGCCTGAGTTCTCTGCCCAAAAAGATCCGGGTTTTTCTCGACTACGAAGGAAAGCAAGTGAAATTTACCAGTGTGGACACTGACGGCATGATCTTTGTTTTCCATTCAGTCGCATTCCACAGAAAGAGGCTCCGGCCCTTTTTCTGGATGGCAAGGGGGTTCAGAATGACTTGTTGAATCTTGAGGGGAATCTGCAAGTCTTTGGCATACAGCGGAAGCATGACAAGGAGCAGCCCTCCTTCCGCTTTGACTGGCCTGAGGCCAGTCACTAGAGCAGCTCTTCGGGAGAGGGAGAGTTGATGGGAGGAGGAGGAAGCAAGCACACGTTTGGAGGGAGCAATTGCACACCGCCTGAAGAGAGATCCTTAAGCAGGAGTTGCTTTTGGGGGGAGACAGTCTTTAACCACTTTCCTTAATTTGCTGCCAACAGGCTGTATGGGATTGAATCCAGCACTGATTGTATGTAGAACAAACCTAGTGCAATCAATGATACCATCATAATTAAAATTTCTTAAATGCTTACCTGCACCATGCTAAAATAACCAGGTATTCTGTGTTTCATTTTTCCTCTTACTTGTGGCTAGTATCTTTGAAATGGTTATTACTATGGATGTCATTGTCTCTGTGTTTTATGCTGCAAACCTTTCTGAGAGCATTTGTTATAGAACTTAAAACACCAGCACTCTGTACAATGAAAACATCAGTGACAAGCACAGAAAATTAAAACGCAACTGATGCATCAAACAGCTGGTCATATACGATCAAATGCCGGCAAGTTGAGAAATGTTAATGTGGTGTGGAAAGGATGACAATGAGAATACCAAATGGGCCGGTCCCTTGTCACCTGAGCCTCCCTTGAAGGCAACATCCAGACAATAAGCTGAGATATCATGAGGTGCTCCATTAGGTATTACACTCTCAAGTTGTCATGATTAACTCGCCTCACTGATTTCCAGGGGTCTAACAGAAGCCACATGAATGACTAAGGAGCCAACGGTCTTAGTTTTATTCATTTGCTGTCACAAATGTCAAGTTTTTTTTAAATGGTGAACATATGCTTCACTCTTGGCAGTATCTTAGCTTTATTCTGGGCTGATTTTACTTTCTCATTAATGTTTACAGGGGATTGTTTTAAATGTATTGCACACCAGCTGGAGAACCTTGATTACTGGGTGGTTTAGAATATATGAAGTCAGTATATAAAATAAATATAACCTTCAGAGGGAAGACAGGTATGGTACTTTGTGGTCAGAGAGCATCTTTCATCAGCTAAGTCTGGGTCATCCTTTGATCCTGTGGATGACTGATGGAAGTGCTTGGTGCAGAGAGAGAGAGAGAGAGAGAGAGAGGGCATGTGTGCTTAGCAATCACATATAAAAGACAACAAGTCAGAAAAATATAACAATACAAGAAGCTTACACATTCAAGCCTAGTGCTATTCAGATTGAAATAGGGAAATGTGAAAGAGATTGACTTGATTTTGATTTCCAACAAAAATGATCCAGGGTTTGGAAACACTGCCCAATGAGGAGAGACTGAGAGAGCTGGACATGTTCAGCCTTGAGAAGACTGAGGGGGGACATGATATCCCTCTATAAGTACCCCAAAGGCTGCCACAAAGAGGAAGGTCAAGATCGCTTCTTGCTGATGCCAGAGTGCAAGACACAGAATAATTAATTCAAGCTGTTACCACCCAGATGCAGGCTGGACATCAGGAAAAGCTTCCTCACTGTCAGAGCAATAGGACAGTGGGACCAGCTGCTTAGAGAGGTGGTGGGCTCTCCCACACTAGAGACATTCAAGAAGAAACTGGGCAGCAATCTGGGTAGGACAGTATAACTTGGTATCCTGCAACAGCAGGGGTTGGACCGATGGTCTTCATGGCCCTTTCCAACTCTTCTAGGATTCTGTGAGTTAATACCTCAAAAACGATCCTTTTGAGCTCCAGAGGATTTCACAGAGCAGTCAATGAGAAAAGGATTTCCTTGCAACATTATAATACAGGTATCCCTTGATTAATGCTGTTAATTGATCACACAATATTGCCTCATATATCAAATCCATGTTAAATCTAATAATTTACAAATTACAATTCATACATAATCCATTACGGTATTAATTCATCATGTGGTCCTCTTTTAAGAAAGACAAAATATGATCGGGAAGTAAATGTTTTATTAAATGTACTTACATTCATTATTGTAATTATTACTACTTTTTGTTGGAAAAGCTATCAAGAGTCATGTGATGAGTAGTTTTCTGTTTATCAGCATAAATTCTGTGATAACAAGGAAAATGAGTTTGCAATACAAACACCACTGAAGGCAGCCTTGCAGCCTTGAGATCACAGTTGAGGGGAGGAAAGACACTGTTATGCAAATTTTAAAAAGCATGTTAATTAAAACTCTGCTGCACATATCAAGGGATTGTCACAATTAATTTTACCATGTTAATCAAAACCCACATTAATCAAAACCGCGTTAAGCAAGGGATACCTGTACTTAGCAAATTGGATTAGTGAAATATTATGTATGGCATTTGAATGGGGGTTGAATGGGACACAAACTTTTCCTGATGTGTAAGCTCTGAGGCAGATTTCCTTCATGAGAGGGAGAGGATCTTGCATCTGAGCAGCTTCTACAGCTTTCCAAGACAGGACTCAGGTACAGTGTTGAAGACCACAACAAAAAATACGCAAGATTGTTTTTTTTCCATATAACATTTATTTAGATTTTCCTAACAATATGTAGCAATACCAATTAGACTGGAGAGAGAAATAGCCAACAGCAAGCCTAACCAAGGCAATTTAGAAGCAAGAGAAGGGATTGTGGCAAAGGATTTGCCTGGAATAACACTGGAACAAAAGCAAAGATTGCAACGACTCCACCAATTCTTTTGGCAATACTGCTGACAGCTTGCAAACAGCCGAAAAAGTACTGGAAATTCCAGCTTTGGATAGATTCTTCTGTGCCCCTCTCTAAAGCACTGCAGCTGAAAAGGCTTCTCTACACAAGACATTGATGATGCACTCATAATCTCACTCTCAGAAAAGTTTGAGTTTGTGCACCATCTCCCTCCTCCCAGGGCTCCCATATTTGCCAAACATTTCACCCTGGACAAAACCTGGGTGAAATGCCTCATGTAGAGAAGTCCAACATAAGGTGAGCAAGCCATGATAAATTCATTCACCGACTGGCCAATAGACCCGCCACTCACAGCACTGCACCCTCCTCCTCTCCGCTTGGGATGTAGCGTGTTACAGAAGAAGAAGAGGAGAACGAAGAAGACGAAAGCGGGAGATAGTCCATTTTGGAAACCCAAGGAAGGCTCCAAGTCCAGGAGTCCTGAACCACATCAAATCTGAGGTGCTCAGTATTTTAAGGCCGTCTGTTTCTGAGGAGAGAATCCTCATGCCTGGACAGAGGCAAATGTATTGCCCTATTTGAAAACAGGACAACTAAGGCTACAGTAAACAATTTTCAGGAAAGGTTAGGAGCTTTATAAGCACTATGCAATAAATAATTTTGAACAGGGAAGACTTAATGATTAGAAACTGCAGAAAAACTTTATAAAGCCCTCAACTGCATTCCAATTCCAATTCCTTGGGCATTCTGTTAAGTGTCTCCTTTGCAAAGGCCAGATGGGCTTGTGGTGGACCAGCTCTGTCATCCCCCAAATTCTGTCTCGCCTTCTAATCCCAGGAATGAGAACCTGCACTCTACTTTGGGGCTGCCTATGAAGTTTAAGACCTGGAGCTAACTGCAGCACAGATCATGAGCTTTTTGTTGCAAAATTCCGGCTTAAATTGAAGAAAGGAAAAGCACTAGGCCTCTCAGGAATGACCTAAATCATATCCCTGATGAATATACAGTAGAGGTGACAAATAGATTTAAGGAATTAGATCTGATAGACAGAGTGCCTGAAGAACTATGGACAGAGGTTCGCAACATTGTACAGGAGGCATGAACTAAAACCATCCCAAAGAAAAAGAAATGCAAGAAAGCAAAATGGCTGTCTGAGGAGGCTTTACAAACAGCTGAGGAAAGAAGGGAAGTGAACGGCAAGGGAAAAAGAGAAAGATACACCCAATTGAATGCAAATTCCAGAGAACAGCTAGAAGAGATAAGAATGCCTTCTTAAATGAACAGTGCAAAGAAATAGAGAAAAAACAGCAGAATGGGAAAGACTAGGGATCTCTACAAGAAAATTGGAGATATGAAGGGAACATTTCATGCAAAGATGGGCATGATAAAGGACCAAAATGGCAGGGACCTAACAGAGGCAGAAGAGATTAAGAAGAGGTGGCAAGATCACACAGAAGAACTATACAAGAAAGAGCTTAACGTTCCTGAAAACCAGGACAGGGCGGTCACTGACTTCAAGCCAGCCATGCTGGAATGTGAGGTCAAATGGGCCCTAGGAAGTCTCAGCATCAACAAAGCTAGAGGAGAGATGGTATTCCAGCTGAGCTATTCAAAATCCTAAAAGACAATGCAGTTAAAGTGCTACACTAAATATGCCAGCAAATTTGCAAAACTCAACAGTGTCCACAGGATCGGAAAATCCCAAATGAGGGCAATGCCAAAGAATGTTCAAACTACCATACAATTGCACTCATTTCACAGACTAGCAAAGTTATGCTCAAAATCCTACAAGCTAGGTTCCAGCAGTATGCAGACCAAGAACTACCAAAAGTACAAGCTGGGTTTCACAGAAGCTGAGAACTAGGGATCAAATTACCAACATACACTGGATCATGGAGAAATCTAAGGAGTTCCAGAAAAATATCTAGTTTTGCTTCATTGACTATGCTAAAGCCTTTGCTTCTGTGGATCACAACAAATTGTGGCAAGTTCTTAAGGAGATGGGATTACCAGACCATCTTATTTGCTTCTTGAGAAACCTGTATGTGGGTTAAGAAGCAACAGTGAGAACTAGACATGGAACAACTGATTGGTTCAAAACTGGGAAAGCAATACGGCAGGCTGTATATTGGCACCCTGCCTATTTAACTTATATGCAGAGTACATAATGCAAAAGGCCAGGCTTGATGAATTGCAAGCTGGAATTAAGACTGCCAGGAGAAATATCAACAACCTCAGATATGCAGATGATACCACTCGAATGGCAAAAAGTGAAGAGGAACTAAAGAGCCTCTTGATGCGGATGAGAGAGGAGAGTGCAAACATTGGCTTGAAACTCAACATTAAGAAAACTAAGATCATGGCATCCGGTCCTCTCATTTCCTGGCAAATAGATGGGGAAGAAATGGAGGTAATGACAGATTTTATTTTCTTGGGCTCCAAGATCACCACAGATGGGTACTGCAGCCAAGAAATAAAAAAATGCTTTCTCCTTGGGAGGAAAGTGATGGCAAATCTAGACAGAATACTAAAAAGCAGACAAGAGTTTGTATAATCAAAGCTATGGTTTTCCCAGTTGTAAATGTATGGCTGTGAGAGCTGGAGCAGAAGGAGGGCTGAATACTGAAGAATTGATGCTTTTGAATTGTGGTGTTGAAGAAGACTCCTGAGAGTCCCTTGGACCGCAAAGAGATTCAATCCTAATGGAGATCAACCCTGACTGTTCTTTAGAAGGCCAGATACCGAAGTTGAAGCTCAACTACTCTGGCCACCTGATGAGAGGGAGGAACTCCTTGCAGAAGACCCTGATGCTGGGAACGATTGACGGCAAAAGGAGAAGGGGCAGCAGAGGCTGAGATGGCTGGATGGGATCACTGGAGAGGTGGGTGTTGGCTTGGGTGGACTCCGCAGGATGGCGGACAGGAGAACCTGCAGGAATGTTGTCCATGGGGTCACAAAGAGTTGGACACGACTTTGCAACTGAACAACAATGAAGGTTAAATCCAGTTCAGAGCATTCCCTGTTCTGTTCTGGGGCATCAGCAGGGCTTTCCTCAGAAAGCCGGACTGGCAAAAACATCCAGGATTTTTCATACAAACAAACCAGTCCACAGGTGACTGAGTGGAAAGGGACAGAGGGAGACACTACAGGTATCTTTAAAATGACGAGGAGAAAGTAGACAGTATAATGTTTTTCTCCTTCATAACGCAGAACTCAGTCTTTCAGTGAATTTGATTGACATCCCATTCACTGTGGTGCAGGGGTGAGGGTGCTGGAGAGGGGCTGGAGAGGTCCAGGGTCCAGGTCTGCACTCGGCCATCAAACTCACGGGTGACTTTGGAAAAGCCACCCAGTCACCTAAAGACCCTCAGTTTAACCTCCTCCACTGGGTTCCTGTGACAATAACAGAAAAGGAGGATTCTATAAGATGCCTTGGGTTCCTTACAGGAAAAAAGCAGGATGTAAGTAAACAACCCAGGACAGGCTGAAAAAGGACTTCTTTGGACAACTCATAATTCATATTAGAGGGTCAGCAGGGTGTAGTGGTTCAGAGTGTGAGCCTGCGACTCAGGCAATCTGGGTTCCAGTCCCACCTGGGCATGGAGCCAACTGGGCAACTCTCAGGCCAGCCTCCCCCAGGGGGTGGTTGTTGTGGGGCTAAGACTGAGAACAGCAGAATGATGCAAGTCACTTTGGGTTCTAAAAAAAGGAGGGGAACGGGGGTGGGGGGGTACAAAGCTATCAAATAAACCCATTTAATGAGTCCTTTTGCAGAGAATGAGGCTTTTAATGGCTACTGGTCATGATGGCTACCTGCCGGTTCTGAATGGCAGTTGCTCAGAAGCAACACGGCAAGGGGGCTAGTGCCTTCCTCTCCTTAGCCGTGCGCATCCCAAATAACAGCCACTGTGAGGAGCAGGGTGCAAGATGAGAGGGTCGCTGGATCTGCTCATAAGGACTCCTTTGGGCTGTGGCACTGTGAGGTGAGGAGGATGCGGGGAAGCCAAGCGATCCAGCACACAAAAGCTTCTCTCTGGTCCAACAGAAACAAGCTTGTCCCGAACCTCTGTCAGATCCCTCTGAGGCAGCCGCATCTCCCCCGCACTGACCTCACCACACAGAGGCCCCGAATATGAACAGGTCAAGGCGCTCCGACCAGATTCTCTTGCTGAGCTCCTCATACTCCACCTTGTGGATGTCTGAGCAAGCCTGCAACGTAAGGTAGCGCAGCTGATTCTCTGAAGACAACAGCTGGTGGATGGTGTGAACGGACAGCTTGTTGTTCATCAGGGAAAGCTCCTGGAGCTGCACCAGGGCCGTGTTGGGAGGCTCCAGCACCTCCGCAAACACTTCATCCAGGGAGAACGGCAAGCCGAAGAGCCTCAGTCTTTCCAGGCCTGGGGACTGCTTGAGCAGGGCCACGAGGGTTCTCCTCAGCACCTCTGCATGCTGTGCAGGCAGGGGGTGCCCTGTGTCGTAGTAGCACAGGTCAAGGTCGCAGAGGGGCGGGAATTTGCTGGCAGCCAGCTGGAAGTCCCAGCCCAAGGCCTCAGCATCCGGCTCCCTGCTACAGTCACACCTCAGTGGAGGGAAGAGGGAAGTGCTCATCTTCTGGAGGTTGGGGCAGTGGCTCAGCAGGAGCGGGAACGCCAGCTCGTCCTCTAAGGAGAAGACGCTGAATGAGAGGGATTCAAGCTGGGTCCCCAGGCACTTCAGCACAGGCAGGAGCTGCCTCAGGTCCCTGGCCCCCTTGCAGCAGACGTTCAGCTGGGTGACATGGCGCCATGACAGCAAGATTTGGGCCCAGCTGGGGCCATCCCGTATTAACACCGTCACGACCTCCAGGTCTGGGCACACGGCACTGACGCCACGCAGGTAGGGCTCGGTGATCTCCCGTATCTCCTTAAGGGGCAGTGTGAGATGGGACCTCCTCCCGTTGGTGTGGGTGGACAGCCTGTTCTGCACCAGCTTATCCAGAGAAGGAAACCCCGGGGCGATCTGGGCGCTGGCAAAGTTCTGCAGGTGGACCATACACAGGGCCTCTGCCAGGTTCTCCTGGAAAAATACCTTCAGGCTGGGCAGTGCGAGCAACACAAAGGCCAGCGCTGAAACCAGCTCTTTTCTGGTCATGCCAGGCCCCAGATAAAGAGCCGTGAGTTTCTCCAGTGCCGGGCAGAGGAAGGAGTGCCCTTGGAGGTCATAGGCCAGATGAAGGAGGGCACTGGGAGGCAGCCTCTTGCAGCAGGAGATGTTCAGTTCCCGGATCTGCTGGCAGCAGGCGCCCACGGCTGCCAAGACATGTATGTCACACTGGGTGTTCGAGAGGTCCAGTTTCAAGAGACGCGGCAACCCTTTCACCAGGTCGAGCAGGATGTCTGGAGAGACCAGGCTGCAGTTGCGGAGAGTGAGCGTGGACAGATTCTGCCTCAGGAGACAGGAGGAGAGTCAGCGAGGAAGTGGAAGGCTTACTACACAAAGGGAGAACTCGGGGCCCGCCGGGGGCCACAGCTGTCCCACCAGCTACTCCCAGTCCTCGCCCCCCTCTCCCCAGGCCCTGCCCCCAGCCAGCCCTCCGTTCCAAAGTTTTCAATCACTCAGCAGCTGTTGATCAAGGACGAGGGAGTGTCCTAACTGAAAGGGGCCTTGTGAAGACTGTAGATACTTTTGAGGGCTTTGAAAGCCTCTGCTGGCGCCAAGAGGGGGGAAGAACCAAGCCCGCTGTCCACAGTGCTGCTACAGCCTTCAAAAGCCCCCCCTCTCCCTGCAGGCCACTGCAGCAGAGGCGCATTTTCAGGCCTGGGAAACACGGGCGCATGTGGGATGGGGAGAGACGGCGAGCATTGGCAGCTCCAGGCTGAAGGCCCTTCCAGGGGACACACTCGGCCGGCCCCTTCCTCAAAGCATCAACCTTTTCACCCCTGTGGCCACCAGCGACTCCTGCACCTCCTCCTCGTTTTCATCAGGATGGCTGCTTCCTTGCCAGAGAGGCAGGGAGTTTGGAGGCTGCGGCATCTGCCCTCCTCCTCCTCCTCACCACCACCGCAGTTGTCTGGAGCAGAGCGAGGGGCAGGGGAACATGCAGGCTGCAATGGGGAGAAGGAGCAGCAATTCCAGTCTTCAGTGGGGGGAGGCCCTTGGCAGATTGCTAACCTGATTGTAGAAATGGGATCTGGGCCATCCCATCGAGGGCTACCCAAGATCCTACACTTCATATTCTTCTCAAACACAGCATGAGGAAATAAAGAGAAGGACCAAGAGAGAGAAATATGTGTGGGGGGAATGAGTGAGGATCTAGGGTCAGCCTGGGTCTGGGGGTGTTGGGTTGCTCCCAGCCTTGCCCTGCTCAGCTCTAGCCCCCCCCCCCCCATGGCCTGCTCCTTCCGGGGGTGGGCCCTCAAACGCCTGCTCTAGCCCCTCTTGCCCACTGCCTTCTCCAACTTGCTTACAAGCTACTGACTAGCAGTAAGTCCCCATTTCTGCAGAACTCCCTGTGGGTCTGGAGTGCTCCCCCCGGCACCCAGTTGCCCTCTTTGCTGTTAGCAAGCATTTAGGTCCAGCTTCCTACTGTGGCAGATCAGACAGAAGCAAAGGGCTGGAAGCACTGCCCTCTCATTCAGAGCGCTTTGGGTGGAAAACGCAGCAGCAAAGCCCAGCGCTCACAGCCAGGTGATGGACAGTGGCAGAGTCAGGCCAAGACGCTGGGGCAGATGCTCGAAGCCCCTCTCAGCAGTGTCCCCAAAGAGGGCAGGCAGGGGTCCTCACCTTAAAGGCGGGGCCTCCCAGTTCACGGGCACACGCTTACCGTGCAGCGCCCTGTGACGATCGCAGCAACATCCTTGCTGACCAGCTCCGGGCAGCTGTCCAGGTCCAGCTCCACCAGCTGTGGCACAAGCAGCCAGCACAGCACGGGGTAGGCCAGGCGGTTCCTCTTCCGAAGCAGCTGGAGCAGCTCCTGGACGACGGAGCCGGCTGGGCGGAGAGAAAAGCCCTGGATGATCACGCAGAGCTTGGCACAGGGTGAGCCTTGCAAGCCCCGGCCCTGAAGTGCGGTGGCCAAGAAACAGCTCGGGGAGACGGGGAGCTACATTTGCAGGGCGTCCATTCAGCTTCTGGGAGTTAGACTTGCCATTTCCTCCAAGGAACTCAAGTCTGTATCCACGGTTCCTTTTACCCTCACAACCACCCCATGAGGCAGGTCAGCTGCGACCAGACGCCTGGCCCGTGGTCACTCCAGCGGGCTGAGGGGAGGGCCTGCCTTTGAGCCTGGCTTAGCCCAACACTCTGATGCAGGCCTCCCCAGCCAGGTGCAAAGCAGGCACTTTAGTCCATGCCCCCACCAGCATTCCTGACCATCAGCCATGCTGGCTAGGGCTGATGGGAATGGTAGTCCAACACAACTGGCACGGAATGAGGTTGTAGAGTACAGCTGAGCTTGGCTGATTAGAGGTTAACCACGGGCTGCCCGTGGGCAGCAGGGGTGTGGGATGGAGGGCCCCGCGGAGATTCAGGGTTCCAGTCTTTTGGGTCTGCCCCCCAACCCCCTGCGTTCCTCAACAACTGGTATATGGAGCTAGACTACCTCCAGCACTGGGAAGCCGGGAACCACCAATAGCCTTTCCCACCACAGCTTTGTCCTTTTCCCACCCTGAGAAGTCAGCTATGCCGAAAGGCTATCGCGTTGCGTGGCTGCAAACTCCTTGGCGGTGCTCCTCCAGCAGCCTTCCCCCCAGCTGCCACTTACCCAGCTCACGGAAGGGCCCCTCCATGGAGCAGGTGTGGTAGCGCTGCATATCACTCTTGGTGTAGATCTTGGTGCTGAAGTGCTGCATGATCGCAGCCAGCTTCTCCAGGCAAAGGCCCTTCAGCGAGGAAGCCGTCTTTCTCTTCGGCATGGTGCTGCTGGAGGAAGAGGAGGAAGAGAAAAGCAGGAGAAGAGCGCTGCAGATCGAGCCAACCACGTTTCCTTTCCTACGGCCACGCTAGAAGAGTTTAACCAAAGCCAGGGAGGCAGCTCGAGCCTTCCCCCTGGGAATTGGAGCCCTGGCAGCGTTCAAGAGGATCTGCTGGAAGCTTTCCCTAGTGCTTTGGAGCAAGGCACCTAATATGTCCGTGCTCGGTATCTCCCTTGATCAAGAAGCCCACGAGGAAAGCTGAGCCATCGCACCAGGCGATGCTCCCGAGGACCAGGCTGTGGTTCTGAGCTCCCAGCCAGCCCCACAGGGGCTGAGGGTTGCTTTGCAGGTGCATCCGCCACAGGCGCTGCGCTCCGGAGAGCAGGAAAGCGGGGGGAGTGAGAGGGGGCTTAGCGGCACCCCATGATGCTGCTCGGTCTATAATATAGAGGGCTGTGAGGCCCTCTCCTTTGGCCTCACAGCCCCGGGGAAAGGGGGCTCCAGCGTCCGCCAGCAGGCAAGCCCCCCCCCCCCCCCCCGTGCAGGCGCGCGCGCCCCTCTTTGCCCCCCGCAGGCCGGCAGGAGGCCCCCGCCTCCGCATCTCCTGCCTCCACCTGTCGCCATGGAGGCGCGCTCACGCAGGCGGCTGAGGCAGCGGGCCGGAGCAGTCCGGGCTGGCGCTGGCCGGGGAGGCGAGGGATCGCCGCGCCCAGGAGCGCACCGCTCTTGCGCGGGAGCCCCGCTGCTGCCGGGCCCCCTCGCCGCGCCGCCGCCTCTCGCTCGCTCGCTCGCTCGCTCGCGCGCACACGCACCTTCGCAGACCCGGCGCGCGAGCGGAACGAGGGGGAGGCCGGTCCCTTCTCTCCTCGGCACGAGCGGCGCCGGCCTGCCCGTCCGCGGCTCGCCGTCTGACTAGCAGGGTCGCTTCCCAGCGAGGCCTTCAGGCGCGCTCCCGCCCGCCCCCTGCTGGCCAGAGCGGCGATTTGGACGTGCGAGAGAAGCCCTCGCAGCCGCCCGCCCGCGCCCGGGGGCCGCTTCCTTCTGACCTAATCCTCTAGAATTAAAGGCCCAGTTCAGCTATTGCGCAGCACCGAAATGAGGCTCCTGCTCTCTTATGTCTTCCAAGCTGCCCCAAAAGGCACGATCTGTGGTTGCCCCCAGCTCACAAATGGAACACTGATCTGAGTCAAAACCACCTACTGAAAACGAACTTTACTGGGCACAAGGTGTGAAGGTGCCTTCCCTCAATCACCTTGATTTTGGCACCTTTGGAAGGACCTTCATCAGGGTCTTTGCTGTCCAGCAGTGGTCATCTTTGGAGCAGGCAGAGACATAACACAGAGGTTCATGATGGCAGCCTGCTGGGGGAAGGGGCAGCATAAGAACAGTGCTGTTGATCGGGCTGAAGACCCACCTTGTCCAACACGGGCTGAGTTTGCACAACCCACCAGCTGTGGTTCTCCAGCCAGTGGAAGGCGTAAGAGACTCAACCCAACCCCCGTTCGCCCACCCCTCGCCTCTGCTATACAGGCGACCGAGCCTCTTCAGCCAGGAGATGCAGAGCTGGGAGCAGCCACCTGAAGACAGCCTAACCAGACATGCCTCTGAGGATGGTGGGACTAACACCACGGGGAAATACAATAGAAGTGCATCCTTTTGTCCGCCATAGATCTCCCATCGTCCAACTTCACGGCATGGCCCTGGGCTGCAGTACTATGAGAGAACGCTCACCACCAAGTCCACTTCCCCTCACCATGCATATCTTTCTCCACCTCCATCATGTCTAACATCTAGACTTTCTCACAGAGCAGGTACGGAGTTTGGCTGGTGACAGAGTGAGGGAACCTGGTGGGGATGGTGGCGAGAAATTGCTGATGCAATGCATTTTCCCAGGGTCCACCAGAGGAAGCCTTTATTGAGCAAGAGTCCTTCTCTTCCACTCAGAAATTTACAACTACAGCCCTGAAATTCCTTTCATTTTTGGGGTGCTTAGCCAGTGTTAGGGTGTGGCCTACTAGGGCTGGAGTTTTGTATTTAATGGTAATTTATTATGTGCTATTGTATTTCAATGTATTTTATTGTGTTGTAAGCCACCCCGAGGCTTCGGCAAGGGGCGGCATAGAAATGTTATAATCATCATCATCATCATCATCATCATCATCATCATCATCTTTCATCTGGAAGCCCAGCTCTCTGGGAGGTCCTCTGCCCCTGGGCATAAAAGCAAGGCCACCGGATGATTGCTATTGCACCTGATCCCCTTGGATTAGCAGACTTTTTGCCAACATGTGCTCCTCCTCTCCCACGTCTATACTTTGTTTTAAACAAACAGGAGTGTCTTAGGAAACAGGACCCTTTAAAGGCCCACACAGAGATCCTTTAGTGCATAGGCAAACTAGCACATGCACATCTGCATGTTTTGTTTTATTTTGTTTTGGTCCTTTGAGCCTGAGCCCTCGGTCTTTTCAACATCTAGCACTGCCTCTTGTACTACCAGTCAGAAAATATTGTTCAACTATATTCATTCTTCCTCAACACATTTCCTGCATAATAAATGGAGATGGAGGAAGAAGTGGAAACACAGGTGAAGGCTAAGTGAGGAAGAGCATGACGACCAGAAGAGCTGTAAAATGGGAAAGGGCAATTGCAGAAGCAAAGCCTCACTTCGTCATCGAAGTGGTGAAGGGCGTCTCTAGGCTTTTCTTGTTCCCTGGCACTGCATCATCATGGGATTTTATGGGGACTGCAGACAATGCCTTCTTCTGTTTGTAGATCTTCCTTATTTCCCCCTGTTTCTTCTGTCTTTTTTCTTACGGGGGGATTAAAGAAGAAAAACAAAAGCACACAACAGCTTTGGATCGTGGGCACCAGGAGTTCTCCATCTGGAAGCCCCCGAAGTCACAGACCTTGTGTGTGTGTAGTAAGGAGGAGGCAGAGGGAAGCTTGCTAGAGCCTCTTCCATCTCAGCAGTACCATACAGAGTTTATTACAAAGATGTAAAAGACAGGAAGGAAAACAAAGAAAACATAAAAGCTACATATAAAACTCACTTGCCAACACTGAATCCATTATATCAGTCACCCCATATAGGGCTTTCCTCCAGCAGCTAGCATTTATTCAAATATACACAGCGTACGTTTCCAGTGTGCCCTTTATACACGCTGTAATTCCCCGTGGTCAAAGGATAAGCAAGCTGGCTAGTTGCTTAGCTCTTCCCACAGGTGTAAAGCACATAAGCTCAGAATGCCAGTTCCTGATTCCCTTGATTAAGACTTGGAGGCGGCTTTAAAGGAGAGTACCCTTGTCTGGATCCACCCAAGGAGATACCTCTAAGAAGCGATCCCTCACTGCTTGTTCTGGCACGCACGGACTGGACAAGGTTGGTGAAGCTGCACTCAGAGGAATGAAGGGAAGTGGGGAACCACACACACAATTCCCTTCTTATTAAGGTATATTCTTTAGATGGTCATGATTTTAATGGGTCTGCAATTTGTGGGCCAAGCAAATAGAATTTGTCATTTGGGATCATTAAGCCTGCAATACCAAGCAGAGATGATTTACTTTGGAGCTGCAGGATTTGAGAAATGGGTCTTTAACTTTAAAGGCTCTTCTTCAAAACAAAGGGCTTTGGGGTGGAGCTTTGAAGACTCTGTGGCTCTTTATAAATTTTACTTGTGACCTGTAGGAGGTGGAAGGTCTAGGCCATCCTGAAGCTCTACTGCTCTATTACATTGCAGCCCTAGAAAAAGCAGCCTCACAAGAGAGGTGGGTCTTGGGGTGTATTGCCAGGAAACGGCTCCGCTTTTGCATGGTTGTGGGGCTTTTCTGGCTCCTTTGCTTCACGGGCATTTCCTCAAGGCTGCTGTAGAGCACTGGGGTGGGGGAATCCTGCATGTAAAGGAGTGGGCTGAGGTTGCTCTGTCTCCAAGGCAGGGGCTTAGCAGTGTGGACCAGCATCTTTGATGCTCCCTGGGCTCCATCTCTGTGCTCTTGCTGGGGTGAAAAGGGGGTGTTTTTAAGGGGAGGCAGCCCAGGCTGCCCATTCAGGCCAGAGACGGGCCCTTCTGTGCCACCAAATGCTTCCGGAAGGGCTTGGCCTGAGCTGTTGGGAGTTACCTCACACACAGAAATAGCGTTTTCTGCATTTCTGAGCCAACAGGACTTTGTAGCCAATCATCCTATCTAGGAGTGTCACCCAGGAACCGGAGAATATTCAGGCATCTGCTTCACCAAAGCTGCAATTCCTTACTTATTCCCATGTCTAAGGGAAAAGCAAGTGGCAACCCTATTAACTCTTTCAGCAGGTGCCAGCTGCACAGAAGCAGGGGGCGATGCCAATTATTACCTATTAGATAAGACTGGAAGGAGGCTTCTTAAAATCGAATTCCCTTGCCTGTCTCTACTAAGCAACTGAGAGCGTGTGGTCCTTCATCCCCAGAAGAAAGGCTTCACTTGCCTCGATAACCTTGGCCAGGCCCTTCCAGTCTGGCCACCCTAAAAGAAACTGAGTTCTGTGCCTTTCCAGCAACGTCTTCCTCCTCTTCTCTCACACTGCTGCCTCCAGGAGCACCATGCCCAAGCGAAGGACGGTCCGCTCACTGCAAAGACTGTGCCTGGAGAATGTAGCCTTGAATATGGAGGACATCTGGGCCAAGGACCACACAGCCGAGGACCCAAACCAGAAGCAGGTTCCCTGCGCCGAGGGGCCCTTCAGCATGCTGGGTGAGAGGCATGCAGCAGGTGGGAAGAGGGGCCGGGCCGCTGGAGGAGCCTGCCTGTGGTGGTGGATGGGCAGGGCGGCCAGGCCTGTGGCAAGGCAGCCTCCGGTAAGCACGTCGCACTCCAGCAGGCGATCCAGGCCAGAGCTGACATCATGGGGGGCAGGGGCGGCTTGGCCTTGTGGCCAGTACTGCAGGCACCCTCCTGCCTCCTGAATGTGCAAATGTTGCCTTGACTCTGTCCTATGGGGAGAGGCAGACGCCCAGCGGGTCACTAGACAGAGCTGTGCTGGGCGAGGTTGCCTTGAAGTTCAGGGCTCACAGCTGCTGGGAAAAGCTGCAAATGGGAGGAAGTGGAGCAGAGAGCTGCAAAAAAAAAAAAAAAAAAAAGCAAGCCATGAAGCCCCCCCCCCCCCGCAGTTGCATGATCGAGGCCGGGGCTGGTGGCTCCTTCCCTCTTGCTGACTCCAGAGAGATGGAGCTGCCATCTGAAAACGGAGGGAGCTGGGCTCCAGGAACGTGATGCTGGAAGGGCGTTCAGGGAAGTTCAGGACCGGCCCCAGCAGCCGTCTGGCCGGCCCCAGAGCCTGCTTGTCTAAGGGGCGTATTCTATGCAGCTCCCCGGGAAGGTGCCCCAGAAGCAGCCCCAGCACTCCTGGCCATCGGCCCTGCTGGCTGCAATTGATGGGACTCCGAAGCATCAGCCGGGCAGCCCTGGAGAATGACTGGCCGGCATGCATGCGAACAGCAGACCCAGCCTGCCCCCCACCCGCCCTGCCCCGGATTGCTGCTGCTTTCCCCCCTCTCCTCTTCATGCCACCAGGAGGGATGGGCAGGGTCCAGGCAAAGCGGCCAAGGGGCTCCTCTCCCTGTCGTGGCTTTGCTGCTGCCTCTGGGCTACAGCACACCTGGGGCAGGTAGAACGGGTGTGTGCGAAGAGGGGGGTTCCCCCACCCCGTGCCCTCACCACCACCCAGCCCATGTGTCTGAGTGGGAAAGGCGAAATGTGTGCTCCCCACACAGCCTTCCATGTACTGTCCTTCCCAGAAACGACGAGTTCCTGGTTGGGTGGGGCAGGCATTCGCGTGAACATGCGGTCGGCCTGGCCCTTCCCGCAGAGGCAAGAGGCTGAACCTGGGCCCCTCTGCACGCGAACCAGGAGTCCTTACCCAGAGCCTACAGCTTTCCCTCTGGGTCTGGAGGCAGCTCACGAGCCGCCCCTTGGCGACCTCTGTCCAGCACGGCTCTTCCGGTGTGGTGTGGAGACTGGAGCCACCATCCTCACCTTGGTGCCCTCCCAGTGGTGCTAGAATATCACTGCCACAAGCCACAGCTGCCCTGGCCAATGGTGGCCCAAAAGATCTGGAGGGCACCGGGTTGGGGAAGATGGGGCTCGAGCGCGGGACTAAGACTGGGGAGACCCCCGGGTGCCGAGCCTAGCTTTGCCTCGAAGCTTCCTGGCAGACGGTGAGCCTGACGAACTCTGGCCACGGAGCCTACACAGGAGGGGGAGCGTGAGGAGAAGAGCAGGTAGTGGGGGAGAACTGTGCGCAGGCCTGAACACATGAGAGGTGCGGCTTGGCATGAGTGTACTGAAAAGAGGGGGGGCCTGTGCTGCGCTCTTGCCCCCCAGCCACCCCCCCCGCCAGGCAGTGTTGGAGCTAACGGCCGTTTTCTCTGCCCTCTCCCCGCTCAGCCGGCTTCCTCGTCCACGAGCTGCTCCAGCTCATGGGGGAGTGCCAGGACCTGAGCTCGGCTGGGCTGCGCTCGCTGCTTGTTCCACAGCTGCGGGAACTGGACTTCAGCAGCTGCCCGGAGCTGGTCAGCCAGGACGTTCTTCAGGCCGCTGCAGTGCGCTGCACGGTAAGGAGCTGCGTGCGAACCGGGCAGGCGCCTCTTGGGCACTCTCGGGGGGAAGTCCGAGCCTCAGGCAGGGTTCCCCTCCTGCCCACACAGCGGCCCTGTTCATTTTGGCTGCTGCTGGTAGCTCTGCGGCAGTCGCACCTTATGTTTCACGGTATGTGGCTTGGCTCACTTGCTTGATATCCCTGATCTCCCTTGCACGTACCCTG